GCTGCTCGGGCTGCTGCTCCTCCGTCTCCTCCTGCTGCTGCTGCTGCTCCTCCTCCTCCTCCTCCTCGCTGTCTCTGGCCACTTTGCAGGTGAGATCCAGGCCTTCGGACAGCTCCAGGGCGCTGCCTTTCCGCTTGTGGCGAGGAGCCTGCTCGTGCTGCATCGCAATTGAGTTTATAAACGCCGAGGTATGCCCGGGCTGCAGTCAAGGATGGCACAGGACGGAGAGAGAGAGGCGAAAACGAGCTGAGACGCAGCTTGCATGGGGCTTGAAGAAAGCGCCATTTCAGTTCAAATTGTCACTGCCGCTCATTCACAGCGGAAGGTCTCTGATTTACATTCAACACAACTCCTGCAAGCTTGACAAAAGCACATTCATTCAAGCAAGAACAGGGCCCCCACTTGCAGCCATCGAGGGCGGAGCACCTCCAGCATCGCCTGCTGCTTGGCCAGGGTGCGCATGGTGGCCTGCGCCGCCCCCTGCAGGTCCGCCGCTGTAAATGGCAGCTCTCCAGTGCTGCAGCCGTTCAGCTGCTGCATCTGACAGGAGCACAGCCAGGAGCAGCTGGGTGTCGGGGGCTGCACTGCAGGCGCTTCGCACAAGTGTGCGCGGCACACGCGCTCTCGCATGTAGCTGGAGCCGCACCAGTCCTGCAGGAAGTGCTGCACAGCCAGCACCGCGTCCTGGACGCTCCCAAACTCGATGCCGGCCACAAGCTGTGCTACCGTTGCTTCTGCTGGGTTGGCCTCAGCGCAGCCGCCCTGCTCCACGGCAGGGGCTGCGACGCCACATGCGCCGCCGCCGCTGGTGCCGCCTTCGGTGCCATCTGGCCTGTGTGGTCGTGGCGGGCTCTGCCAGTTCAGCCACGCCTGTAGCACACCGGGCTGGACTGCAAGCTGCAGCTGCAGCTGGGAGGACCCAGTGGTACCATCCTCTGGCAAGCCCTCTGTGCTGTGCAGCACCTGGCCCTGCCACACCAGTGCAAAGCCTGCCATCCCCAGCCGGCACAGCCGCAGGTCGGTGCCATCAGGCAGCCGCCACATGGAGGCCGGCAGACCCAGGGAGCGGGGCACGGGGCCTGCAGCAGGGCGGCACGCCAGCGACGCATACCCTCGGCACCCTTCGCAGCAGAAGGCCGGGGCCAGCAATGGAACCTGCTGTGCGTGGCTATCGTAACCTGCCCACCCATCCATACCACCAGGGGTATGTGATTTTGGTGTCACACGCCACCACCCCATCCCACCCCCACCTGCCAGCTGCACCAGCAGGCGCGTGTCCTCGCTGTGCGCCGGGTCCTGGGTGAACCACAGCGTGAGGGTGAAGCGCTCGCCGCTGGTGATGGGATCCACGCAGTGCGAGTCCTGCGCGCCGTACGCCACCTAGCAAGTTGACAGGGTGGCAGAAGGATGAGAAAAGTGCCACTAAGATAGATACTAAGATAAAGAAAAAAGACAGGATGTGGTGTGCCGAGTGCCTGCTCCACTTCCTGCCCTGCCCTCCCCTGCCCAGCCCTGCTGCCTCGCAGCCTGGCTGTCAGCCAACAGCCCATGTTCAGGCAGCGAGCTGGCATGCGGGGGCAGTGATGCTGCTTACCACTCTGCCAGGGGCGGCATGCACCACCTGTGGCGTGCCTGTTTGGAAGCGAAATGCGCCGCCCTCAAAGTCTCTGCCAGCCTGATTCAGATAGCACACGGCCGAGGCAGCGCGCTGCTGCAGGTAAGGCCTGTTGGCGTCGTGATGCCAGCCAATGCTCGCGCCGGGGCGCCAGGAGATGAGGCCCGTGAACTCGATGAGGAGGCCCAGCGGCAGCGACAGCGCTGCCTCCACCGCGGTCCGCACCGCCTCGCGTGCAGCCACCTGCCGGGCAGGGAGCAAGGCGATTGGAGGAGGGCGCTGGCAGAGCAACAGCAATGGGCTACTGCTTGTGTAATGTGTAGTCCCTGCACTGAGCAGCCTGTCCGGCAACGGGCAGGGGGGGCGGGGAGGGGTGGTGGCGGCGGCTCACCATGGGCACAAGGAGGGGAGACAGCGCCATCTCGGGGACGGTTGCGGAGGCCACGCCTGCCCGGTAGCCCACAGTTCCTATCGCCCTAGCGACCGATATCAGTGCAAGACAGACCTGCTCCGACACCACCCCATCTAGCACCGCCCGGCTTGGAGAGATCCCTGCCTGGCCAGCCATACGAGGGAATGTGCGATGGCGGCGATCGGGGGGTGGCCATGCCGCAGTGTTTCTGGTCTCGTGGCAGCGTTGGCGATGGGCTGGCGATGAGGACCGCTGTCGCATCCAAATTCGCCAATCAACTGGCGATGGCACAGTGGGGGTTGGCGAATTGCGGGGGAACCACCCTTGCGCCTGGCGCGGCGCAGCGGACGCATGCGGTGCCGCCGTTGCTTTGTCGGCACTTGCCTCCCTTTATGGGGGACTGGGGGCGAAGCCCCCAGAAAGCTGGCGCTTTTTTAACACTATGGAATGAAGTTCCTGAGGAAATTTGGCCATTTTCCCTCAATATATTGGCGATGCCAGTCATGGGGGATGGCGACGGGCTGGCGACCATGTCCTGCCGCCTGCCCTCATTTCGCCAGCTCTGGCTGGCGATGGCCTTCGGCCAATCGCCAGCCAGAGCCGTTTTTTGCCCGATTTCGCCAGCATTTGGCGATTTCGCCAGCTTTCAGAAACACTGCCATGCCGGCCCACCATTAGCGCTGGCGCCCGGTGGAAAACAACGGCGTGTGCTAGCCTCTCGAGCCGCCTCCGGCTTTGTGTTGATCACGGGGAGCTGAAGTTTGCAAGGCGCAGGAGAGCGGCTCCCTGCGCCTGGTCTCCCCTCGACAGCCGGGCATGTTCTAACTCTGCAGAGCTTGTGGCCTTCGCCAACAGGCAGCCAGCATGCCGCGCACGGCCCAGAGCCGGGCTCTGATCGTCCACCCGCGCTTCGTGCACGCAAACCCGCCGGCGGCGGCCGCGCCACTGCCCGGTGCAGACTGGCACTCGCTGCCCTTTGAACTGCTGGAAGCCATTGCCGGGCACCTGGACAAGGCCCAGGACTTGCTGGCGCTGTCATCGGTCTGCAGAGACGCCAGGTGCGGCAGCCACCCTCGCCCGCCTCCTGCCTGGCTTCCCGGCTTCCCCGGGGGCAGTTGTCTCCCCCAATGTGCGCTGGCAACCAATAGCAGCACCGATAACCTGCCATGACCGCACCCGACCCGGCCCTTGCTTGCCTCGCCACGCTGCAGGCCGCTGGCGGCCCACCCCACGCTGTGGAGGCAGCTGTGCCGCCGCCGGTTTGGCGTGCCGCCGCCCGAGGACCTGGGCCTGGAGGACCCGGCTGCCAGGGAGCCTAGCTTCTGGCTGGACCTCTTCATATACAACCACCGCTGCTTCATGCACATGGTGCGCAGCACGCAGCAGCCCACCGACGCACGGTTTGGCGCCGGCTTTGGCGCGGGCGCCCCGCTCATCATCCAGCTGCAGTGAGCAGCTGGCGGAGCAGGGCGCAAAGGGCCGATGACCGACCACCACCGACCAGCGCCCCGCTTCTGTGGCGCTACCGCAACGCTCTGCCGTGCGTCGCCATGCCATGTGCGTGCATACTCTCACCACCCCTAACCATCAATGTGCATTTGCGTCTCCCTTCCGACCTGTCTGCCACCCGCTCAGCCGCCGCGAGCTGCCACCCCTTTGCCATCGCAGCCATTTGCGCATGCCAGTTGGGCTGCCGCCGCTTGTACACCACCCACCCCTCCGCACTGCTGTTTGTTGTACTTCCTGTGCCGGATGTGCGCCTCCTGTAATCCCTGCGCGCGCCCGTGACGATGATTGCAGCAGATGAATGTTGTTTCATGAATGTTTTTTCATGAGCCACCCCGCGACGTGTGTAGCAGTACCAGAAACAGTTAGAGCAGGCAGGAGCAATTAGAATGAGGGGGAGGCGGAAACAAATGGCGGAAAGAGTCGAGTTTTGTGAAGCGCAGGCGATCAGCAGGTAGACAGCAGGCAGACATGCAGGCAGGCACGGGTGGCTGAGGTGCAGTCAGTTTTGGCGGCGAGCGGCTGCTGCAGCTCCCAGATGTCGACGTACTCGAGGCGCAGCGGGTACGGCACCGCCGACAGCGGCACCTGCTTCACGTGGCGGAACCGCTTCTTGGCCTCCTGTATGAGGCATGCCCGCACCTGCAGGGCGGGTGGGAGGGGCAGGGAGGGTCGAGACTTCGCGGCTGGGGGCCAATGCTGGGTGGAGCAGGCTTGCTGCCCCCGAGCTGCACTGCAGCGAGCCCAGCCGGCTCCCCTTGCCTCAGGCGCCCGCCGCTCAAAAGCCACCAGGCAGCGTGTCTTGGCCCCGCACAGCCCCGCGCACGTCTCCACAAATGCAGGCGTGCTGGGGCTGGTGCCATCCTGCAAGCGGGGCGTACCAGCCGTCGGCGCCAGATGGCAGCTCGCGGCGGGCATGGCGGGGAGGGCAGGCAGCATGCAAGCGGGGGCAGGCAGAACTGCTGTGTCCCATACATCCAGCTCCAAATCCCAGTCTGTGGTCCCCTGCCCCGCCTCGCCCACCTGATCTATGTAACAGCAGTCGGCGGCCACCACCAGGTCCACGCCCGCCTCTGCCAGCGGCGCCACCGACCGCTCCATCCACCCAGGCTTCCCCCACTCCAGCTCTGCAGCCTCCGCCCAACCAGATCCCTCCCGGGGCCTGCACACGCACAGGGTTGCTATGGGTGCACAGTGGGCGAGGGACATAGTGATCACAGGGTGGCTATGGCACTGCTCCCGGCGTAACAGACCGAGTAAGGTAGGCAGGCATGTGGCAGAGCCTGGCATGGCCCGCAATGGGACCCACCCACTGCAACTGGTGCACAAAGCCAGCTGGTGCGGCCCCACCCCACTCACCCAACGGCGGGGTCGAAGCCGTTGGCGCCCAGGTTCTCGCGCATCAGTGGCAGCACCTTCTCCACATCCGTGATTGCCACCTGTGCGCCCATGGCCGCCAGCGCCAGCCCCACCAGACCCACGCCCGCCCCCAGCTCCACGCACCGCATGCCTGCAGGGAGAGAGGGAGGCCTAGCTAACTGCTTTTCAAAAAACAAAATGTTTGTGCAAGGGTGGTGACAGTGGGAACGCCAACCTTCCCAGCAACGTGCCAGCAGCAATACCAGCTGCTGGGCCCCACAGAAGCAGGCCACCCGCACCAAGGTATCGATAACGGGGCTGCGCCACCAGGTAGCCAGCCAGCACCAGGGCACCGTCCCATAGCGCTGCCGCCACACCCAGCTTCTCAGGGTTGATGCCTGCCCCAGCCAGCTGGTGCGGCTGCAGAACATGCGAGGTACGGAGGGGTGAAGCCGGGTAGGCACACCGGGGGCCACGCAGACGGGAGCGCGCATGGCATCGAGTTTGCAGGTCAGGATGAATGCTGCCAGCCCCTTACTACACAGGCACAGGCCTCAACTGCCCCCCATGCAGCCTACTGCCCACCCTATGCACGCAGCCGCATACCGCAGCGCGCTTGCCTGCTGCAGGATGCGGAGGCGCAGATCGCCCAGCGTCACTGCCACCTCCTCTGCGCTGTGCACCTCCCACCGGTTGGGCTCCGTCAGCCGCTTCTGCACCAGCTGCCCATCCTCCCACCTGCAGGCAACTTTCAGGCCGGGTCTGGCCAGCTGAGAGGCCGAGCCCGCCGCAGGCCAACGACGCCCGAGCCGCTGCAGGTGTTGCCGCCGCCGGCGGTTGCACGGCAGGGCGCCCCCCCGCTGCACCCCCGCATGCTCTGTGCGATCGCTGTGCGGCTCCCATGCCCTCACCTCTCGAATCGGAGCTCGAAACTGCTCAGCATGTGGCAGAATGTGCGCTGCGGGCGTGAGCCCTGGCAGGCCCTCACAGGCCTTCCGAGCTCTAGTGCCGACTGCAGGAGGCCATGCGTCTGCCCTTCGGCCCTGACACCTGGCCCCGAGTTTTCCTCCAATGCCGCCGCGGGCACGTTCTGGCCTGCTTGCACATCGGCCATCGCCATCCTTGTACAGCAACTGACTAGCTTAGCGATAGTGAGCCTATCCTGTGGCCCCCTCCCAGCCCCTGCACGTGGGTCGTGCGCCGCCAAGCAGCAGTTTCGTTGCCCAACCCGAGCCAGATCGCCAGTTTTAGAATGCACCATCCCTGAGCGAGCCCACAAGCACCTGAGTGGCCCACAAGAAGGGTGCCCGCCCGGGCATCGCACCCGCTCCGCGGCCCATATGTTGCCCGTGGGCTTCGCCGCCACGATGCTCAAGCTCCCACGCACGGCCGGGCCGCAGCGGCAGCTGCCCAGCTACCAAACTGCCGTGCCCCTCGACCCAGCCGCCTCTGAGTCTCCGCGAGAGGTGCTGGGCGGCCTTCCGCTGCCCCAGGCGCGCTCTGCGTCATCCAGGCTTGCCAACACGCAGTCCGATCGCGCCGTGGAGCCCCAGGATGGCCACGCCCAGGACGTCCTGCGCCTGCTCAACGCCGGCTGGTGGGTCCTCGCCGTTTGCCGGCACCGATGCATTTGCTGGCCACTGCCCTGCTGCCGTCCTCTCACGCATCTCAGTCGCCCGCTGCCTGTGCCGCCCGCCCCACAGGTTTGGCCCGCTGAGCAAGTCCAAGGCGGCGCGGCTGTTCAGCCGGCCGGCCGCCGAGGCGGAGGCGGCGATGCCCCCTCTCGCACGGCGTGGCCGGCAGCGGCAGCAGCAGCAGCCCGCGGCATCGGGGGACCGCGGATCTGATGCCTCGCCCTCCACCTCCAGCCAGCGATCCGGGAGCAGCACCCAGCTGGCCGGGGGCGGCAGTGGCAGCAGGGGCAACCACCCCGTGGCGATGCCAAGTTGTCAGCAGCAGCAGCAGCAGGCGGCAATCCAGGAGCTGCCAGGCATTGGCACCTGGGCGGGGCGCTACCGGCTGTTTGGTGGGCGGAACCCTCCCGAGGAGCGGCAAGCGGTTGCGGTCGCGCAGCAGCAGCAAACATCCCCACCTGTACGCAGCGGGGCAGGGCAGGCACAGCAATGTGCGGCCGAGCAGCAGGAGCGTGGCGGCGGCGATGGGGACATGGATGGCAGCCCTGTGGTGCTGCGGCCGGGCGGTTACGTGCAGCCGGCGGCCGCAGCGCAGCCAGGGGAGGGGCGGCTGCGAGGCAACTATGGGTCGCCGGAGGCGCAGGAGGATGCGTGGCGCTGGCGCTTCAGCAGGTGCGTTGGCAGCTGCCCTGCCAGCTTCCTTTTAGAGTGCACGCAGATTTGGCCAGGGCTGGGCAGACCCTTATGTGTCGCACGCAGGCAGGAGGCAGGCAGGCGCTGTCGCTGGCTGCGGCATGTGCAGAACACAAGCGCAGCGGCGCCCACTCCCCACCCAGCTGGCAGTGTGCTGAGCTCCCCACCCACCCACGCGTGCCTGCAGGAAGTGGGCTACCGAACAGAAGCGGTATTATGAGCAGCCCGAGCAGCCCACCAGCCTGGTCAGCGATGACCTCGATGCGATGGAGTTCACGCAGGTGGGCCCGAGGAGGACTGCAGCAAAGCAAGGGTTGGAGAGAAGGGAGGGGACAGGCCACACTCTGGAGCGCAGCCAGGCGTGGGTCGTGATGATTGGGGACATGCAATGATCGCAGGCATCCCGCGCCTGAGCGCAATGAGTGAACTTGGCAGCTGGCCCTGCCTCCTGCGCGCAGGCGTGCGGCACCGGGCTCAACCTGCAAGTCATGCCCACCTCGGCCGCTCGGCGGCCCATCAAGGCGGTGGCTGCCAGCACGGATGAGGACGGCGCGCTGGGCCATGAGAACAGCGCCTCTTCGCTGTCGCTGTGCCAGGTGCGCGTTGTCCTTGGCGCCGCGAGCTTGCCCTGCCCGCCCGCACAGGCACAACCACGGCAGGGGCCATGAGGTTTTGCCGGCCGCACAACTGCGCTGCTGTGCTGGCTGCTGCGCCCCACCCCTGCCACCCCCGCAGTTTGATGTGGACCACTCCCAGAACACGATGGGCCTGCTGTCAGCTGAGATGTCGCCCGGCAACAGCGCGCACGGCGCCATTGCGGCGGGGCGCCTGCTGCACCGCACCGGCAGCGGCGGCGGCGGCTGGCAACGGCCGCAGCACCAGCATCAGCACCAGCATCAGCACGGCCAGGTGCGGCCTGCCGGGCATGCTGCTTCGTGCCTCGGCTTGCCAAGCAGTGCATGTTTTGCGGCCAATCTGTGTGGCTGGCTCAATGCTGGTGCCACCTCCCAGCGCTGACCACGGTGCCAAGCACCCCGCTCTGTGCGCGCCCCCGGGCTTTGCTGCAGGCCGCCCCCTCCCCCCGCCTGCCCAGCGCCACCAAGAGCGTGCTGTCCATGGCCAGCAAGGCGCAGGACCTGCTGCAGAAGCAGGGCGCCATCGAGCAGGAGGTGCAGGACCGGTGAGTGGGGAGGAGGGCTGGCGGGCCTGGGCGCTCGGGTGTCGGCTCGGCTGGGGTCTGCGCCGAGGGGAGGCCGCTGGTTCGGCCTGGCGAAACTCAGGGCAACTCGACATGCTGGCCGCCTCGTCCGTGCAGCTGGGAGCGGAGCTGCTCTGCCAGCGATGCCTGGGCGGGGCGCAACCTGCGGGGCGTGCAGATCGACATGTGGGGGCGATTCAAGTACTGCGTGCTGCGTGTCAGGTGAGGGCTTGGGGCGCGCTGCGACATGTACGCTATCGCAAGAGGCACAGGCAGTTTTTCGCAGTTCGCGAGTCAACCGCCGTGCACGCGGCTGGCTGCTGCCCAACTTAGCCTGACCTCTGCCTTGCAGCGACGGCGCGGGGCGCACACGTTTCATCGTGCGTGGCCGCAGCGGCGCCACGCCAGCGCAGCTGCTGGAGGCGGCCAACCAGGAGGCGGCAGGGGCCAGCCGGTCGGGCGCTCTGCCCGCTGTGATGGTGGAGGTCGTGGGGGCAGGCGTCATGGAGTGGTGAGCAGCAGCAGCGCGTGGCTGCGTGTTACAGGCAGAATGCTTATGCAGTGCTTGGAAGTCGAGCCCAGCCACATTGCTTTTGCTCCCCGGCGCTGCTCTCTAACCTTCCCTTGCTTACCGTGCTGCAGGCGAGAGGACACCGAGCGCGAGCTGCACCTCATGCCAAGCATCCTGCCACCGGGCGGCGTTGGGCTGGATGCAACACGTACTGCCGGCGGCCCCGACTCCCCCACCAAGTCCGCCTACCTAGGGTGCGCATGGCCGCCCATCGAGCGCCTGCAGATCGGCTGGCAAGCGCTGGCCCCAGGTTTTCATGTTTCTGTCGTAAAGCAAGAGCCTGGATTATGCAGTTCATTTAGCCTAGCGTGCTCCCCTGGTTGCTGTTGCAGGGACATGAGTGGGCTCACAGCATCACTTGTGCGCCAGGCGCTGCCTTGCCACTTCCGCATCACCACCTCGGGCTCCGCCTCCCGTGCCAACGGCATGGCTGCTGTGGCCAACCGGGTATGAGTGCCTGCCAGTCCTGGTGGCATTGGCATACCTTCCCCTGTGCCCTCTCCAGCGCTTGCCCCTGGTCTGCCCACCTTGTGCCTTTTGTTTGTCCCGTAGCACACCCGTTGCTCCAGTGCCCTCCCTCTGGGTTCGCTGTTCATGCCAGTCATGCACGATGACGTGTCTCGCATGTGTAGCATCTCCTCAGCTCGTGCTTGCTTGGAGCGTCCCCACCCACCACATCCTTGCGTTCATCCCTGGAAGCCCACCAGCCGCGCCTGCCTGCGCCATTTTGTTTCTCTGCCTGCCCTTCCCACATAGCGCGGCTGCACCCTCCCCTGGGGCAGCTAAGCTTTCCCTGGCCCTACCCTCCAACAACTGATCTGTCTCTTTTTCGATTTCTGCCCCAGTCTTTTGGTCCATGATGCATCCCTGCGGGCTGGAGCTGGGATGGCCCACTTCGGCCTCCCCCACCCCCGCCTGGCTGCCGCATCAACGGACCATACCGTGTGCCCCCTATTTCATGCAAGAGGGAGGCACTTCTTGAAACAGGGCAGCCATTGCGCTGCTGCCAAACGCACGCTTCTCATGCATGCCCTGTGCCTCTGCATGCACGCTCTGATGCATGCTCTGTGCCTCCCCTTCCCTCTTTTTCCGCACACTTTCTTCCTTTTCCCTCTGCATGCTTGCCGGTACCCGCCTTTCACCTCTTTCACAGCAGCCAGTTGTTGCCACCTGAATCAATCAACACCAGCCGTTGATACTGTCACGTTTCGCGTCTTAGGTGACCCCCCCCGTTTGCCTGGCCTTTTGAACTAGCCACCCTGTGACCTTGCCCTTTTCATTTCTCGCATGAACCCTTATCCAGCCCACCTTGCTTGCGCTGAGAGCACCGCCCCCCTGTCGCCCTCTCCCCTATCTGTGTACCCACCCTAAGAGCGCTCTAGCGGTGTGTGTGTGTGTTAGATTGTGCGTGGCAAGTGTGTGCCAAAAAGAATGAGCGATGTTTAACAATCAACACGTCACAGGTGCCCCTTGCCGGGACCGTCGATTCAGGCTGGCGCTGGTTGCCGCGCCTTGGGCCGCACTTCCGCTTCCAGCACGTCTCGCACAAAGATGGCATCTGCCGGGTGCTCCCGCTCCCCCTGCAGAGTTGGATGAGCAAGTGAGGCAACAACTCAGTGCAGGATGGGCAGTGCGCATGCAGGCCGCCCACGCATGTGCACGCAGGCCGTGCCGCACCAGCGCTGAGCGGGCAGCACACCCCACGCCAGCCTGCCCTCCATCGTGTGTGTATCCCACCCACAGCCCCAAACCTGCTCAAAGGTGTAGCTGCTTGCCACAGCCAGCTTGGTGGCGGCGCCGTTGAAGGCCAGGGCGGCGACAGAGGTGGGGTAGCCCGCCACCTGGTGCAGCCGCTTCTTGTGCTCGCCATCCCAGAAGTTGATCACCCCGTCGCCGCCTGCAGGGCGGGGCAAGGCAGGGCAGGGCAGGGCAGGGCAGGCACGAGTTGGCTGTGGGCAGTTGTATCCGATCTGCCTGAGCCCCAGGCGGCACAGACATTGCTGCGCGCTGCCGCGGCATGCTGGGATGGGCGCCTGCTGCTGCGGCTTGCCTCCAGTGGCAAAGGTGCCGTGGGGGCGGTTGAAGGCGATGGCGTTGACCGGGAACACCAGGTCCTTGCCGCCCTCGTTCTTGCGGTGGCACTTGAACGCATACTTGCGCGCCTGCAGCGGCGCAGAGGCGGCGGCGGCGGCGGTGAGCGGCAGTAGTGCGAGCAGACGTCACGTTTGCCGGGACGGGCGGGGACAGGCTGCGGCTGGGTCAATGTGCACCTGTCCCGTCCAGCCCCACCCATGCGGCACCACAACAACCGGCCGGCCGGCCAGCCAGCCAGCCAATCAGCCCTGCCCCCAGCCCCACCTGCGTGGCCTCATCCAGGTCGAAAAACTCCCAGGCCACCCGCCCCTCCACAGACGACAGCGCGTAGCCGCGCCCGTCGGCCTGGCAGCGCACACAGCGCGTCTGGAACTTCAGGCTCGACTCCCGCCGCTGCTCGGGCTGCCCGCTCTGCAGCCTGCGGTCACGGCAGGGGGCGGCGCAGGGGGATGCCAGGAGGTGGGAGGCGGGCGGGGGGGCACTTTCCTCCACAGCCCACACAGATGGGCGAGCGGGTAGTGGGAGTTTGTGTGTTCGTGTTTGTGTGAGTGCAGGCGGCGCGCAGCACCGGCATCCAGAGGCGCTCCTGCCCCCACTCACGCGCGGAGGTCGAAGATGTCCACATGCCGGCCCGACATGGCCACCACCAGGCGGGCCTCGGAGGCACTCATGGAGTAGACCTTGCCCGGCAGCGCCACCCGCGCCACGGGTGCCGCGCCCGGCGCCTGCCGTGAGTCCCACAAACGCAGCGAGCTGCAGGCCCGGCCACGAGAGGGCATGGCGAGCGGGGATGGTTGCAAGGAGCGGGGCGGCGGAGGCAGCGCTGCTGGCAGCCAGCCAGTGACGAGACGAGCAGCTGTACCGTGCCCGCTGGACGCCTGCCGGCACCCCAGTAGCTGCAGGTCTGACCCCTGCTCCTGCAGCTGACCCAAGCTCCTGCCTGCTGCGCCAGCGGGCTGGCACCCCTGCGCACCTGTCCCAGCTGCCGCTGACCAGCAGGCCTTGGGCGGGCAGCCACTCCACGCACTTGACCGCGCCTTCGTGAGAGCCCAGCACCGCCTCGGCGCCTCGGAAGAAATCATACCTGCAAAACACAGAGGAGGTGCAGGAGGTGAGGTGAGGGATCCATGGGCCACAGTCTGGTGGTAAGGGTGGTACTGATGCAATGGGACTGAGCACGCAGCAGCCAGCCTCAGCCCATGCCTGCCCCGCCCCAGGGCCCCTCGCTCCCTCTCCAACTCGCCGCTCACCGCTTCACAGCGCCGTCCAGGCCGGCGGTGTACACCACGCCATCGCTCTCAAACACAGCATCCAGCACCGGGGCGCCCGCCGCAAAGGTTCCTTGCAGCACATTGGCAGCTGTGTCGTACACCCGTGCAGTCTGCAGGGAGGGCGACGACGAGCGTCAAAATTGCAGCCCCGTGCTCCCCGCCCCACCCCTTTGTGACCTCAGCAAGCTGCAGCGGGTCCACTGACGGATCCCCACAGCAGTACCAGTCACTCACCCCGTCCCAGCTGGAGGCCAGCAGCAGCGGAGTGTCTGCAAAGAAGCGCAGGGCCGTCACGCCGTCGGTCGGCGGCGAGGGCAGCTCGGCGCCCAGCAGCGACATCCCCGCAGCAAGGAGTTCACGACAATCGCGCGGTCCTCTGCGGTCCCAGAGACGCTCTTCTGGACACCAACGGCTATTGCCAACAGGAGCTGCAGCGATGGCTCGGGCTGCGACCAATCAGAGGGGTACAGCCGCAAGGCTTGTCAGGAGTATGTATGCAGTATGCTGATGTGGTGCGTGAGAGCAGCAGCGCTCGCTGCACTTGCTGGACTCCTTTGCTTGCCATGTCAGCACCCCAAATGCACCTAGGAGGAGGACTGGAGCCCCTCCGATCACTTTGTAGGATTGGTCCACTGCAGAGAGCCTGCCGCTGCGGCGATGGCAGTGTCCCAGCGGCAGCAGGCCCTCTCCCTGTACAGGAGATTGCTCAGAGCGGCGAGACAATGGCAGGGAGGCAAGGAGGTGCGGTGCTTGGTGCAGGGTCAATGCCTGCCAGCCTGCCATAAGAGGCGGGCGCCGCATCTGCCGACGCCCGCGCCGCCACCGCTCGCTGCAGGAGGCCGACTACATCCGGCAGGAGGCCAGCCAGCAGTTCCATGCCCACCAACGTGACACCGACCCCCAGGACATTGCCAAGCTGGTGGGTTGGGCCAGCATTGCATATGTTCGGAGCAACACACTGCTAGAGCAGCAAACAAGGTTTCTTGCCAGCTCCGCCAATGGCCTGGCCCTTGCTGCCTTTGGTGCAGACGGAGGAGGGGGAGAACAGGCTTGCCATAGGGCTGCACTATGGCATTGCTTACCCTCGCCTGCATCACGCAGATCAGTTTGCAAAGGTGGGCGGGCTGCTGCCACCAGTGTTGGCTTTGCCCCTGTTGGGACCCACATGGCGCTGCAGGTTCCACGGACCATATGCCACATCTGCTGATGGCCTGCGCCTTGCTGCAGGTGCCGTATGTGCAAGCGCCCAAGCTAGACACTGCCGACGAGCCAGAGGCTGTGGCCAGCGGCATCAAGGACAAAGACGTGGCCGCCCGGCTGGCTGCGGCGGCGCGGCGCCGACGAGAGCGGTTGGCACAGCAGCGGCAGCAGCAGGAGGGGTAGTTACTTCAGAGATCTCAGTTCCAACTGAATGAAAGAATGAATGCCAGGCCATGAACAGCATGCAGTAAATGTCATGCCACAAATGCCTTGCGGCGGCAGGAGCCCGCCAACAGAGGTGGCCCAAGCCAGGCAGGCTCACGCGGTCTTGCCCTCCGCCGCCAGGTCTGCAAAGGCGCCCTTGGCCCGCTCCTCCAGCTCCTTCAGGTACTCTGCCTGCACGCGCTGCGCATAGGAGCCGCTGGGCAGCCCCAGCACAACGCTCTCCATGCGCCGCTGCAGCGCCTCCATGAACGCAGGCTCGCTGCGGGTGGCGGGGTGCCAGGGAGGGCAGGGGTACAGGTGGAGGGACGTCAAGGGTGGGGCGGAAGCATGGGAGGCCACAACTGGCTTGGTGGAAGGCGACGACCGGGTGGTAGCATGGGTGTGCATGATGCAGGGATACGGCAGGTTCCTGCTGCATGCTCGCCCGCACCACGCCCATTCACCACGCCCCGGACGCGGCACACCCCGCACCTGATGCTGCCCTCGTCGGCGCGCTGGCGTATCAACCGCGTCCACAGCGCCTCGTCAGCAGCCAGCAGCTCATCCACGGCCGCGTCCCCGCCGCCGCGCTGCTTGTCGCCGCCCGCCTGCGGCGTGCCCAGCTGCTGGCAGGCATAGATCTGCAGCACCTTTTGCAGCAGCGCCACCATGCCTGCATCAAGCAGAGGGCGGCGACGCCAGATGGGCGACTGCCTGCGACAGGAGCAATGGCACAGGATGCTGCTGCCCTGCTCATCCAGGCACTCCCGCCACCTCCCGCGGGAGGCTCCAAGGACCCCGCCTTCACCCACCCCACCCACCCAAGCTCCTCCACCCACCATCCAGCTTGTCCTCCGAGGCCTTGCGCATCCACGAGTAGCAGGCAGCCAGCAGGCCTTCATCCATGGCCGCAGGGTTGGCCACCATCACCCCCCGCATCGCCTCCAGCTTGTCCGGCCCCAGCGGCAGCTGCCACTCGCCCGTCTGCGGGCGGGGAAGGCAGGGCAGGGTCGGCACTTGAGAGGCACAGAGCCAGGCATGGCCAGGACCCATCCGCCGAAGCATCCATCCACTGATGAGCACCTATCGACTGTGTAGCGGCCCGCACCGCACCTGTGGGTCGGCAGCAGCCTTGAGGATGTCTTGCAGCAGGGAGGTGGACTCAGTGAGCTGCTCGTTGGTGCGCCTCACCACGCTGTCCACCAGCTGCATGACCACCTGCAGGCAGGCAGGCAGGCAGACAGGAGGGAGGTGGCGTGGCGAGCACCCGGCACTGCCAGCGGTCGCACGATGATGTCGACTCCTGACATTATGCAGCCTGCAGCATGCCGTCGGTCCCAGTACCACCTGCGCGACTCCCAACAACCCACCTTGGCCAGCGCCGCCAGCTGCTGCTTCTGCTCCTCGTCGCTCGCCGCGTCGCTGCGGGTTGCCAGGCGCAGCCAAAACCGCTGGTCAAAGCTCATGATGTTCTCAGCCACAGTCTGGGCCAGGTCCTGTGGATTCTTCTTGGACATCAGTGTGTCAATCAGGGCGTCCAGCTGCTGCACCGCCGCCAGCGCGTCTGGGCTGGTGGCGTCGTCGGCCGCTGCCTGCGCACGAACGGCAGCGCGGCGGCACCGGCGGCGGCAGCCCCGCAGCGAACAGCGCGGCACGGCGGCCATCGGGACGGCAGGGCAGCTGCTGCGGGAGGGTTGTGCGCTGCGGGGAGCGCTGCAGGGCCTCAGCATAGACAAGAAGCAGGTCTGCATGATGGGAAACCACGACTTTCGGCAGTGCAGCTGGGACGGCTACCAGCACGTTGAACAGCCTGAATCGAGACAATGCAGTTGGCTGCATGGGATTGAGGCCTTGCGCTGCTGCATCGTACGCCAAGCTGGCGGCGTCAAGGTGAGCTAGCGGCCCTTTTGTTCGCATCTTAGCAGTTGATCGGCACGTGAGGTATTCTGTGGCAGCCAGGGACCCCAGCCAGGTGCAATGAGCCGGGCCGAGAACGCCATCTCCAACGCCCAGGCACGCTGGGAGCTGGAAAACGATGTGCTGGCCGCCGGGCCGAGTGATTTGGATAGCCTGTACAGTTTTGACGCTGAGGAGCAGAAGGCCATCCAGGCATCCAAGCCCTGGGCTCGCGACCCTCACTACTTCAAGCGGTGAGGAGGGGCCAGGGGGGCGCTCCGGGGTGTCGGGTCTGGGGCCTTGCGCCCCCGATCAGATGCCCCGCCGGCGCTTGCCGCTGCCGCCCACCCGCTAGGCTGCTGGCCTCCCTCCCCGCCTGCCTCCTCGTGCAGGGTGCGAATATCGGCGCTGGCCCTGCTGAAGATGGCGATGCACGCCAAGAGCGGCGGCAACATAGAGGTCATGGGCGTCATGCAGGTGCTCCAGAGAGCCCTGCGCCTCGCCGCTTTCCCTGTTGAATGTGTTCACAGCGATGCGGCGGCTGCAGCTTTCCCACAGCACAGTCACCCCCAACATCCTGTGCCCCCCATGCTGCCTGTTTCCCCGGGGCTGCAGGGCAAGATTCAGGGCAACGAGTTCATTGTGATAGACACCTTTGCGCTGCCTGTGGAGGGCACTGAGACGCGGGTGAATGCGCAGGCGGAGGCGTACGAATACATGGTGGACTTCCTTGAGACAAACAAGGTGGGGTGGGTTGCGGGAGGTGTGCACGTGTAGTGTGGTGTGTGTGGAGGGGCAGGGGCCTGGAGGTGTGTGTATATGTGGGGGAGAAGTGGTGTGGAGTGTGGGTGTGGTGCATTCGGGCCAAGGAAGCATCCAAGTGAGCAGCCGGGGCCAGCCAGTGGCTCTCAGCCCCTGTGCCTAGTCATGCTGCCTCCGCCGCAGGCCTCTGGGCGGCTGGAGAACATAGTGGGGTGGTACCACAGCCACCCCGGCTACGGCTGCTGGCTGTCGGGCATCGATGTGGGCACGCAGAGCACAAACCAAAAGTACCAGGTGGGGCCCGGGCTGCTGCTGCAGTGCCGCAACAGTGTGAGCACCTCTTGTGCCACCTGTGCTTGGCTGGCCACTGCCTGCTGCCTTGACTGCTCTTCCAGTGAGGGCCTAGAACCTATACGGACAGGAATGCATGTCATCAGGCGTGCCTGCGCCGTGCCCTCCGGGCCTAGCCGCCAAACCGCTCACGGCCCCTTCACCACCCTGCAGGAGCCCTTCCTGGCCATCGTGGTGGACCCGCACCGCACCGTGGCAGCGGGCAAGGTGGAGATTGGCGCTTTCAGGACCTTCCCAGAGGTGTGTGTGTGTGTGTGTGGTTGGGAGTGTGTGCCGAGCCCAGCGCATTCCTGTCATGCGTGTTTGTTCCTGTTCTGGCACTGCAGGGGTACAAGCCGCCCGAGGAGGGCCCTGGAGAGTACCAGACCATCCCGCTGGACAAGATCGAGGACTTTGGGGTTCACTGCAAGGAGGTGGGTCGTCCGCGGATTATCGCCCACCTGCCTTGCCTGCTGTGCGCCCGGCTCTTACGGCACATGCTGCTGCCCGGTCTACTGTGCATCCATGTGTCATGCTGACCGGCCTGCCCCATCCGGCGTGTACCGTCCCGCCCGTCCCGCTTGTACTGCAGTACTACAGCCTGGACATCTCCTTCTTCAAGTCCTCCCTCGACTCCCACCTGCTGGACCTGCTGTGGAACAAGGTGGGTGCCACAGGCGCCAGGCTGGTGGTGCGAGTGCCGGGCAGGCTGTGCTGTTACTGAGCTCTGCTGGGGCAGGCACACTGCCCATCTTGCACGCCATGCCCGCCTGAGTTGTTCCGCCACTGCCGCCCCTGCTGTTCCTTTGCCCTTTTCCCCGGCACACACATCCCCAACCCACGCCCCTCCCACCCACCTCGCAGTACTGGGTCAACGCCCTGTCCAGCAACCCGCTGCTCAACACGCGCGACCTGTTTGCCGGGCAGCTGGCAGATATAGGTGGGCGGGCAAACTCTGCCGCGTGCAGGGCCGGTGCTCCTGCTCCTCCCACCTGCCTTTCCTGCTCAGCGGCAATGCTGTCCCTGGTCTGCATATGCCTACTCCTGTCTTTGCTGCCATTTCCCAAGCCTGCCCCTGCAGGCAAGAAGCTGGAGGCAGTTGAGAGCCAGGTCAGCAGCAGCGGGCGGCTCGGGCGCTTTATGACCGGACCCAGCAGCAAAAAAGGTGGGTGCAAGGGCTGGGCTGCATTGTCTTGTGTTGTCTGTTATATACCGCGTTTTGTGGCCTTGGAGCCTTGGGCATCTGCTGCTCCTTCTCCGATCCCCACGCTGTCCCTGCCTGCCCGCCTGCTTACCTTCCTGCAGAGGATGGCAAGTTGGAGGCTGTGGTGCGCGACACTGCGCGGGTGGCGGCGGAGCAGATCAAGGGCCTGTCCACGCAGGTGGGAGGGTGGGGGCCATGCAGGTGGCAGGGTTGGCCCAAGCTGCTGCCAGCTGCACCAACTGCTCGTCCATCTAGCTGCCATGGTAAAACCACCGCCACTCTTCTACTGTGCTGCTGTGCCGCCATGCTGCTGGGCCACCTGCAGGTCATCAAGGAGCTCCTATTCAACCGACGCTGCGGCTGCAGCGGCCAGCACGCGGCGGGAGCAGCGAGCGGAGCGGCAGCAGCGGCGGCAGGCGGCGGCGGCGCCATGCCGATGGAGAGCGGCTGAGTGAGGACGACAGTGCAGCGTACCACGCTGCATGGCAGTGCACACCCCTGCTGTGGGCTGCCTTTGTAACTGCTTAGACTGCTTACTGTGGCCAGGCAGCACCGCGCGCTTGCTGATCGCTGGCGGAAGCATCGCCATGAGGTGCTGTTGGGGGAAGCAATTATGAATGTCAGAATCTTTCTTTGCCTGCCACAAGTAGTCACCATTCTACTCCTGATGGCTGGATGGGCGCATGTCACGCTGTTTTTGCTTGTTAGCATGCACTGACAACGACGGCCAGCATCCCATCGGCCGCTGCGGCACCTATTGCTCGGTCACTCTGCCAATGGGCCTGGCGCCTCCAGGCTGGCTGGCTGCCTGTCAGGAGTGATCAGGAAAGGACCCTGGTACAAGGAGCACCTGCCCTCGGCCGGGGCAGGCCCGTGCACACAAGATGGCCGGCGGCAGGGGGGCCGGCGGGCGGCCCCCCAGGCCTGACGGTTGGCAGCGGCCTTGCTCCTTGTGGAGCCTGGAATTCGACAGACAGAGAATGCGGCAGCCAAGTGTAGCTTCATAACCGAGCGCAGCTCCCGATCGGCTTGGCCCCGGCTGGTGCCCAAAGGCGGCCGCCAGAGTTTAGAACGACTGAAAAACTGCGGCCTGCCCGCCTCCCCTGCATCCAGCAGTGCTCAAGGGCAGCGTGCAGCCTACCCCGCCTCTCAGACCTCCTGCAGCGAGCGCTGCCAGCCGCCAACCGCATCGTGCCCTATAGGCTCGTTAGCAGCTGCAGCAAGCAGCCTTCCGCCGGCACAATTGAAGCCTGGCCGGCCTTCTTGGGCCACAGCAGGCCCGCCCAGCCCGCCAGCGGCCCCCTCGCCCCCTCATCCCCCAGTCAGGCAGGGAGCAGCAGGCGCCCCACCCCCGGCGGCCGCGTGATCGGCCCCGGCGCAGATGAACCCGGGCGGTCCGGCGCCCGCCGGCGACGCCATGGACGCTGAGGGCAGTCTGCCGGCGGTGCCGCCACCGCCTGCGGCCGGCGACAGCCTCTCCCGGCTGCCGCCGAGGCCCCAGGGCTCGCAGGTGACGGAGGACGACGAGGATGAGGTGGTGGAGCAGGACCCCACGGGTGCGCCAGGCAGCAACCGCCCCATGGGTCCACGCAGCCGGCAGTAGCCGCGAGGAGCGGCGCTGCCACGGCGGCGGGCGGTGCGGACGCACCGCGGCCTGCCAGCTTAGGCCCACCTTGTGGCCGCTGCTGACTGTGCTTGCTGCTGACGCTGCATCCCTGCAACGCCCGCGTTACTCACATGCCCCTCCTTCCCCCTGCGCACGTGCCTTGCCGCAGGACGCTACTCGCGCTACCGCCAGCAGGTGGGCAGTGGCCGCTTCAAGAATGTGTTCAAGGGGTTTGACGAGCGGCAGGGCATCGACGTGGCGTGGAGCAAGATCGAGGCGGACTCAAACAACCTTGGCCACGAGCAGATGAAGAAGATTGTGGATGACATCAGCTATGGATTAGGCCTGGACCACCCCCACGTCATCAAGGTGCGCGCGCGTGCGCCACGGCCGGGGCCAAGCCAGGCTTGCCGGGTGCCGCGTGGGGCGCTGGCGCGCGCGTGCTGCTGCCTGCACGCTGGCGCCCGCACCAGAAGAGCTGCGGCAGGCTGGTGCAGCCCGGTGCGTGCGGCGTTGGGCTGGCCCTTCTGGATGCACGGTGCGCCGACCGCCGCCTGGCGTGTGCCGCCGCCGCTGCCCCTGCAGTGCTTCCAGTGCTGGGAGGACTCTGATCACAGCTGCATCAACATGATCACAGAGTTCTTCACAAGCGGAGCGCTGCGGTGCGCCCTGCAGCCTGCTCCGGGCTGGCGCTTGCCTGGTCGCCCGCGCGGCCTCGGGCTGGGCCGCCTGTGCCTGCCTCCGCGGCCGGCGGGCGACAGCCTGGCAAGCTGCAGGCAGCGGCCGTGCTGCTGGCGCCCGCGGCAGCTGCCCGGGCAGCCGGCCAAGCGGGTGTGCAGGCCCCTGATGCCTGTGCTTGCATCTGGCGGCTGCCGTGTGGTGCAGGGAGTACCGCCAGCGGCACAAGAGCCTGGACATCAAGGCGGTGAAGAAGTGGGGGCGCCAGATACTGCAGGGCCTGGCCTACCTGCACAACAGGGACCCGCCCGTGGTGCACGGAGACCTGCGGTGAGCAGGCTGTTTGTGTTTTTTTGGGGGGTGCCCCAGCGGGGCCCGTGTCCGGGGTGCTGCAGGCGGAGGCGCGGCCGCGCCTACCCTCTGGCACCGTCGCATGCCTGTCGCGGCCCTCGCTGCCCGCCTTGCCCGCCTGCACCCCTGCTGGCCCAGCGCGCCCAACCTGCGCTCCTGCCCTGCCCGTCCTTGTTCTTTCCACTTCCCAGGCTGGACAAAATCTACATCAACGGCCACAGTGGGGAGATCAAGATTGGCGACCTGGGCCTGGCGGTGCTGGCGCCGCGCCGCTTTGCGCCGGGTGCGCCGCGCCGCCTCGCTCCTCACGCCTGCCAGCCGCCTCCGTGCCCGCCGTCGGCAGCCCGCTTGGCCGCACCCTGCCTGCCACCTGCCTGCCGCTGCCGGCCACCAGCCTGCCGCCCTGCTGGCCCCACCTGACCGCGAGCCCCCTGCCGCGCCGCCCCCTCTGCGCCCCCCGCAGGCGTGATGCCCGAGGGCGACCCCTCAAACCAGTACACTCGCTCCGTGGACATCTTCGCCTACGGCCTGCTCATGCTGGAGCTGCTTGGCGGGCGGCGGGTGGACAAGAACGGCGACACGGGGTACCTGGAGCTGCAGGAGCGGCTGGACGGGGTGCAGGACCCGCAGGCGCAGGCCTTCCTGGCGCGCTGCATGGCGGCGCCGGAGCAGCGGCCCAGCGCGCGGGAGCTGCTGGAGGATTCATTCCTGCAGGTGAGTGTGTTGGTGGTGGTGTGTGTGTTGGGGGGGCAGGCTGGGGCTGGGTGGCTGGCCCGGTTGCCGTGCCTTGGTGGGCGGCTGGGTGGAGCGCGAGTTGTCCGGATGGGCTTCATGTTTCAGGGACAGCCACCTGCCTGCTTTGCCTCGGCCGCCATGTGCCGACCCGCTTCTGGCCCGACCCCCCCGACCCGACTGCAGCCCCCCAAGAAGGCGGCGGCCCCCACCACCTCTGCCGACCAGGAGCTAGTGAAGAGCAAGAGCGACGCGGTGCAGCGGCAAAATAGCGGGGTGCGCGGCGGCCCCGGCGGCCTGCCCGCCTCCCACCCTGCTCCCACCTCCACCCGTGGAGGTTGCCCCCAGCTGGTTGACACCCCTGGGTCCCTCTGCCGCCCGCCTGCAGCCACGGGACGAGTCGTCGCTTCGCGGCGGGCACGCCCCCTCGCTGCCAGGCAGCGACGACGAGCCGGCGGCGTGCGAGGCAGGGACAGGTGCGCCTGGCTGCGAGCGGCGCACGCCTGGGCATCCGGCTCGCTGCCTGGCCGGCGCCGGTGTGCCTCCGCGCTGCCTCGCTGTATGCTGCCCGCCTGACCTGGAAGGCATCACCCTCACCCCTGCCGCCCTCCTGCCCTGCCCCCCGGCCTGCTCGCCCTCAGTGCGCGGCGAGGACTATTGCTTCACATTCACCGGCAAGCTGCGCGACGGCAAGCTGCACTTCCGCCTGCATATGGAGGTGAGGGCTGGCGCCTAGACAGCTGGGCACCGCAGCCCAGCCGCCGCGTGCAAAGGGATGGGTGTGTGGGGCCGTTGGACCTCGCTCTGCTGCGCCCCGCCCCCCGGCCGAGCCCCGCCTTGACCTGTGCCCCGCGCGCCGCGCCGCCGCTGCCGCTGCAGTGGGAGGGGGACGGCGACGGCGGGGATGGCGAGGCGGGCAGCAGCAAGACCATTGACTTTGTGTACGACCCAGACTCAGACACGCCCGGTGGGTGGCCCGCCCCTGGCCTGAACGGATGCTGGGCTGGCTAGCCTGACGACCGCGGCGCTGCTGGGCCGCCTGCGTGCCGGGCCGCCGGCCCTGCTGGGGCCGCGGCCTTTCCATTCAGTGGCAGCGGGCACGGCCGAGCACGTGCTCCCCAGCACGCCTGTTGTGCGCTGTTCCGCGCTCACCCTCGCTGCCTCCTGCGGCCCCCGGCCCAATGCAGACGAGATTGCCGCCGAGATCAGCAACGAGTTTCTGCTGAGCGACACCGACCGCGACATCTGCGCCGCAGCCCTCAAGGAGTGGCTGGACCGCGGCATGGACCAGCAGCAGCAGGCGCAGGCGCAGGGCCGCAACTGGCACTCATCCGGCAACTGACAGCCCGCCCGGGCGGCGACAAGGCAGCATGGCCCCCGTCCCCGGCCCCGGTGTCCGCCCTCGCACACCCACGGCGCCAGCGTGCAGCGCCGCCGCCGCCAGCCTACCCTGGCGGAGGCTGCGGCGCCCCATGGTGCGACTGGCGCCATGTCAACAGTACAGTATCAATAAGTCCAGAGCATTTGATCGAATTACTCCCTGTTTACCACATGTCTACCCCCGCCCTTAGTGCTCAGCTCTCCTTGTGCCTCGCCTTCCATCTCTCACGCCCCACACATGACCGCCAGTTCTATGCCACCCCACTCACCGCCCCAGGCAGCACCGCCGCGCGGCGCTGCCCCACACTCCCAAACCGCATTGCTGTGCCCATCCCTTGCTTTCCCGTCGGCATTCCCGCCCACCCTCCCTGTGCCCCGTCCACAGCGGCTCTGAAGTGGCAGGTGCCGTTGCTTTACCCCTCCCCGCAGGTGCCGTTGCTTTACCCCTCCCCACCTTTGAGCGTTCGCGAGTTTCCCTTCCCTTCCTCCCCCTCAATTCTACCCCCTGTCATCAGTGCACAGGGTGTGGCGCCTGGCGGCACGGCCTGCTGGCGAGATGCACCTTGACGTGCGCCGCCAGCAACCCCCCCCTTCCCCCGCCAGCACCCTGCTCCCAAGACTGGCGTTGCCCAGCTAGAATGCATTGCCTCCCCCCTATGCCTCTCTCGTAGCTTTGACATTGCTCCATCCCGTTACCGCTTGAAACTGCCTTGCGCTGAGAGACAAAAGGCGAGGCGTGTGGGGGGGGGGGGGATTGGCCAGGCGATTCAGCGAGCTGCCGAGTTGTGGAGGAAAAACAGGCATCAGTTCCACTCCTGCCATCTCTGTGCCTGTTAAAACAAAGAGTCATGTCGGTGCAAAGAATGGTTGCAAAGGGTGGCTTGTACATCAACAGAAGGCAACAGAAGGTGAGGAGGCATGCGTGCTCCTGGTCGTGCATCGTGTGTGTTTTCCAACTGCAGCACGAATGTTGGGTCCCTCTCCCTCATCCTCACATACCGTTAACTGGCAAAATACCCTTCTGCCCCTGGCCTGCCGTTGATGGCTCGCCTGTCATGATTACTTGGCCGCGACCCCTGTGGGCGGCGTGGCTGGCGCCGCCTGATGCTGGCCCTCGCCCAACTGCGGCAGCTGGCTGCTGCGTGCGCTACTGTTGCGCCGTGGCTTGATGATTGAGACCATGGCGCGAAGCTCCTGGATGATCTCTGCAAGGAGGCAGGCAGGCAGGCAGGCACAGGATGGTGGGCATCAGGCATGCTCGAGCCTGCCAGTGGCTGCTGCTGTGATATGCATGCTGAGCAAGATTCAGGGCCTGTCATGCTGCAGCACTGGCTCAGGCATGGCAGCAGCAGCCGTGGAGCCCTCTTACCGGGGAATGTGGGTCGGGCGGCGGGGCTGTCGGCCCAGCAGCGCTCCATGAGAGTGCACCAGCCAGGCGCGAGCTCTGGGGGAGCCTCTCCTGCATTCCACGCAAGAACAACCAATCAACTTTGCAGTCATGCAATGCACGCAGCAGGGAGGGAGCCGAGGCCAAGCCGCAAGCTCGTGCGAGCTGGGCGGCAGCTCACCCTCCCACTCTGGGCTGCCGGGCAGCGGCGGGCGCAGCTGCTCCTTGGGGCTGGCCAGGCGCATCATGAGGGCGTGGTAGTTCATGCCCGCGTACGGCTCCTGGGATGTCCACAACTCCCACATAACCTGCAGGGCAGGCAGGCAGGCATGCAGGCAGGTGGGGACGCGGTATGAGGGACAGCAGATGGCCGGCCGCCAGCAGCATAGAAGAGTAGTTCGGCGGCATAGATCTTCAGGCCTGGCCTGCTTCGCACCACGCCGAAGGAAAACACGTCGATCTTCTCCGTCACGGCGTCCGGCGTGCGCAGGATCTCTGGGGCCGTCCACGGCAGCGTGCCGCGCTGGGAGCTCACGCCGCTCACAAACGTCTGGACCTTCTGTTGGGCGGCAGCGCAGCGGGCGACGGCGGGCAAGCATGAGCGCAGTAGGTCGTCAGCCGGCGGGAGCTTGGCAGGCACCTGACTGCACCAGGCAGCCAATCTTTGCATCTCTTTACTGCGGAAGGGCCAACAGCCACCACCGCCGCCAGCTGCTTGCCTGCTTGCTCAGCCCAAAGTCTGCCACCTTGCAGATCGGGCGGCGGTCGCGGTAGCCCAGCAGCAGGTTGGCCGACTTCAGGTCAAAGTGGACCAGCGACTGCAGGGGGAAGGGTGGGTGGGTGGGTGGGTGGGTGGGTGGGTGCAGGGTCGCAGCGGTAGCGGCAGACTGCAGGGAGGGCGGCTCCACAGCTCGGTGCAGCGCTCTGGGGACCCCCCACCTTGCTGTGCAGGTACTCCATCCCCTGCGGCGCAGAGGGCAAGGTTGGCAGCGGGAGCCAGTGAGCCATTGTCTGTGTGATGCCCTCTACCAGCCCAATGCATTCGGTACCCATGCAGCCTGCACCACAGCTTGCGGTGCAGCACATGCGCAGCGGCCTCGCACCTTGGCGGCATCCAGCGCCAGCACCACCCGCGTCAGCGGGCCTGCCACGATGTCCGCCCTGCGCGCCAGAGCGCTCTTCAGGCTGCCCCCCGCCATGTACTCTGCAGCGCGGGCCAGGCAGCAGCAGGAGCCAGAGGTGGTTGCAGCCAGGGGCAAGGCTCGGTGCCAGCTTGGGAAATGTACATCTCTACGGTGCCGCCTCTTCCATCCACGACCCTCCCTGCATTGCTGACACAAGCGGCCAGCCCTGCTCACCTGCCACCAGTGCAGGCGGCCGCACCATCCCCGGGGTCATGCCGCTGTGCCGCATGCCGCAGGCAATCACGTCCACCACGTCGCCCCCGGGGCCCCGGCTGCTGGTACCTGGGCTGGTGCCCTCCGGGGGACTGGGGCTGCCCCCCTCCTCGCAGCCGCTGCCCGCGCCGTCGAGGCTGGCACCGGCGCTGTCCCCTTCCGGAGGCAGCCGCGGCAGCACGATGCCATACACCCACACCTGCGTGGCCAGCGGCATCAAGAACAGGATAGCAGTCAGCAAAGGATGTGGAAGCAGGCAGGCGATCTTGGCGTATCAGCAATTGGCCCCGGCCATGCAGCCGCCGCAATGCGAGGAATGGGCTGGAGAGGCTGCGGCGGCAGGTGGCATGGCGTACCACGTTGGGGTGCCTCATAGACCCCAGCAGATCTGCCTCCTTGATAAGGTCCACAATGGCACTTCGGTTGACGGAGCTGAACTCGCCTGCAGCGAGTGCGAAGGGCAAGGCGGTGGCAAGTGGGGGAACACAGCAGTGGTGGGCTGGTGGTGTGCACGCAGGCAGGCGCCTAAGGTGTGCAGGCTCACCTCCGCCAAAGAAGAGGCTGGGGTTGAGGCACTTGACGGCGACGTCGCTGGCGTGCCAGCGCCCCAGGTACACGTCGCCATACCTGCGGCAGCATGCCGTGAGCGGCAGGGCGGAGCAGCTGGATGTCTGTGGCAAGCTGATGTCTGTGGCAAGCCGGATGGCCAAAATCCCTCGCCAAGGCACACCCGCCACTGCCGAGGAAGCGCAGGAGCTGGATGTCGGCGGGGTCAATGATCTCCATCTTGTCTATCAGCGCCTTGAGGTCCACACCCCCTCCCCTGCTGCCAGCCTGCGTGCATGCCGGAGCGGGCCGGGCATGGCGGCAGGGACCCTTGAGCTCAGGCACAATCCATCCGTGTGGCGGGCCAGTGGTGGGCAGGCGTAATGCGCAATGCAGGCCCGCTTTCGCTGTGAGATGATGGCCAGCCCTCCCCAGCAAGCATCCCAGCTGCTTGCTCACCGTGCCTGGGGACTTGCCACTTTGAGAGCTGTGGGCAGGCTTGGCCCGACCATCCACTGACGGCTGCGTGCCAGAAGCGCCGCCCTCCGACTCTGCAGCAGGGGGTGCGGGAGGCATGCAGGCTGGGAGCCTTGCGAAGCCGTGCATGTGGTGCCGACAGCAGCCTGCCGCATTCAGCATGCAACACATTCCACTCCATCCCAAACCGGGACTTCACCGTGCCCAGCCTCCTGGCCCTGCCCCTGAGCCTCTCCCGTGTGCGGCCCGCTGGCGGTGGTGTGCGGCCCGCTGGGCCCACGGTCCTCAGAGTCTGCCAGGCTGACGTCCTGGGGGCTGCGCCACTGCGGCAGTGCAAGGGCAGGAGCGGGGCAGGCGTCAAAGTCGAGCACAATGAACAGGGAGGGACAACCACCTGCTGAGCAAGCGCTTCCACGATCCATGCCGCCGCTGCCCCGGGCCGCACCTGGACAAAGATGTGGAGCTTGCCCGTGGCGCCACCGCCGCTGCGCTGCTCATCCCACTCATCCCACATCAGCTGCACCAGGGAGCGGGCAAGCACGCTGTCCCCACATGTAAGCCACGACACAAGCCACGACACAAGAGCCATGCCGCCCTTCCCATGCCCTTTTGCTCTGCTCCCGTCAGGCTGCCTGCCGGCCTCGTCGCCAAGCACACTGCCCTGCCCTGCCCCATCACCAAGCACACTGCCCTGCCCTGCGCTCACCGCCACATCGTCGTCGTCCAACAGATCCACCCACACCCCGGGGTCGCTGGGTAGCCGGTACTTGAGCACGGGCACCTGCTGGCAGTGTTGAAAGTAGGCAGGCGGAGCAAATGAGGGTGGGTGAAAGGAGGTGTGGCAAGGTGGCGGGGTGGCAGGAGGAGGCGCGGGGGCAGGCGTTCTGTGCCCAGGGGCAGGAATGCATTGGCTGGGACTCACAAAAGTGCGCGGCGCAGCGTCGGAGGTCGAGTCGGGGCTGTGGCTGGCGCCGCCCAGCGGCGCTGTGGCCCGCTCCAGGGCCTCCACCAGCGAGTGATGGTCGCAGTGGAAGGGCACAGCCACGAGCCGGGTGTCGCCACCTGGCGCCAGGGCAGGGGACACAAAAGCTAGGTGCTTGTGCAGGTTGGGAAGGCAGAGGCATGAGTGAACCACGGCCAAACTCTCTGCCACGTTCGGCCACCGACTCACCTTCATAGTCCCAGCCGCCCGCTGCCGTAGGCATGCTCAGGAAGCTGCCGCCACTGCTGACCACCACCTTGGCTGTGCGGGCGATGCCCGCCGCGTCGCGGGACCAAGCAGACACACTGTAGAAGGCAGAGTGGGCGGGGCTGTGCCTGCTGGCGTCAACATTGGGGGCGCTGCCGCCGCTGGCGCTGCTGAGGCTGGGGGCCCAGTGAACCGAGTGGGCGGCCCCGGAAGGTGCCAGGCCAGGGGCTGCCGCCGGCGCTGCCATGGCTGCTGTCGGGGCTCCCGGGACCGCGAGGGCAGGTGTGGCTGTGGCGAGGCCGGCGGGTGAGGCAGCGGCCAGCAGGCCTGCCTGCAGCAGGGCGGACGCCTGCTGTGGCACTGCCGCCGCTGCTGCGGCGGCTGGGCCGTGAGTCAGGCCAGAAGCCACCGTGCTGCCTGACTGGCGCTGTGTGCTGGCAACAGAGCCTATGCTGCTGTGTGCCAGCACTGAGGCTGGCGGTGGTGTGCTGACTGCACTGGCATAGGCTGTGGATGCTGACATTGCCAGCCCAGGCACTGATGGCAGCAGCCCTGAAACTGCTGCGAGACCCGTGCCCGCAGCAGGCAGCAGCACGCCTGCTGCGATGGATGCTGCCAGCGGCGCCGATGCTGGCACAGGCACAGTGACAGGTACCGCCGCGGCGGCCACCGCTGCCTTGTGCAGCTGCACTGCGGCAGAAGCCGCCACAGCCGCCTCGCTGGCTGCCGTGGTGTAAGCGGCTGCCGCCTGCTGCACGGCCACTGCCGCCTGTGCCTGCTCCAGCAGGGTGCTGGCAGTGGCTGCCTGGGTGGCGGCCGCATGATACACTGCGGCAGCAGCCTGCTGCTCTGCTGTCTTCTGCGCGTGAACATGCTGGGCGGCGGTGGCAGCGCCCGCCAGTTGCACAGCGGCTGGGCTTGGCAGCGGGGGCGCTGGCGCCTGCGCGCTGATTGCGTCGCTGCTGAGAGGCAAATGCTGCGCAGCGGCAGCAGCTGTGGCTGTGGCTTCCGCTTGCCTCTGTAGCTGGGAGCTGGCCTCCTGGGCTGCTGCCGCCTCGGTGCCTGCAGCGGAGTATGCCCGCGCAGCCTGCTGCGCGGCAGCCACCGCCCTTCCAGCGCTCACGACATCCGTGGCCGTCGCTGCTTGAGAGGCGGCCACTTGGTAGGCCGTGGCTGCTGCCTGCTGCTCCGCCTGCTTCTGCAGAGCTACCTGCTTGGTGGCAACCGCTGCCTGCGCCAGCTGCGCCACCTGTGTGCTGGCCTCTGCTGCGGCCGTGGCAGCTGCTGCCTGCTGCAACTGGCAGCCGGTTTCCTGCGCAGCCGCCGCCTCAGATGCGGCGGCAGAGAAAGACGCCGCAGCCTCCTGTGCCGCTGCGACAGCCATGCCCGCTGCGACTGCATCGCCAGCGGTGGCTGCCTGGCTGGCGGCCACTTGGTAGGCTGCTGCTGCCGCCTGCTGCTCCACCTGCTTCTGTGCTGCCAACTGCATGGAGGCGGCGGCTGCCTGCGCCAGCTTTCTGGAAGGCGAGCTGAGGGCGCTAGTAGAAGGTAGGGCACTAGTAGTGCCTGTGGTCGTAGCAGCCGCAGCGGCTCCACCTGCGCTGCATGTGGAAGCCCCGCCAGCAGAGGAGCCTCCCGTGCTCCTCACTGTAGCAGCGGAAGGGGAGCTGGGCCGAATTTGGGGCTGCTGTGGCCCAGCTGCAAAGGCTGACATTCCCGCCAGGGTTGCTGGGAGACCTGCAGCAGCAGCAAGGGAGGAGAAAGGAGAAGCGGAGCTAGAAATGCAGCTAAGCAGAAGCAAACATTCAACACTGCCACTGAACCAGCTGGTGGCTATTGCGCCAGCTGGAGAGCCCTCTTGTATGCTGCACCTCCCTCCCATACCTGCATGCTGCTGCATGACCGCTGGGTGTTGCTGCTGGGCTGGTGGCACTGTGCACACCGACGCCTGCTGCTGCTGCTGGCCACCAGCAGCTGCAAAGCTGCTTCCAGCTGATAGCACATTGCCTCCAGATATGCTCAGCCAGCTGCTGCCTGACTGCCCAAGCCCGCGCGCTGCGGCCGGCACGGCGGCTCCCTGGGTCCCCACTTGCTGGAGTGCAGGCATCGGCAGCAGTGCAGTGCCTGGCTGGCTGGGCTGCGCGGGCGCTGGAACGGCTGCAAGCGCCGATAGCTCCGGAACAGAGGCCAGCTGGCTTGCTGGCAGCTGCCCCGGCCTTGCGCGCGATGGCGGAGACCCCGCCAGCAGGGGAGGCGGTGGAGCAGGCACGCCTGGCGGCATCAGCTGCTGGCCGCCCAAAGCCACAGCGCCAGAGGTGCCGAATTGGAGCAGGGGCGATGGTTGCAGCTGGTTGGTTGATGGCATCCACAGGGAGCCAGCCACTGGCTGCATGGCGCTAGCGCAAGCGGCTGGCTGTGGCACAGCGGCGCCCATGGCTGGGGCCGGGGCAGGTGTGGCAGCTACTGCAACTGGGGCAGCGGCTAGCGGCAGGGCGCCCAGGAACGCTGCATGAGGCAGAGCAGCCACAGGCACTAAATGCGTGGCCTGCGGCTGCTGCTGAGGCACTAAATGTGCGGCCTGCGGCTGCTGCTGTGGCTGCACAGGCTGCAGAGCGCCTGCACCTGAGCCAACCGCTGTCGCAGAGAACTGCGGGCCAGGCTCTTGCTCTCTTGGCTGGTTGGCTGTCATCCCTCTCGGCTCACTATCTCTGCAGTGCATAGGTTGAACACAGGCAGCGTGGTTCGTGCAAGATAATGCCTTCAGGGCCTCCCTTGGGCTGCAGGGCGGGGGTCGAGGCGCAGTGTGGGCGCTCTCAAGTGTGCGGCGGCTCTCTCGGTGCTACGCAGACAAGGGCTCTGAGCAATTTGGAAGGCCTGGCAGGCTTCCAGTGGGGACAGCGTTTGGAACCTTCACCTTTTTGGTGCTCACACCCTGTCGGGGCCGCTCGGTTGGCTCTATTCAGGTAGGGCTGCCTGCTGCCAGTGGCAGCAGCAGGCATGCACTGCGCAGCGCTGCGCAGTGATGGGGGTGGTAGCGAGTGCACACCTCCCCCCTTTCCGGGCCTGGAGATGAAGTGTACGAGTCAACACGGCGCCAGAAGCGGCAAAAGGAGGCGCTGTGAGCCTGTTTCGTGACTAATCCACGTGCTAAAGGCCAGGGCATTCCACCTGGGATCAAAGCTCAGAACTCCATTTTCCGCATCCCCCCGACGCTCAAACGTTCAGTTAAGCTCAAGAAGAAGCATTGCAGGCAGTGGGCCTGGCTCTGATCTTGCCGTCGGCGCGGCGGTAAGGAGTGCGACTGGCGGCGCTCCCCTCGCTGTACTGGCTTGCCTCCCGACTTAGGAGCACGCAATGGGAGATGGCGATGAGATGAAGGGAGGGCCTTCTGTGCTACAGAAAGAGTGATGGTGATGCCCACTCCCATCGTGGGGCTCCCGCCCGCGGCGGGTGCTGACGTGGCGCCGCAGCCTTGCATTCAAAGCTGGCCACTTGCATGGCTGTTGCCATGTCCACCTCATCTCTTCTTCTAGGGTCTGGAAGGGCCTGGTAGGTCGGCTCTCGAACGAGCACGGTTCAAACTTGAACGATGGCTGCGAATGCTGCAGCACTTGCGCTCCAGCGGCCTGCAGGGTAGGTTTTCATCCTCCAAGCCTCACGATATGATCGCAATACAGGCTGGCTCCCTCTGTGAATGTGCATCTTGAAAATTGAAATTGCCCACTCACACCCTCCTCCTGCTTCACTCACACCCTCCTCCCTGTCCCAATGCAGCCTGGTCCGCCCATGGGCCTCCCGGGCCATCACGACACGCCGGCGCCCCACGGTGCTGCCTCGCGCGGCGGCGCCGCGGTGGCGCTGCCGCACACAGGTGGCGGCCGGCAGCCTGGAGGCTGCGGCTGCTGCTGCTGCGATGACTGGCGAGGTGCACGAGTTTTTCCTGACCATGATGGCCATGGGGTTGGCGGCGTCGATCGCCAGCGGCACCGCCCACGGGCTACAGCAGGCGATCGCCACCTACGCGGCAGTGGTGGCGGCGGCGCTGGGGCTAGCTGGCGTGGCCCCCGCCGCCAGCGGCGCTGTCGCAGCCGAGGCGAGGCAGGCTGCGCCTGGGGCGGTGGTGGGCGGGCAGGCGGCGAGGTCGCTGGCGGGCGCGCAGCTGCAGTTCAAGCTGAAGACCATCCAGGTGGCATCGGTGGCGCTGGGGACACTCATCACCGCTGCTCACGTCATGGAGCGCTTGACCCTGCGAGCAACGGCCGCAGTAAAGGAGGCAGCGGCGGCCTCTGACGCAGGCTCAGCCACCCCCGTGCTCGCGTTCGCCACAGCCGCTTCTAGTGTGTCTGCCCCCAAGGCCAACCCTGTGGAGCAGCAGCAGGCGAGCAGTCCTGACAGCAGGCAGGCTGATGTGCCGGCTGCAGCCGCTGGGGACCAGCAGGCAGAGCAGCGGCTAGGGGACGCTGTTGTGGCTGTGACTGAGCACCAGGAGGTAGCTGTGGAGCACCAAGAGCCTGCGGCTGGGGTGGCAGCAGACAGCGTTGCAGCAGCTGCCGAGGAGCAGAAGGAGACACCTGCCGCTGAGCGAGCTGCTGAAATAGCAGCTGCATCGGTGGAGGTAGATGAGGAGGCGGCGCAGCCTGTGCCCACCCTGGCGGCTGGCAGGCAGCTGTTGGCAGGGAGCTGGCAGCCCAGCGTGCCGCTTACGCCCGGCAGGCAGATGGGTGCAGGCAGCTGTGGACTGGCCGAGCGGCTGGCTATTGCAGCGCCATCCAGTGCAGTGGTGGTGGAGGCAGCGGCAGCTGTCGAGCTGGCAGCAGCAGCGGTCCAGCTGGCCCATGCTGCAGTGGAAGTGGCAGAGGCGGTGGCAGCTTCACACGATGAAGACGAGGCGGCAGCTGGCGAGGCAGACATGGAGCTTGTGCCATCTACTCATGCACCATCGGCAGCTGCGCATCTGACTGCTTGCGATGGGGCAGAGGCAGAGGAGGCCGCACCAGTGGGCGAGCGGAAGGCTGGCGAGCAGGAGGAGGGGCCGAGAGCTGATGCTGTCCCAGCCGAGGCGCAGGAGCAGCAGATTAACCAGATGGAGCCGCCCAACGGCGATGCTGTGCGGCCCGGCATGAGCATCGAGGAGGCAACCACGGTGTGCCACAGTGCTGCCTGCCCCTGCTGGAAAGCTGCCTGCCACTGCTGGCCATCTCCTAGGAGGGCTGCCACGATGTGCCACCAGCGTGCCTGCTTATCCCTCTGCTGGTGCAGGATGTGAAGCGGTGGATGGCGGCATGGCATAGCGGCAGCGCGGGTGAGCAAGAAGCACCGGCAGGGGCGGAGGCGGCCCCCGCCGCAACATCTGCCGCCGCTGAGGACAGTGACAGCAAGGAGGCGCCACCTGCCAGTGACAGCAAGGAGGCGCCACCCGCCAGCGGCGCGGAGGAGGAGGAGGCCAGCCCCATTGCTGCGGCAGCTCCCATCACCCGCATCACCGAGCCGTCCCTGCCTGGCATTGCGGCTGCTGTGCTGGCTGCCATCACCGCTGATGCGCCGGTGGCCTCCACTCCTGTGGCGGCAGGCGATGCCTCCAACGGCGCCGCTGCTGCCGCCCAGGAGGCAGAGGGGCAGGCAGCCGAGGTGGTGGAGGCAGAGCAGGAGCCTGTGCTGGCCCTTGCATTGGCGGCACCTGTGGCCCCCGTCCCCGTCGGGCCGTCCACCCAGGAGCGCGAGGCTGCCTACAAGGCACGCATTGCTGCCGTGCTGGCTGAGTCAAAGCTGGCGGGAGGCATGCACGCACCTGGGCACGTTGCTGCAGGTGCCGCCGGCGGCGCCCTGGCGGCCTCCCAGTCGCAGCAGCTGCAGCCGCAGGCCCTGCGCAACAAGCACCTGGCGATGCGCAGCAAGGTGGGGCCGGGGCCTGCCGGGAGTGGCCACGATGGTTGGGATGTGGCGGGGCGCCTCGCAACTGCTTTGCCCCATGTGCCACTCCCAGAACCGAGCATACTGCCTCTGCCCACCGGCTGCTTTCCCCTGCGCCTGCGCCCTCCCCCGCAGGGCATGGACTGCCTGCAGGGCGCCCCCAGCTTCCAGCGCATTGCACCGCACCCGGCCTCCGGTGCCGCCGCGGCCCCAAGCCCCGAGTGGGTACCCGCCTCCTACCAGCCGCACCAGCGCCAGGCTGCCCAGGAGGAGCTGATGGCACGCAGCAACCGCATCCTGCAGAACCTGGTACGTGGCTGTGCGTGGGGTGGCTGTGTGGGTGCAGGGTCTGCCAAGAGTGCGGGGGTGCCTTGGAGAGGGCGATTGCCGCAGGGCTGTGGAAGTTGTGGTCAGCCACTTGCCGTTGCTGCCTACTGCTCCCCTCGTGTGCAGGCAGCGCTGGAGGCAGCAGAGCGGCGGCAGCAGCAGGAGGCGGCACCCTCGCGCTTTGCTCGCGTCATGGCCATCGCTCACTTCGCCTGGCAAGCGCTGCTGGGCCTGTGTCTGACGCTGCTGGCAGGGCTGGCAGCGGTGTGCCGGGCGGCACAGCGCGGGGCGGGGCGCCTGGCAGACCGCCTGACCGGCATCAGCGATGGCGACGAGGACAGCAGTTCAGGCGCCCCAACCTTTCCACCCCCGGGCATGTTGCCTGGCGGCGGCGCCACGCCCGGCGTGAGCGGCTTCCAGCGCTGAGCGCCTGCTGCTGGCTGCAAGCTGCCAGATTATCTCCTGTGCATTATCTTACCCTCATATGTATGCCCTTTCTGTGTGCCCCTCAGCCAGCACCGTGCCCTTTGCAATTCTGCCTAGTTAGATGTGATCATGGTGCAATGTCAATGTCTTTTTAACTTGATGCATGAGCGTACCCTTTCAAGTGCCCAGCCCCCTTCTGCTGTGGATCAGATTGCTCCGTGTTAGTCCAGCACTGCTCGACCGCCATTTGCGTTTTCCAGTGTCTTTCCCTATTAAATGCCGAGTGATTCAGCCTGCTTGTGAGTCCTAGTATTGATCGTGCTGCCAAGTTTACAGCAGCGAGCAAGTACAATGAATGGGCGGCTGACACAATGGAATGGGAGCAGTGCTGGGCAGGGGGACAGGGTCAGCAGTCGGTTGAGAGTAGCGATCAGCAGTCAGCAGTCAAAAGGGAGTACAAGCAGATGCGGACAGCAAGCAGGGGCGGAGAGCAACAAGCAGCAGACGCCAAGAGTGGAGCAGGGAGGGCAGTGACAAGCACAACAGACAAGGAGGCAGCATGGCGGGTGAGATCAGCCATCACTGCGCCAGCATGCGCCGCCGTATGAGCTCTGGGCGCTGGCTCTTCTTGATGTGCTCCACCAGCCACTGCACTGCCGGCTTCACCCCCTCCCCCGTCCGCGCCGTCACCGCTTGCACGCTGCAGGCCCGCGCATCGGGCAGCTTGCCCACCCCAAACACCTCTGCCACCTCGGCGGGCGAGGCCGCCCCCTCGCAGTCGTGCTTGTTGGCCAGCACGAGCAAGGGGGCGCCATACAGGTCGCGGTCGCCTGCAGGCGCGCAGGCGGGCGGCATCAAGCAGGAGCCATGAATGGACAGGCTGCTGCACCCTCCTGTGCGCAGGCAGCAGCACAAAATCAGCTGCATTCAGCACGCACAGTGGCCACCGAGGTGCCGGGGCAGGCCTGCCGCCTGCCGCCCCGTTGCATGTGACCACCCCCACCTAGCGCACGGTCCAACGCCAGCTTGGCCTCCTCCAGCCGCTGCCGGTCGGCTGCGTCCACCACAAACACTAGGGCGTGGCACTCGCCATAGTACTTGGACCAGATGCCGCGCAGCCCCGACGCGCCCCCCACGTCCCAGCACAGCAGCGGCGTGCCCAGGGCCTGCGGGCAGGAGAAGGAGCGGGATGGCAGCGGTGGTGAGGGCAAGCCTCCCGGTTCGCTGGCAGGCCGGTCGCCACAGGCTCCACGCCCAAACCCGCCGCGGCACCCGCCACCCCGGCGGCCTTGGGCAGTCGGCCGGCGCCACCAGGCTGTGCCTACCTCGAAGTGGGCCAGGTTGAGGCCCACGGTAGGCAGCACCTTGTCCGCCTCCAGCCCGGGCACGTCTGTGTACAGCGTTTTGAGCCGCTCCAGCAGCGTGGTCTTCCCCGCCTTGTCCAGACCCACAATCAGGATGTGCAGCTCCTCCTTGCGCAGCATAAACTCGAAACAGCCCGACAGGAGGCTGAACATGGTTGCGATCGCTTCGCCAGTCCCTCCCCTGTGTTTCTGTAGATGAAACCTTCCTCCCTTTCAATGGGAATGGTTGCCAGGGCGGTGCAGTTATCCAGGCTGCACCAAAAAACGAAGGACAGGCAGTACTTAGTGTGGGCTCCGTATTCAGAAGCGATCCAGACGCTCACCGTGTAATGGATCACTGCGCCATGGCTTCCTGTCCATTCTGCTCCATCCAGCAGTCCTCTGCTTGGTGCGGGAGTTGCTCTCTCTGGGCACTGCTTCTGTCGCTTGTTGACGCTGACCAGGGCGTTGTCCCGCTGCAGAAGGCCCGCCCCTGATTGGTCGCATGTGCCCTGGTGCGCCGTGCAGGTGCCGCCGACAGGTGCCGCCCGTGCAGCGCCGGCGCCGTGCCTTCGCCGTCACTGCAGAGGAGGGCCAGGCAGCAAAACGCTCCGGCCCCAATCATGAGCGAAGGCAGCGGCGGCATCGCCATCAGCGCCGTGAGCAGCAGCAGCAGCAGCAGCCCCCAGCAAGCCCTCCTGCCCCTGTGACAGGCAACAGCCCCTGGAAGCTGATGGGCCGGATGGTGAACGAGCAGCGCGTCATGCTCCAGGCCAGTGAGCATTTCAATCAAGGGCTGGTTAGAAGTGCAGCGGCCATCGAGTCTGGCCTGGAGTATGAGGAGTTTGAGCTGCGGTTGCAGGTGGGTTGAGGCACAGGGTGCGCATGCCCAGCATCCCACCCTGCAACCTCCCTCAGCTAACTGCTGCCTCTTGCCGCCGAACCTCAACCCATGGCCCCCGCCTGCCCGCCCCCTGCGTGCAGCGCCTGCTCACGCTCATGCCCTTCCTCCAGCAGCGCCTGCTGCGCATCCAGCCCAAGCTGCTGGCCGCGCTGGCGGCAGACCCGGACCTGGTCGCCTCACGCCTGGTGGAGCTGAAGATGCTGCTGCCCGCCGTGGACGTGGCAAGAGTCGCGGGGCAGCGCCCCTCGCTGCTGCTCGCCGGCGAGTGGGAGTGCGTGCCTGGGGCGGTGGCGCAGCTGCTGGCGCACTACAGCCAGGAGGAGGCGGCGTCCCTGGCGTCTGCGGAGCCGCTGCTGCTGGCAGAGGATGTGGAGGCGGTGCTGGCAGAGCTTGCGAGGTGGGTGGGTGGGTGCTGAGCAGCTGCTACCTTGTGGGGCTTTCTGTGGGACAGCCTGCAGTGCTGCAGCTTGCCTCCTCTGTGGGCCCGCCAGGGCTGCCGGGCACGCAGGCCGGGTGGCAGCTGTGCCGCCCAGCACCAGCCTGCTGCTCCCGCTGCCCTGCTCGTGTTGCAGGCTTTTGCCGCTGCAGGATCCGGTGGCTGCGCTGCTGGCGCGGCCGTCTCTGGCCAGCAACGTCAGCCGCCTGTCCCACCTCAGCCTCTGGTAGCCAGCCGTCTTGCGAGGCGAGCAGGCCTGCGCCACCCCCTGCCTCCACCCTCCTACAGGCTGGCACCTGCCAACACCGACGTCAAGAGCATGCTGCTGGCCAAACCGAGCCTATTGTACGGCGTGCAGAGCGGCACTCGCTCGCTGGGCCCGGGTGCCGAGTTTATGGAATGAACAACCACACATTGATCTACTTTACTGCCTCCAGTTTATTGCCTTAAAATGCGACGAACGTCTCGCTCACACCTCGTCGCGCCGCGGCGGGCGGGACGGGGCGGGACGGCCGCCACTCATCACTGCTCTTGCCGGGCCGCCCCGCGGCTCATCGCAGTCTCGATGTATCAGCAGGGTGGCTACCAGCAGCCTGGGGGCTTTGGCCCCCCAGGTGGGGGCTTCGGGGCCCAAGCGGCTCCGTTTGGCGGTCACCAGCCCGCCCCCTACCATGGCGCGGGGCAGCGGGACGAGAGGGCTGGTGACGATAGACTCGGCAAGACAAAGGGGGCCAAAGACCCGGTGCTGGCAGTGGCGAGGTGAGGGGGCCCGGCAAGCGGCCCGCCGCGGCCCCAAGGCGCAACTGCGCGGCCTGGGCAGGCCGGCTGACACCCCTCCCCCCTCGATCACGACCGCAGGTGGCTGAAGGCGCGCAGCCAGAAGGAGCGTCTATACCTTGGCGTGGCGGCAGGCGTGCTGGTGCGTGAGCGCGTTGATCGTGGGGCAGCTATGGTCAATGGCATCCCCGGATTGCTGCGCCAGCCCAGCCGTGCCCCTCGCTGCGATGCAGTGCCTGCTGCTGCTCTGGTTTGTCGTGGAGGACCATGACACTCTGTTCATCCTCTCGGAGAGCGTGCACTTCATGGGAATCGGCCTGCTGGCCTACAAGCTGATCAAGAAGCGGGCGGCGGGAGGTGGGCAGGATGGGCAGCGCCGCCGCCTGCTGCCTGCCCAAGCTCTCTTCGCTACGCTGCCTCGTGCCAGCTCCATGTGCCAGCGTGCAATAAAGTGGGGCGTGGCCACATTCTGCACTCGCAGGCCTGTCGCTGAGGACGCAGGAGCTGACGGCGGCGTTCCTGCTGGTGCGCCTGTTCTGCTCCTTCATGATGGAGTATGACATACACACCCTCCTCGACTTCCTCACCCTCGTGGCAACAGGTGCGCGACGCTGTAGCGTGCGTGGCCTGACCCTGCTGCTGGCGCCGTGCGCTGATGGTTTTGCAAATATTCAATGGACGCGTGGCGCGGCCGGGCAGCACCCGCCAACGGAGCAGCCACCCTGGCTTTGGATCTACCTGCTGCATCTGGAGCGGCAGCAGCTGAGGGGCGGCTAGTGTGTTAGCTGCCCGAGCGGAATTGCCAGGCACCCAGCAGGCGGGGAAGCATCTTGCGGCAGGCAGCAGGAGAGCTCGCAGCACATTACCAACCGTCCCTGGGGCGAGCACGATCAGCGTCCCGCTGCTGCCCCGGCAGTGGCGTTGAAAGCATCAGCCGAATCTGCTGCTGCTGTTGCTGTTCTGCCTCCTGCAGGCTGGGTCATCTTCAGCCTGCGCGGCCCGCTCAAGGAGTCCTACCAAAGCGACCTGGACGTCACCAACCCGCTGCTGGTGGCGGCGCCCTGCCTGCTCATGGCCATCATCGCCCACCCCTCCACGCGCCACTTCATCCTCTTCAGGGTGCGCCTCTCGTGGCGGCTGGCGCTGCCGTGTGCTGGCAGCAGCGGCAGGCAGGCAGCAAGGGGGCTGTGCAGCAGAAGTGAAAAGCAGCTGGCAGCCAGGGCATGCGTGCAGCGGCCCGCTGACGAGCGTGGCAGCGAGCTGACCCCTCATTCAGGCTCGTCTGCCAGCATGGCCTGCCAGCCTCGCTCGCCCTTCTGCCCGCGCCTCTAACTGCCTACCTCACTGTGCCGCCCCGCTGCCTGCCTGCCCGCCCGCCCGCCCGCAGATCCTATGGGCCTTCTGCGTGTACCTCGAGGCGGTGAGCGTGCTGCCGCAGCTGCGCATGATGCAGAAGGCCAAGGTGGTGGAGAAGTTCACGGCGCACTACGTCTTTGTGCTGGGCCTCTCGCGCTTCATCTCCTGCGCGCACTGGATCCTCCAGGTGCTGCGGGGCGGCGGCGGCGTGTGTGTGCCCCGAAGCAAGCGACACCAGCCACCCAGCCGGTGCAGTTGCACGCCTGCAGTGGCCTGCAGTGCAGCATGCGGCGCTGACGCAGGCTTGTTGCCGCCCCTGCCGCAGATCCTGGACGGGGACAAGTACCTGTGGCAGGCGCTGGGCAGCGGGCTGTGGCCCGTCATGGTGCTGGTGTCGGAGATCGTGCAGGTGGGCGGCGCTTGCTGGTGTGGTACCTGGTGGGACGGCAGCAGTTGGGCCGCAGGGGCCAGTTGTGATGTTGGGCTGCATGTGGCAGTCGTCTGCGTCGCCGGCTGGCTGCCGGCCCGGCTGGTGGCCACGATCCACCTTCTTGCCTCCCTCCTTACCTCCCCACCGCTTCCGGCACCCCACTCACGCAGACCTTTGTGCTTGCGGATTTCTGCTTCTACTACCTCAAGTCGTATAGCGAAGGCACCGGTGTCATCCACCTCCCAGCCGGCATCGTCTGATGGAAGGGGAAGCTTTGTTCCATTCTGTCTCCCGCTGGTGTTCCCCACCTTTGCTGCTCTGCCGAATGAATGAATGGGAGCGCTGGGGCAGCCAGCCACCATCTCAATTCCGCCACCTGTCTTTGCTCGGTTGACTGCGTGGGGATTGGCTCGTTTCTGGACAGCCAGAGGCCGCCAGTCCCTCTTTCTGCTGGTGTCTAACTGGCATCTGGGCTCCTTGCTTTCAGGATTGTTTATGCTGTTTGCTTCTTGTTTGTATGGCACGCCTTGTGGATTGTATGGCACGCCTTGTGGATTGTAAGGCTGCCACTGCACCGCTGCCGTCCCAACCGGCTGCTGCACCAACAGGCTTGTGGGTGGCGGCAGAGGGTGTCACTCACAATCCACAGCAGCAGAATACCCACTGGCAGTGCTGCGAGTGCAGGGCAAGATGAGTCGTGTGCTTGCAGCAGGTGAGTAGCAAAGGGATCGCAGCACGGCGCAGCGCGGCGTGGCGGGGGGCGGCATCGCCTGCATGTTGTCGGGCGCGGTAAATTTGGCCTCCTGCACAGCCTGGTGGGTCTGTGGCAATCTGCTGGCGCCATTATGCTGGGCCTGCACACGGGGCCCCTCCTGAAGGCGGCTCCTGCGCCGTGCCGGGCCTTCGTGAGGTGAGTTGATCAGACCATCGCATCGTTGATTAGCCAATGCTGCCTACATGACCTCCGGGACGCGCAGCCAACAGCTTCCGTCGCTGCTTGCAGCAAACCAGCCGCAGGGACCAGGAAGCAGCAGCGGAAGGTGGTGAGCAGCAATGCGCCACATCGCGATGGCGCTGGGGCGGCCGCCCAGAGCCCGCAGCGCCGCCAGCTGCTGGCAGGCGCCGCCGTGCTCGCCGCCGCACTCGCCCAAGCACCCGCCGCCCAGGTAACGCCTGATCCCCATCTGGCACTGCCGCCGCCGGCACGTGTCTGTCGGACGTGTTTCGATCAAGCTGACCAGCCATGACTGCAGGCGGTGATCAAGGGCTATGAGCCTATGCCAGCGCTCGAAAACAAGGACTATGGCAAGACTCGCATGACGTGAGTGCGGTGTGGCTGCAGCATGCCTGCCTCCCCTTCCATTCCTGCTACGCACGCCATGTCACCTCCCTTTCCCCTCCTGCCGCCGTCCTGCAGGTACAGCGACTATGTGCAGAGCGAGTCGGGGCTGCAGTACATCGATTTGAAAGTGGGGACGGGGCCTGCAGCGCAGGAGGGCAACACCTGCGTCGTGGATTGGGCCGGAGTTACCATTGGCTACTATGGGCGCCCCTTTGAGGCCCGCAACAAAGTGAGGGCCGGAGTGCCGTGCACCATGGAAGTGTAGCAGCTGGATGGGGATGTCATGCGCGCGGCTGGCCCTGGTGCTGCTGTGAGCTGCTCCATGCGGGGGCCCTGCTGAACCGCCCCGCTTGCCTGCCTGTGTCTTGCTTGGTGTGGTGCAGCCCAAGGGCGGTGCGTTCACGGGGGATGAGAAGGATTTCTTCCGCTTCAAGCTGGGCGACCACAGTGTCATCCCGGCCTTTGAGGAGGCGGTGAGCTGGCGCGCCATGCTCGCTGCCTGCTGTGCTGCTCCTGCATTGCTGGCTGCAGCGAGCGGAGGAGAGTGCACGGAGCGGCGAGCACACACCTAAGGTTATGGCGTGGTAGCGCGCGGTACCATCAGTCTTATCACCAGCCACCGCCCCGAGCCCTGCACCGGCAGGTGTTGGGCATGAAGCCGGGCGGCGTGCGGCGGATCATCGTCCCGGTGGAGCTTGGCTACCCAGACAACGACTACAACAAGCTAGGCCCGAAGCCCACCACCTTCAGCGGTGCGTAGCCGACAGCCTGCTCAGGGCCAGCAGGCAGGGGCCACGCCCGCACGTGGCCCCCCAAGGATGGATGGCCGCCACCTTATGTGCGCTGACCATGCCTCGCGGCGGCTGCCCTCCATTCTCGTGCTGTGCAGGCCAGCGAGCGCTTGCGTTTGTGCTGGGCAACAAGGTGAGTTGTTGCAAAACACGCGCCAATCACTCGGCCCGCCCCGGCAACGCCGCCGCCGCCGCCGCAGCAGCAGGGACCGTTGCACTAGGACTGGCCAGGGCTTGCATCAGCATATTACTTCCCAAACAACAACTCATCGCCTTTTGCTGTTGCGACGACGCAGGGGATGATCGATAAGACCTTGTTATTTGACGTCGAATTGATCGCTGTGAGATGAGGCCGTTTTTCTCATACGGCTGGTTTTTCTCTATACGGCTGGCGACAGTAAAGGCGAAGCATCGCTGCAAGCAAAGGCGTTTGGGCGCAGCCATGGGCGCCACCTCAGCGCCGCCGCCGGCACTCGCGCAGGTGTCATCCACTGCTTCGCTTCCATCAGCCTTCCTGTCCAGCCTTTTTCAGTTTATCATCACAATTCACAAAAGACAAGCAAAGCTAAAAACACAGGCAACACAATGGAGTACAAGCGGTCCGGGCAAAGGGGGAGGCACGCATGAACTAAAGGTCGGTCTGAAAATCAAGTGCTCTGATGGGAAAACGGTGGAGGGGCGATTCCAGGCGTTGGATCGTGTTGAAAAGACGGTGCCGGCACAACACAGGGTGATGTGTGAAGGCGCTGCACGGCAGTCGTCAGCTCTGCAAAATCACCGCGGCTACAGCACAAAAATGGTTGTGGTCGTTTGAATGGTGGGGTGCGGACTAGGTACATGCGTCGGAAGGACGCGACGCGCCGGCCAGCCGCAATGGCCGTGGCGTCACTGCGCCAGCGGCTTGCGGGCGTAGATGCGGCGGTAGCGCGCGTCCACCTCGGCCAGGTAGAAAGTGCCAGGCTCCAGCTCTTCCAGTGCCGGCAACTCCGGCTTGTAGTTCCCCGCACAGTACCTGCAGGCATGAGCAGCGCGGTGGCAGGCAAGGCGGCGTCAGCTCAGGCAGGCGTGGGGCATGCAGGGCTGCAGCGAGCAACACCGTGGGTGGGGCGGCAGCTCCGCCAGCCGCGCCGCACCTCTGCTCCGCCAGCTGCACCGCCTGCTCAAACTCCTCGGGGCTCTTGGGCACGCGCCGCGCCAGCCGCATGGCCAGGTCAGACTGCAGGCAGGCGGGTGGGGAGGGTGCGGGGGGCACGGCGACATGAGGCACAAGCGGGCCTCTGGCCCACCGCAAGCGGACCAACCCCACCTCGTGCCTACGCCGCCCCCGGCCCTGCCCTCCGCTCCCACCCTCCCCCACCCCTGCCCGCCTGCACCGCGCGGCAGCGCACCGTGGCCTGCAGGCGCGCCAGGGAGAAGCGGGGGGCGTGCGGTGCGCGCGCCAGCAGGGAGAACATGGATGCCGAGATGCCGGAGCCGTAGGAGTAGAGCAGGATGCGGCGCCCCTCCAGCGCAGCCCCCGTCGTCTCAATCAGCTGCGGCAGGAGCCAGGGCGCGGGAGCAGGCGGGGACGGAGGCAAGGGTCAGGGCCCTGCACGGGCGGGCTGAAGGCGTTGCCACACTCCCTGCCGCAGCCGCGGCAGCGGCAACAGGTGCGGAGAATGCCGCTGGCGCTGGTGCCCGCGCCGCCACACCTGCGGAATGCCGCTCCAGATGGATGCCGTGTACATGTTGCCGCACTGCCGCGCCACGCAGGTGGAGGGGCGCACCTGCCAGGAAGGCGGCGCGATGTGTTTGAGTGTGATACGCGTGGTGGGGAGTGGGCCAGCTGGCTGGAGCCCCCGCAGCTTCCATCAAGAGTGTGAGGCGGCCATTTGCTCCCCTCCACCGACACCTGCGGCACTCTTCCCCCGCTCCCCACATCCCGCCCACACCTGCCGCCCAGCCCCACCCACCCACCCACCCGCCCGCCCACGCCCACCTTTCTGTCGTAGGTGGCAAAGGCGGCCGCCACCAGCGCCTTGTCCAGGTCGCGGGGCATCTGCATGGGCGGCCGCGGGTGGCTGCCATCGCGCAGGTCGGCGCCGCACGCCGCCAGCGCCTCGGGGACCTCGCCGTGCCTGGGTGGGGTGGGGGGCAGGGGGCGGGGTAGGGGGCGGGAGGGATGAGCGAGGAGGGGGAGGAGGGTGAGAGGCGCTGGGCGGCTGAGGCAGCCTGGTGCCGGCAGCGGCAGGGGGCCAGCCAAGCCCTGGGCGGCAGCCCAGCCCTGGGCGGCAGCCCCTCACTTGCACATGTCGTGGTACATGAGGCGGGCAAAGGCCTTCTGCACCAGCTTGTTGTAGGGGGCGGGAAACAGCGCGTGGTTTGCAGGGCGGGGCACGGGCGGCGCGGGGCAAAAGGTGTAGATGGGGCGAGGTGGTGTGGCATGCCGCCCTGGGCGCGTGCGTCATCACCCCCACACGTTGCAATTACCAAGCCGCGTGCCCCAGGATTTGGTCCCCACCCCCACCATCTGCCCACCTGCATCACCCAGGGGGAAGGGGCGCCCGTGCCGTTTCTCAAACTTGGCTGCATAGCGGGGGTACAGCAGGTCTAGGGTGGAGAGGTAGCAGTAGACAGACAGCGGGCCGTCCACTTGCAAGGAAGGGGTAGGGTGTGGGCCAGCGGCAACGGCGGAGTGAGGGGCGAGGGCAAGCCACGGACAAGGGAGTGGGAAGGGGGGTTGTTCATGCCCAGGCGGCGAGATGGTGGTGGTTTGTGGTGGGGGAGGCACTCGCCGGCGCGGCGTGCTCCACCACAGCCCCGCCTGCCCGCTCCCGCAGTGCCGCCCTCACCGCTGGGTAGAGGCCAGAGGGCTTGTAGAAGTCGTAGGCGTGCGCCATGTGGGTGGTGCTGAGGCCCCGCTCCAGAACCAGCGGCGCGTCGGGGCCTGCGGCATGCGGGGAGCGGCGCCGTCGGCCTGAGCAGCCGCCCGGCTGCGGTGGCCGCGGCAGGCGAACCAACGCGTGCCTGGGTGCGCCCCCTGCCACCCCGCGCCGCCGGCAACCGCCGCCACCGCCTCACCTATGAGCAGCGCCACGGCGCCTGCGCCCGAGGTGGGGCGAGCGGGGCCGGCCGGGTAGAGCGAGATGTCGGTCATCACTACCACAGCAAACCGGCCGTCCCAGCTGCGAGACTCCACCCAGTTGACCGCATTCTGCACCGCGGCCGTGCCGCCGTAGCAGGCCTGCACGCAGTCCACGCCCTGCACGCGGGGAGGCGGCGGGGCGCAGGAAGGCATCGGCAGATGGCCGGCGGCGTGGCGGCGTGGCAAGCAGGGCAAGCAGCAGGCACCGCTGCGCCAGAATGCTGGAACGCTGCGCGCCAGCTGCTGCTGCCACCGGCATGGCAGCCAGCCCTTGCCTGCTGATGCATCAACGCAGCCTCACCACAGCCTCACCGCCCCACCACTGTCCCACTACCACCACCACCACGACCACCCTGCACCCACACACCTCCACATCCGTGTTGCCCGCCTCCTCAAACATCACCATCAGGTAGCTCTTGATGCTCTTGCTGCTGTCCACGCTCGTCTCGGTGCCCACCTCCAGGCGCCCCACCTGCGCACATGCACGCACGCCACGTCGAGTGGCGCAGATCATCACCAGAAGGTCGCCGGCGGTGCGTCTGGGGGTCATGGCATCTCCGCGGCACCAGCCTCCGGGCTCCCCTTGACCGCGCCATGCCGTCCAGCTGCGCCGCCGCTTTGCGACCCAGCAGCGCTCCCCTCGCCCGCCTGCTGGCCGCCCCGTGCGCACCTCGAGCGGCGAGATGTTGTGTCGCTCCAGCAGGCGGCGCAGCACGCTGAGCGCCATGGACACGGCATCCTCTCGGTCCCCCACAAACGACAGGCCCTGCTGGCCGAGCCCCACCGTGTACTTTCCGCTGGACACGCCGTCGTGCCGCTCCAAATCCTCCTGCCGCACCTGCTCAGCCCAGGGCGGTGGAGCGCAGGCGGTGCAAGGGTCGGCAGCGGCAACATCACGTAAAGCACGCGACACGCAAAGGGAAGCCTCTGACAGGCGGCAGCGGCAGCACTGCCGCCGCAGCAGCCAGTCGGGTACTGCGGCACGCCACCCCCACCCGCCCGCCCCAGCGCTGGGCACTGTCGCAGGGTGCAACTAGGCCTCCCTGCCCGTTGCACAGCGATCTAGGGCTGTGCCCACCAAAACAGGCGAAGCGAATGCGCGCGATCGCGTGCTCACATAAGTGCTGGGAAAGTAGACCTCCGCCGCCAGGATCCCCACGTTGTCTGCCTGCGGGCCCGCACCGTTGGCGTGGGCCGCCACGCCCGCGCCGTTGGCTGCCATGGGCGGTGGGGTTGCGGGGCCTGGCATGTGGCGCCGCTGACGGCGCTCTGAGGTTTGTGGCGGTGTTTACGAAAGGAGAAACTCGGGGGCGAGGCTCGGGAGGGCTCTGAAACGCCAACTCAGGGGCCAGACCGATTTGTCACCGGCCGGCACAGTCAGATTTTTACCCCCGTGAGGGGAGACTGGACGGCATTCTTTGGGCAAGCTTGCAGGACCGTGGCAGCAGGGGAGGCAGCCAACTGAGACGCCCGCCCACCCCACCCGCCCTCCCGCCACCTTGCGCCGCCGCTGACTTGCATCAAAAGTCCACTTGCATCCCCATCACACTAAGGCAAATGTACTGCGATGTATGCTGTGCAGAGATCAACTGATCAGAGTCCTTCCATCCAATAGTAGCAGCCAATTCTGCAGCGTGCTTGCTCGCTGGCGGGCGGGCGACGCACCAGTATGCTGCGAGTTCGCAGTGTTGTGTTCTCACCATGTGAGGCAGCAGACATGTATAGCCGAGTGCGCGGCGGGCTGGGTTGCTGAGCACAAGGAGAACACGCAACACCGGTTGAACGGCGGCCGCGGCATGCTGAGCCCGTCGCAGCATGATGCAGAGGGGATTGATCCGAAACTCGGGGCTTGATGGCGCAGTGCATTAAATCTCATGAATACAAGCTTCAGGAGCGAAGACGAGCTCAAGATGATCAGCATGCGGCCCACATCCGCAGGGCAGAGCACCACCCTCCCGAAGGCAGGAGCGCGCCTTTGCAGGCCGGCACACTCCCCCAGAAGCAGCAGCAGCGTCTCGAATCCGCCAGCCCCGCAACTACAGTGCAGCGCCCGCCCAGCGGCAGCGGCTGGGCAGGCAGGGGGTGTCGGCGCCGCTGCCCAGCAGCAGCAGCAGCAGTTGCCGCCATACTACCAGCTCAGCTTGCCGGTGTACAGCCTGGCCACGGTGGGCCCTGACGGCGGCAGCCCCACTATGAACCTCGTGACGTATGCCTCCCCCATATCGCTCAAGCCGCGCCAATATGCGCTGGGCCTCTACCTCAACACCCTGTCCTGGGAAAACATGCTGGCCACGCGCACCGGCCTGCTTCAGGTGGGCGCCGTGACATTGCAGTGGCAAAGCAGCCGGGGCCAGGGGGCCTGGCCGGCGGCAGCGCAGCAGCAGCAGGCGGCGACAGCGGCAGAGGCCAGGTCGCTACCCCCAGGCCAGCGGCCAACTGCCTGCCCGCCGTGCCCTGCCCCCTGCACCTCGCTGCCTCCCCGCTGCCTGATCTCTGCCGCAGGTCCTGGGCGAGCAGCATGCGGCGCTGTTTGAGCTGCTGGGGCGCACCAGCGGGCGGGATGTGGACAAGCTGGCTGAGCTGGCGGCACGCGGCGTCCCCGTCACCCGCCGCCCAGCCGACGGCATCCCCCTGCTGGTGGGTGGGCCTGGGACCTGGCTATTTGAGCAGCGCCCCCGTGTTTCCAGTTCATTGTACGCTGGGTTTCTAATGAGCAATGTGGTCCCGCCAAGCAGCAGCTGTCCCTCTCGCCGGCTTGCCGCCGACTGGGTGCGCCTCTGCGGCTGCGTTGCAGGACGACAGCCTGGGATGGATGGAGCTGCGCTTTGCCTCGGAGCCGGTCAACTATGGGGACCACGATGTGGTGATCTGCGAGGTCACGGACTGGCATACGCCCGCAGCGGCAGGCGGCGGGGCGGCGCAGGCGCTGTACACCGGCCGCCTGCGCGAGCTGGGCCTGATGTGAGGCTTTCAGCACTGCCCGCCCATTGCTACGCTTTACTCCTCCACATTTGTTCTACCTGTTGATGCAAATTTCCTGAGCACCAGTAGATGCAGGGGTTCAACGGCCGCATGCGGCATGCTGGGCATGATGTGTGTGCACCTTCTCTCAAAACTCGTTTGATGCAGCGCTCACATTGCCTGCGCATTATCCGCATTCCATATCCTGGGGCGTGCCGCTGGATGGCTCAGATTCTGACAAATTCAAGCAGGAGAGGCGGGTCCCTTCTGCGAAGCCTCGCAGGCTCGCTCGCAGCAATGAAGTCTGGCGGCGGCGTCCTACTCATCGGCTTCCTACAACTTTTGATTGGCGTCACTTTGCTAGGCAAGGCTGCTTGCCGCCGGCCGGCGCCGCCGGCAACCGCCACGCGGCCTGATTGTGCCTCGCCCACCCCTTACCTGCAGGAGTGTTCGAGGGATACAAAACGCACTATTTCAACAGCAAGGTTGGCAGCATCGGAGGAGATGGGGCGTTACCAGAGGATGCGCAAACCCAGCTGGCGGCAGAGCGGTATGCATTTTACCGCCCACGCCCTCGAGCCAGGCACAACCTCTGAGCCTTGAGCTGATTTGAAGTCCTGTTGTCCTTGCTTCCCTGCAGTGCAATCTTCTTCCGCACGCCGCTCGACTTCTTGTTCTGGTTCAGCTGCGTTGAGAGCATTGCCGCTTTGTTTGGGCTGACGGGGGTCTTCACCGCCCAGCCCACGCTAGTCACCCTCTTCTTTGGGTGAGGAATGTGGGCTGCCTGGCGTGCACCACCTGCCGCGCACTGAATGAATTATGCACCATTTGCCGCTGTGGGCAACCCTCTTCCTGCGCTTGCAGGTACAACCTGGTCCAAACGGTGCTCTCATTCTACTACTTTGTCGATGTGCTGGCTGACAAGCGGATCCGGTATGTGAGCCAGGCGGCCAACGTCACGGGTTACGAGCAGGTAGGCTGGCGCAATAAGATGCAGTCAGTGCAAGGCCGTCGTTCTGCGCAGCATCCTTCACTGGCCAACAAAAAGAAGCAATGCCGTTGCAGATTTGAATGGCCCTCGTATCCAGTGGTGCTCCCTTAATTCCCACCGCAGGCCGCCGCAGCCTTGCTGTTCCTCACCTTCGCCCTCAGCCTTGCGTCTGGCTACTTCACCACCAGGGCAATGGCTGAGATCAAGCAGAAGCAGGTGGGCAGGCAGCACATTTGTTGAATGTGGCAGGGAGCTGCGCTGCCATGTCTGGCGGTGTCTGGCGCATTCCCCGCTCACCCCTTGCTGCCGCCTCACGCAGTGCGCATCCCTCGCCCCGCTCCCTTCCTGCCCTTGCAGCGGGAGTCTTATCATGAGATGAGCGTGGTGAGCGACTCACTCCAATTCGAGCCAGACCTGGCCTAGTGCCCCTCAGTGGACTGGTGCCAGATGTAGCATGCCTCCCAGCGATTCCGGTTCGTTGCAGGCTCACAGGCTATGTGTTGAGAGGAGCATCAGTGTGCTATGCCATCACAGTTGCAAGGCAGAGAGAAGACAACGAAAGGACGCCATGGGGCTCGTTGCAGCATGAGCTGTCGGCACATCAACTGGCGGCGCCAGCTGTGGCTGCTGCTGCGGCTGCGGCGGCAGCCCTCTTGCGCCGCTGGTTCTCCTGGTAGCGCTGCATCAGCGCCAGGCAGCGGTCGGCCACCGCATGCACGTTGCGCCCCGCAGCAGCGCCGCCCACCTGCAGGCAGGGAGGCAGGGGCGAGGGTTGCAGGCAGGCTGTGTGATTTGCAGGCCGCAAAAGCACTAGGCAGCAAGCTGGTTGGCTGCCACCAAAGCCACAGCAAGCCAGGCGGCAGCCCAAAAGCTTGGCCGACACCCCACCTTCTCAGTCAGGTCTGCCAGCTGCTGTGCCGACAGCCGCCCGCCCGCCTGGAGCAGAGTGCGCAGCAGAAGCTTCTCCTCGTCCACGCTCCATGCCGGCGGCGCAGGCCCTGCCTCGGCCTGCTGCTGCTGCTCCTGCTGATGAGGAGGTTGTGGCTGCACCGCCACCTGCTGTGCCTGCGGCGGGTCGGGCTGCCCTGGCAGCGCCTGCTCCTGCGGCTGAGGCGTCTCCTCCTGCTGCGGAACCACCAGCTGCTGCCGCTCCCGCTCTGGCAGGCTCTCTGGAGGCTGCGCTTGCTGCGTGCCTCGGTGCTGGCCGGGGCCCCACGCTGACAGCTGCACCCCGCCTCCAGTGACAGTGACAGTGGCCGCTGCCTCGGGGGCTGGCTGTGCGGTAGGCAAAGTGCCTCCAGGACCTGCTGCCGTCCCAGGCGCAGCCGCTCCAGGCGCCGCTGGTGCTGCGTGCACACCCTGTGCAGCCTGCTCCTCTTCGTCGGAAGAGTCTGGCAGCTCTTCCTGCTCAAACATGGACGCAGGGGCTGCCGCTGCCGCAGACGGCTGCTGCTGCTGCTGCTGCTGCTGCTGCTGCTGCTGCTGGGAGCCTACACGCTGGCGCTTGGGCGTCGGGCGTGCGGGCGGCTGGGCCGGTGCAGGTGCTACCGCTGCAAGCCCGCCAGCCGCCACCTGATGTGGCTCGTCAGCGCTGGCAGCGGGGGTTTGAGCTGCCGTCGGCAGCTCAGCCTCTGCCTCTTGCCGCCCCCGCTTAGCGGCTGCCCTGGCGGAACGCCGCACAAGCAACCCCGGTGGGGAAGCCCCAACGCTGGCAGATGCTGCCACTGGCTGCTGCGTGCTGGCTGGGGCCGGCTCTGAGGCCTGCTCAGGCTGCTGCTGCTGCCCTGACGCGGCTGCCTCCTGCTGCGCCTCAGTGGCTCCTGGCCCCGAGCCCGCAGGCACTGCAGCCGTGGCATCAGCTCCTGCCGGTGCCGCAACCCTTGCTGCTCCCTCCTCATCCGAGTCTGCTAGATCTTCCACCTCAAACCGGGCTGCCCCAACCGTCGCCTGCCGCTGCAGCAGGGAGGGCTGCGGCTGCTCCACCGCCGCCGATGGCGTTGCAGACGGCAAGTCGAGCGTGGCGGCGGGCGCCGCAGCTGACGGCGCCACAGCCGTGGGGGCAGCAGTGCCTGCTGCAGCAGCAGCTGCAGCCAGTGGGCCCGCTCCGCCTGCCACCGCTGCTGCATCCTCCTCCCCATCCGAATCTGGCAGCTCCTCATGCTCAAACACAGGTGGTGCGCCAGCTGCATTGTTCTGCATCAGCGGCTGCCCATTGCGAGGCTGCTTGGAGGCGCGGCCAGCGGCGGCCAGATCGCCAGGCAGGGCACCGGACCGCGGCCGCTTGCCGCCGGCCTGCGAGGGGCGCCCTCTGCCGCCTCCCGTCACCGCTGCTGCCGCCGCATCAGACTGCTCCTGCTGCTGCTGCTCCTGCTGCTGCTGCTGCAGCTCCAGCGGCGGCGGGCCGCGATCCTCGCCGTCGCTCATGTACCCTTGGTAGCCCTGATCCCCTTCCTCCATCTGTGCCTCCCACTGCTGCTGCAGCAGCAGCTCGCGACGCTCCTCCTCGGCCTGCCCCTGCTGTTGGTGCAGCAACAGCGGCAGCGCTGGCTCCGGCTGCTCCTGCTGACCAGCCGGCGCTGCGTGCACCTGCTGCAGCACATGCTGCTGCTGCTGCTGCTGCTGCTGCTGCTGCTGCTGCTGCTGCTGCTGCTGACCATCCGGGTCGGCGTCAGTGCGGAACATGCCGCGAAGTGTGGGGGGCTCGCGCGGCGCCACGGCTGCCTGCTGCTGGCCACGCCGCGAACGGCGCTGTGGGCGGCTCTGCTGCTGCTGCTGCTGCTGCGTTGCGGGAGAGCCCTGCGGGGTACTCAAGCTGCCCTCCAGCGGCGCTTCCTGGCCGTCCGCCGCTACCGCCGCCCCTGTCACCTCCAAGCCCTCGCTAGCAACCCCGCCATCCGCCTCGCCCTCGGCCCCAGCCTCTGCGGCACCGGCCCTCTGCAGCAGCTTTTGCTTCATGCGGCGGGAGCCGCCGCTGGGGCGGTTGGGCTCCCGCACGCTGGCCCGGTTGGTGTGCTGTGCCCACAGCGTGGCCAGCACCTGCGGCAGCATGGCAGGCAGGCAGGCAGGAGAGCATGGGCAGGTCGGCTCCAAAGCTCTGCCCTTACCACCACAAAACACACAAGCAAACACACAACGAATGCATTCTTGCCGTCACTGTCTGAAATGCCCCGCCCCTCACGTTGGGCTGCCTATGTGGCAGGTGGTCCCGGCAGATGATCTCCCAGCGCCGAGGCTGCTTTCCATAGTACACTAGAGCCTTTTCCAGCAGGGCAATCTCATCCGCCTCTAGCGCCCCGGCAATGGCCCGCACAGCAGCCTGCACCGGCGAGAGCGGGAGGCAGGGCGTCAAGGGAGGGTGCAGGGAGGTGGGTGTCCAATTTGTTCTTGCCCCGCTTCAAGCCCCGCTGCCAAATGGCTGGCCTGGGGGCGCCCACTACCAACCAGCCATTGCGAACAACCAGCTCCAGTATGCGCGGGAGCACAGAAGCGATGGGGGCCAGGCGGCCCCACCCCACACCGCCGCACCTTGATGCTGTTTTCGGGCACGGCGCTGCCTGACCGGTTCTTCTTGCGGTTGAACAGCTGCTCCCGGGTCTTGGTGGGCAGCAGCTCGGAGCGGATGCGAGCCCAGTCATATCCGTACCTGCCAGGAAGAGTGCAAGGATGCTCAGCACACCACACCCCGCCCGACGCCCCGCCCTGCCCTGCCCCGCCCTGCCCTGCCTCACCTCTGCAGGCCCAGCGACAGAAGCTCATCCTCTGCCGGGGTGAAGAGCAGCTGAGTGTGCTGCTGGTTGGGGGCCTGCAGCCAAGGCAAGGCCATGCCCGGCGGCCAGCACAGCTCAAGAGGGATCACCGGAGAGGCTGGAAAAGCAGGCAACCGCGAACATAACCACGCATGGGGCGCGCCAGCCAGGCAGGCGTGGGCGCCTGCAGCAGCGCAGCACACGTACAGCAGTGGGAGCGGCTGGGCCAGTTGGGCGGCCGCGGCAGGAGCGCACCCGTGGCACAATCAGAGGCTCCAGCAGGGGCTGCACGTCGGCCACCACAGCGGCGGCGCTGGCCGGCAGCCTGTTCCACAGCGGGTTGTGCATGAGGGGGACGTACTGCTTCTTCTTGTTCCGCTTCCTCTTCCTGGGGCAGCAGCAGGGGGACACGGGGCAGCGGTGCAGCAGCAGGGCGGTGTTGGCTGGGGGCGGCCCACGGGGGCAGCGGCAGCGTCTCACCTCACGGCGGCTAGCCCATGTGTGTCACAGGCAGCAATCAGCAATGGCAGTCCATGCGGGGCCCCTTCTCCTGGTGGTAGCATGCAGCATGCATAACTCATCATCTGCACACACCTGAGCAGCAGCTGCATGTCTTCATCGCTGCTGATCTCATCCTCGCCTTCCGCCTGGCCCGGCGGCGCCTGCTCCTGCTGCTGTCCGAACTCCGAGCCCGAGCCCGAGGCCTCCGCCAGCTGCTGCTGCTGCCCATTGGGAGGCTGCTGCTCCTGCCCGCGCCCCTGCTGCTGGCTGGCAGGAAGCTCCGCTGCCCCCGCCACTCCCGCCACTCCTGCACACGGCTCCTGCTGCCCCTGTGGCACCGCGTCCCCGGCGCCCAACCGCGCGTGTGGTGCAGGCTGCAGCGGCACCCCGTCCATGACGTGCTGCATCCACCTCAGCGGCGCCACGTCAGCGACCGTGTACACGGCGCTGTTGCTCCAGGGCCGCCACGCCGCCTGTGCCGAGTTGAGGCGCTCCCGGGCCTGCTGGTCACGCTGCGTGCGCGACTGGCGCCGCCGCCCGCCGTCCTCGGCCGGCTCAGGCAGCGGCGGCAGTCGCTCGCTGACGCCCAGCGCGTCGGGGTTGTAAGGGGCGATGCCCTGTGGGGAAGTGGCGGCGACAGGGACGGCATGGAGCAGCGTCGGCAGGTGGGGAGGCAGCAGGCACAGGGCGCCGGCAGGCAGGGAGCCTGTGGCGCGCTGCCATGCGTCAGGCACGCGCCCGCCAGCCCGCCAGCAGCCCAGCCCACCTCCGCCTGCCGGCTGGATGCCTGGCCCTGCATGAACTGGCGCAGCTGGTCGGCCATGCGCTGTGTCTGCTGCGCCACGCGGTGGTGAGCTGGATCCTGGCTGCATGCCGCCATCAGGTACACCTGGGAGGAGGCGCCGGCAGGGCACAGGCTCCCTGAGAGGAAGGGCACCCCAACACACACAGCCAGCTGGCCACAGTTCACACCTTGCAGGCAGGCATGGGCACCCCCCTCCTGCACCATTGACATGGATGCCGTGCTCAACAGCATGCGCAGCAACTCATGCATGCCGCCCCGCGCACCTGCATGAGCAGCTGGGCGTGCTGGTGCACCAGGCGGTACAGCTGGCGGTAGTGCTTGGGCTGGAACGCCGCCGCCTGCACCTCGGCGCCCTCGGCCGGCGGCGCGCCCACCGGCAGCGGCTCCTTCCGCGCCCCGGCCGCCTCTGGCGGCAGGAACTTGCGCAGGGCTGCGGGGAGGGGCTGCTGCCACACCACGGGCGCGCGGGTGACGGTGGGGGGCAGCGGTGCCATGGGCGGCCCCGACACCACTGACGCAGGCACTATCACCGGGCCCAGAATGGTGTCCACAGTCACCGGAGGACGTGGGTCCTCCTGTCCGGCGGCGGCGGCAGCCAGCACGGACAGGCGGGCGAGGTCGGTGATGAAAGCTGCAGCCAGTGGGAGGGCAGGTGGGAAGGGTGGGTGGGGCTGCTGCGGCAGGGCGTGGAGGGCGGCTAGGCAAGGGCTGGGGAAGAAAGGCCAGCGGCTCTGCTGGCCAATCGACAGGCGACTGACGTTTGGGTGCCAGCGGGCGCAGGCGGTGCTCGCGCAGCGCCGCCACGCTCTCAATCGTGCGCTCGGCGGCGCCCCGAGTCCAGCGCGGCGGCCTGGGGCCCCGCGGCTGGCGCTGCCGTGCTTGACGCTGCAGGCAGGCAGGCAGCGGCTCAGGCTCGGAAGGGAGGGGTGGGTGGCAACGTGGGGCTTGGCACATCTCAGCATGCGGCATTTGTTTCTTTGGCTTTGGCATCGCCCATCCCACGCACCTCCTTGCCCTTCCTGCGCCGGCCACCAGCACCCGCCTCTCCCAGTCCCATGCCGCCGTCCTCCCCATCCGGCATGCCCAGCATGGCCCTCAGCTCTTGGTAGAAGTCGCCGTCATCTGAGAGGAGGCAGGGCAAGGTAGGGCAAGGCAAGGCAAGCCACCATTAGCATGCAGACAGATGCTCAGCAACTTGCAGCCTCACGGCTCCACGACTGGTGCCTCAACAACAGCCTTTGCACATTGGCTGAGCATCCGCTGCCCCAGCGTGCTGCTCCTGGCGGCCAACCCGCTCCCTGGCGCGAAACGCTCACCGCTGTCCTCGGCATCGTCTCCAAGGAAAGGGGCCAGTGCGTCGCCACCCTCCAGCCCGTCCTCGCCCAAACGCAGCGACTGCACGCAGCTAGCCAGCCAGGGCGGTGAGCCGGCGCAGGGGGCAAGCTGACATGCTGCCCTGGCAGGCACCAACAACAGACAGCACACACCCGCTGCAGGCTGGCCCCACCTCTAGGAATCGCTGGTACTCTACTTCGTCATCCAGCCCCAGCCCCTCCAGCTCATCGTCCACCTGAGGCAGAGCAGGCAGGGCAGGCACAGCGTTGGCTACAAGTCGATTCAACCGCAACGGAACTTGCCACGCAGGGCCATTGGTCGACCCGCCTGCGAGCAGCAGCACAGGCAGCCACGGCAGGCGGTTCCCAAGCAGCGGCGGCAGGCGGGTATTGCAGCCTGCTGCCTGCCGCCGCTGCCTCTCGCCACTACCCGCCCCTGCCCGGCCCACCGCTGCCGCCCCACCTGCAGCATCTTCTCTAACTCCTCCAAGCTGACTTCGGCCAGGGAGTGGTGCGCCCTGCAGGCAGGCAGGCAGGCAGGCGGGCGGGCGGGGAGGTGAGCAGCAGACACAGCGCATGCGGCGAGCGGACGGAATGGATCCACAACCGGTCCACGCCTGCGCACTCCATCTGGCATCCACCCCACCTGGTTCTGAGTGCGATGGGATGCTCTAATGTTCCCAGCTGGGTTCCAAAGGCGCTCATCTCCGCCTCGGCAGCAGCAAACCCAAAGGGGTCCTCGGCGCTGAAGCCCCCTGGCTCCGTGCCGGGGAGCCCCCACGATGCCGCCGCTGCTGTGCCTGGTGCAGGCATCTGCTGCTGCTGCTGCTGCTGCAAGGAGGCAGGCGACTCAAGCGGTGCGCCGGCAGCACTGCCAGCAGTAGCGGATGTGCCCGCTTGCGCTGCCACCGCTGCTGCTGAGGTCATGAGATCGGCGGCAGCTGCGGGAGGGCGAGGCGGCGGCGGCGGCATGGCAGCAGCGTCGGCTGCTGAGCGCTGCCGAGTGTCTGCTGCTTCCAGCTGCTGCTGCTGGCCAGCACTGCCGTCCTCGTCGCCCCCTCCTCCCTCCTCCTCACTGCCATACTCCTCATCTGCAGCAGCACGGCAGGCCCCCACCAGCAGCTCAGCCACGGCTGAAGGGCACGCCATGGTGCACTTCCCTGTCACAATCGACCAACCAACCGACTCTGCCCTCTGTCCCTGCAGGCGATCAGCCAGCTCACCTGAGGTGTCACTGTCTCCCAGCAGCAGGCTGCCGCCGCGGGCCAGCTGCTGCAGCGCCGCCGCCTCCTCCTCGTCCAGCTCCTCCTCCGGAAAGTGCTGGGAGATGTCGGAGTCTGACAGGATCTCCTCCTCAAACACAACATCATCATCGCCGCCCAGAGCCGCACCCAGCTCTGAAGAGAGCAAGGGGATGCGGGCGGGGGGATCGGCGTGCGATAGCGCAGGCGTGAAGCAACGACTTCGATGGCACAAACAGGAGCAGGCAGGCGTAGGCTGGGCAGGGCAGGCGACGCGCAGGCAGCGCAGGCGGCAGGGATGCAGGCCAGTGGACTCGACGCCCGCAGGCACGCACAGCCCCTGAAACACTGACCGCTGCTAGCCAGCTGGCTGGCCTGCCCGCTCACCCTGCAGGCGCCGGCGCATATCGTTGTCGCTGGGCGACGCGCCGCCCGCGGCGCTGCGCTGCACGCCGCTGCGTGCCGCTGTGATGCTGTGGTCGGCGGTCCCGGCCGCAGCGGCGCCGCCGCTGCCCTGCTGCGCCCCCTCGGTAGCCTCCTCCCCCTCATCTTCATCGCCCTCATCCTCATCCTCATCCTCGCTGCTGCTGGACTCGTCGTCCTCCTCGTCGTCTGCCTCACCATCCACCTCCTCATTCACCACAAAGTCCTCGTCCTGCAGGGGGACGACGGATGAGACGGTCGTTGGTGGGCGCAGGGCGGCGGCGGCAGCCATCAGCGGCGGCAGCGGTAGAGAGCTTTGGGCGAGCCGCGCTTAGAAAAAACAAATTGATCCTGCCAGGCCACACACAGCTCTAACACGACATTGGTTGCCCAGGAACAAGTGTGGCGGCGAGAGCAACTAAGCCGCCAGGCACGTTCCGGTGGAGCATAATGTGCGTGGCTCATGGGCGATTTACTGGGGTCAGCCCACATTTGCGCACCTCGTCGTCCTCCGTCTCCAAGGAGGGGCCCGGGGACAGCAGCTCCCTCATTGGGTCGCGCCTGTGAGGCCCTGCCATGGCGCCGCTGCCAGTCGCCGCCTCCTGCCGCCAGTGGCGGCTGCCGCCTCCAGCACCGCACGCTGCAGGGCGTGCCGGGACGCTGCGTGGGTCCCTAGGTTATCAGCTACAAGTGATGGAGCCTCGATCAGCAGCCGGAAAAGCCCCTGTGCTGCAGCGGCTTCAAAGTGGGACGCAGAAACAGCCAGCGTGCCCACGGCCTGGCGAGGCCTTGGAAAATGCCGCACGCCGTGCTGCTTTGCTTTTTGTTGAAATGCAAGCTGGAGGGCCCAAACCAGCCGAGGCCCTGCTGCGTGCTGCGGCCAGCGGGAGCGGGCGCCAACCCAACAGGAGGGCGAGTAACAGCAATAGCTGCATCCATTGGTCCTCCCGGAGCACCATATAATGGTTTGAGGCCATCACGAACACCGGTGCAGCTTGGCAGCGAATGCAGCCCTCTCAAAGTCATGAAGAGGAGGCCCCACCGCTTGAGTGGGGCGGGCACAGCCCCCGGACGGCTGCGGGATTCAGCTCGGGTGTCGGGTCCCCACTTTCAGGGCTGCTGAGCAGCGTGCTGGGCAGCGTTGGCGGCGGTGGCCGGCGGCGGCGCGAGGGCAGCCAGCTGCGGACGTCGAGGTCTACCAGCGATCTCGAGTCACCGCTGCTGCCTGGAGGGGATCAGGAGGAGCAGCAGCTGATCGGCCACTTGATGGCACCCAAGCAGTGGCCACAGTTGCGGGGAAGCAGCGTTTCGGCGAGGCGCATCACCCACCCTGCCGCGCCAGTCGAGCTGCCCACCTCCCCGCTGGCCCGCGGCGGACCCGCCAGCCCCTTTTCCAGCCCTGCAGGACCGCAGGCAGCTGCAGGGGCAGCTGGTGGGACCCCCGCAGGCCAAGACGCCTTGCCCAGCGGGCCAGCGGTGGCACGCAAGGCGGCAGCCTCGGAGCCCAAGCACGCGGGGCGCTACACCCGGGCGGCGGTTGCGGGGCTGGTCAATGCAGTCATCGCCCTCCCGCTGCAGCTCTCCTTTGCGGCCATCATCTTCCGGGTGGGTGCAGCCTTGCGCTGTTTCATCACCAGCCTCCATGGCCGCCGCCTCTCAGGAGGGGCCCGTTTCTGGCGCCGTTTGCAGAGCATCATCTGCCCCTCGCAGCCCCCCATCACCACACCCATTGGTGCCCAGCCACACACTCGTTCCACACTCCCCGCAGGACCCTTTCTTCCACCCCATGCTGGGATCCCTGGTGAAGCTGGTGTTCCTGTCGTCGGCCATCCACCAGATCGCATTCGTCGGGCTCAGCAGCCTGCCCTTCGCCGTGGGTGAGCAGGGGTAACCGTCATTGTGGCGACGGCGTCGACCAGATGCAAGTCAGGGCAGCCATTTCTTGCACACGCCCGCTAGTTTGGGCAGTCATTTCCTGCATACCTCCCTGGTCCTGCGAATCATTGCTGTGTGCAGGCCAGGTCCAGGATGTTGGCCTGATCTTCATATCGTCCATCGCAAGCTCGGTGGTGGCTCAGTGCAGCGAGGCGGGGTGGACTGCTGAGAACACGCTGGCAACGGTGCTGATGGCGGTGACGGCTGCCACAGGCATCGTGGGTCTGCTGATAATTGGAACAGGCGAGGCGGTGCCACAGCAGCCTAAAGGGTGGCAGGCTGGCCGAGGAGGAAAAGAATGCAGCCACGGGTGTAGGCTTGTTTTGTGCCCAACCAATCCTCTTCCAGCTGCCGGCCTGGCAGCATCTCACAGGGCCTGTCCCTGCCGCCATCTGCTGCCTGTAGGTGCCCTGAAGCTCGCCGGCATCGTGCAGTACGTGCCTCTCCCTGTGGTTGGCGGATACCTGTGAGCACGCCCTTGCTGCCCCCACTGCAGCTGCTGCCCGCCCTGATTTCTGCAGCAGCAGCCTAGACAGGCCGGGGCCTGGCACCTTGCACAGCGTGGCTTATCCTGCTCCTGCATCTGTGGTGACCCTGTGTGCCGCCACCTCGCCCGCTGCTCGCAGGTGCTTTGTCGGCTACTTCTGCCTGGCGGCAGGTGAGGGGCCCGCCTTCTCTTGCTGCCCTGCTGCACCTAGCAGTGCCATTGTGTCCAAGTGCGCATGCCGCCCACCTCGCCTCCCTGTCCTGCTGCCAGGCGTGAGCCTGGCCTCAGGGGTGCAGGTCGCAACGCTGTCGTCCTGGGCGCAGCTGGCCAATGCGGATGCGCTGCTGAAGCTGGCTCCGGCGCTGGCCATGGTGGCCTGCATCATTCTCGTGATGCACAAGATCAGGTGGGGCTGTCCAGGGACTGTTTTGGTGCCTTCCACGAACTCTACCCAGCTATAGATGAGACTCAGTCGACACAACTTTAACTCTTGCGTTTGCCTTTCGCAGGAGCCCCTTTGCCCTGCCCGCCCTGCTGCTGGCGGCGCCATGCGTGTTTTACGGCGTGCTGCATGCCAGCGGCCTGACGCTCCAGGATGCGCAAGAGGCTGGCTGGGTCAGCAAGCCGCAGGTGAGCAACAGCCGGCATTGCTGAAAGGGAGGCAGGTGCAGGAGGGCGTTCCACTTGTTAATTGCCAGGTTACGTGCGCCACACTCTGCCTGCAGGAGGGCGACGGCGAGTGGCAGTTCTGGCAGGCGTGGTCGCTGTACAACATCCACGACTTTCCTCCCACCAACATCTACTGGCGCGCCATGCCCGGACAGGTGCGGCGGGAGGGAACCGCCGAGTGCTGCTGCCCACCTCCTTGGGTTTTGTCAATTGCTCATTTGCATAGCAGCATGGTAGCCAGCGCGTGTTGCTGCACTTGTGCACTGCTCCATGCCCTGCGGAATGTTGCCCACCACTGCTAAACCCCCGTGTCCCCTCTCTCCCGTCTCACCATGCCAGGCCAGCAAGCTTCTGGCGCTGTATTTCATCGTCGCCTTTGGCTCCTCCATGGACATTGCCGCCATCCAAGCCGACAGCCCTCGCGACCTGGACTACAACTCGGAGCTGGTGACGGTGGGGCTGTCCAACCTGGCCACCGCGGCGGCAGGCGTGGGCTTCACGGGCTCATACATCTTCAGCCAGACCCTGTTCAGCATGCGCATGGGGGTGGACACGCCGCTGATGGGAGCCATCGTCACGGGTGGGCCGGCGGGCTGTGGTCTGCGTGTGTCTTTCCTCTTGCATGCCTCGTGCCTGCTCATCTCCCCTGCTCCGTTTGCTGTTTCTTCCTCCCCTGCAGCCGCCGAGCTGGCCGTGTTTGCGGTGCCCTTCAACGTCATGGCCTTCCTGCCTAACTTCTACTTTGGAGGCCTCACAGCCTGGATCGGCCAGGACATCCTGAAAGACTGGCTGTTCATCGCCGCCAAGCGCATCTCCGCTGTGGAGTATGCCCTGCTGCTGGCCACCTTTGGGCTGGTGATGGCAGCGGGGCTGGAGGCGGGCATAGCGGCAGGCATAGTGCTGGCAGCCCTTCACTTTGCATACAGGTGGGGGTGGTCAGTGCATTCCTGGGGTGCACGGTCTACGTGTGTTTGTGTCCGTGCAGATGCCTGTTCCTGTCCCCAACCTCTCCCTTCTGCCGCCCTGCAGCTACTCGCGGGTCACCATGACCGCCTTCACTGTGGTGCCCAGCCGCAGCGGCGCAGGCAAGTGTTGAGCTGTGCCAATGCCTGCTGCCGCTTACCCTCCAATGCCTGCTCGTGCTGACCGGCCCTTAACACCCACCCTGCAGTGCGCACCTTTGACCAGCGCACGGTGCTGGACATGTTTGCCGCGCGCATCACCGCCGTCTCCCTCTCCGGCTACCTCTTCTTTGGCAGGTGAGAGGGGCGTGAGCACATTCATGGTGGATGCATGGCAGCTCAGCCAGAGCATGCTTAGCCTGAATCACTCATCTGCGATCCCAGCTCAGCATCAGTTTTGCTCCTTTTGCCCCTCTTTCTTCCTCTGCGTGCAGTTCTGTCAAGGTACTGAACAATGTGGTGGAGATTGCCGCCAGCACGCTGGAGATGCAGCCACACGTGGAGCCGTCAACCGCGCAAGCCTCAGCGCCTGTGCTGGTTGGCAAGCAACCCAGGGCACAGCTGAGCGGCCTGCCCAGCGAGGGCACCTTGGCCAAGACCTATGACAATGTGGACAAGCTTGTGGGCAGCAAATCAGGTGGGTGCGCTTGAGCGGGCTTGCAGGGTTGCCAGAGTGCTGGTATCGTTGACTTTTCATGCTGCACATCTATGCTTGTTCCCTGCAGCGTCTGGCGGTTCCCAGCTTGCCAAGGTGGCGGCGGCGCTGGCAGAGTCCCCGCGGTTTCTGATTCTCGACTTCAGGCAAGCAGCTGAGGCCTGCTTCTTCTCAGGGATCTGGGCACCGCCATTGCAGCGTGTGCCGCACTAGAGCTGCCTGCACTCTTTGGCGGGTGCTTGGTGCTGCCTGGCCACAGCGTGGCAGTTTGTCCACCGCGCAGGAGGTGATGCTGGGCCACCCTTCCTCTGCCTGCAGGCGCGTCCAGGGCCTGGATACCACCGCCGCTCGCTCCTTTGTCACCCTGCACAACAAGCTGCAGCACATGGGCATTCAGGCGAGTGCCACCTCATGCCTGCCTGCCACTGCTGATGTTGGCTTTCTCGAACAGTTGTCTCTTCCCTAGACTGTTGCAGCTCATCATCACTCACATTACGGCTCGCAACGCGCATGTGCGGCAGCTGCTGGCGGCTCAGGGCCTCATCCTGCGGCAGGCCACCTCTGCTGCTGATTCACAAAGCGATTCAGGTTTGTGCATGCAAGCGTGCCCCACCCTGCTGCGTCTGATCTGACCCATCCCTACTTGTTTATCCCCCACCCTGCCTCCCGCAGGCCCCACGTGCTTCTGGTTCCCCACCATGGATGCCGGCTGCCACTACTGTGAGGAGCGCTTCCTGTCGGTGGCGGTGGCCCACGGCCTGCTGGCACCGCCAGCCCGCTGCCTCAGCCTGGCCCAGGTATGCGTCTGGCCACTCCTCACTCCTGCCTGATGTGTGCGCTATGCAATGTACCCGATGGCACTGCCTGTGTCGCTTGCTTTCAGGTGCTGCATGCCCACCTGGAGCTGCCACGTTGCATCCTGGGGGAAGCAGCGGTGGACTACCGCGCCGCCGCCGCCATGCTTGCACGCTTCACCCGAAAGCTGGTGTTGCGGTGAGTGTGCAAGCATCCTGGACGCTTGCTCTGGGCCCCTGCCTGCTCCCACATGGCGCGCGCATTGCAGCCAGCACCATCAGCAACTCACCATGCTCTGCCCTCACTTGCCTGCAGGGCTGGCGATGTGCTCTTCTCGGTGGGCAGCCCTGCAGACGACCTGTTCCTGCTGGAGAGTGGCTCAGGTGCGCAGGGCTTTGCTGGCCTTTGTTGGGGAGCAGGCTGCTCGCTGACTTGCTGCTGTTCACCAAAATATCGGTTTAGCCTACTGCCCCCCGGCTTCCTTCCTAGCCACCAACCCCGCTGCCTCGCCGCCCGCCTCTGCCGCAGTGGTATGCCGTGTGGACTTCGCCCTATCCTCTGTCGCCAGCCGTGCGCAGCTGATGGCGCTGCCTGCCGGGACGCAGCCGCACCATGCGGAGCACACCATCAAGTGCGCTCCCGGCAGCCTGGTGGGCGAAATCGACTTCCTCCTGCAGCGCCCCCGCAGCCTGGTGGCTGTGGTGGAGGCGGACGGCGGCGCCTGGGTCATCTCCCGCCAGGCTTTTGAGTCGATGGCTGTGCAGGACCCGGGGTCGCTGGTGCTGCTGCAGTCCATCATCCTGCGCACCACCAGCCTCACGGCTGCGCATGCCCTGGAGGCCCTCGAGCGCAGCAGCCACTCCCAGTGAGCGCGAGCGCAGCTGGGGCCCTGCCGGTGATGCTCCCTGCCCTTCACCCTGCAATCTTTCTCTGGTATGAGTCTTTCACCTTCTGTTCATTACATCCTGATTACACCATGTTTAGAGCTGCATCATGCATCATACATCATTAGGGCTGCGTCTGTAAACTGGCTTGGATGTGCACGACAGGCTGGAGCGGGCTGGTTGAATCAATGTGACGGAAGGCGGCGATAGAAGGATGCCTGTACAACAAGCATTAGCGCTGAGAAATGAATGGAAAGGTGTGGGCACCAAAGGCAAGCCCCTGATGAGTCGTGTGAATGAAGCCACCAACCAGGAGGACAAGGGGAGGCAAGCTAGGACTTGTGCAGATCGTCTGCCCTCCATTGCCCTATCCAGCGTCACGCATCGTGCGGGCCCATCTTTTGTCTCCTCAACTGTGTTACAAACTGCAATATCTCCAACGCGGTTGATTGCTGGAACCAACAACGGGGTGTTCTGAAACCAAACCAAACAAATCGAGAGCGGGATGGAAGAGAGAGAATGCTGGGGCGGCTACAGCGCACCCGCTGCCTGCAGCATGGGGACCAGCTCGCCCTTTTTCTGCAGGGTAGCCACGCCGGGGCCATCATTGCAGCCACCCACGCTCTTGCCTGCGGGGACAGCCGTGGGAGCCAGGCCAAGCATGGGGTTGACTCTGCATCCAGGCGCTGTGCGCCTCCTACACCATCCGTGGGCGGCAAGCCGCCCTGCACAGCATGGGGCCCACACACAGGGCCACCGAGGGGGCTTGCCTGCAATGAAGATGTTGGGGACGCTGGTGCGGTCGGTCAGCTTGGCCAGCTCAGCGCGGATGGCGTCGCCGTCGGCCATCTGGTCTAGCTCCAGCGCAGTGTACTTGGCGCCTGTGCCATCCAGCACAGACTTGGCCTGCTTGCAGAAGGGGCAGCCAGACCAGGAGAAGACCACCACCTGCAGGGGGGTGCGTGGGGAGCAGGAGATGGGATGGTCGGCTTGAGAATGTGCCTGGTGGCTGCACCACCAGCTCGCTCGCTGGGAGGGCGCCGTCCTCGCCACCTTCTGCTGCATCTCATGTAGCCGCTGCCGCCGCCGATGCAGGATGTAGCGGCAAGGGTCCAGCCCTGCTGCTGCGTTGCCCTCCCACGCCATTCAACTCACCGGGTTGTCTGCAATGGCAGACTCAACCTGCAAACAAAGCAGCAGGGCCCTTGTGTGTGCAACGCCTTCAGAATGATCAAAACCCTCTCGGCAGGAAACCTCGCCTGGTCCTCACCTTGGCCTTGACTGCAGACTCATCATACTGCCCCGCCTGAGCAACGGCCAGCGCCTTCTTGAAACCATTCAACGGGCTCTGCTTGACGGCAACCGAAATGGAGTTGATGAGGTCCTCTGGGAAACTCCGGCTCCGCAGGGCCAGGGCACGCCGCGGCCTGGTGCCAGCGGGCACCGCCCGAGGCTGCAGGTCGGGGTGATGGGACAGGCATTTGGCGTCGGTCAATCAAGCCAGCAAGATTGGCTGAGGCCTAACCGTGCCATTCGCCTCCAGGGTGTGGCGGCAGTGGCGGCAGAGGCGGCTGTGCGCGCTGCGGCCCCGCCCCTCCCGCACACCCTGCAGCCTCTGCTGCTCCAGCCTGCACCTCCTACCTGCCTCCCCGGCCCTGCGCGCAGAGCAGCATGTGGTAGGATGGCGCTGCGTGCAACAGTGGCCTGCATTTTGTCTGGCGGCGACGCAATTGGGTCTGCTGAACGAGGGAGAACGCAAATTAAGTCGTGGATCGCTTTTTTGGGCGAGTGCGGGCGGAGTACGCCGAGCTGGCAACTACTGGCAAGCGGCCCCATGCAAAATGCGGCCTAGGATTGCTCCATTCGTCTCCTTGTGGATGCAATACCACTGAGGCTTGTCTGGGCGGATCGGGGGCGGGCTTCTCCTCGATGCTGAGCGACGAAGAAGCACCGCTAGGCAGGGCAGAGGCAGGCCAGCAAGTCACCAGTAGCGGCAGCATCTCGGGATCAGAGCCGCAGCCTGGCCTGCTCAGCCGCCTCGCCTCCGCAGGGCGAGGTCGTGCCGCTGCCGTTGGTCCTGCGGCGGCGCCACAAGATGCCGACTTGGAGCAGCCGCTGCTCCCTGCCACCAGCAGCGGCAGGCAGCAGCTGGAGGTGGAGGAGGCTTACGTGGAGCATGTGATGGAATCCAGCCCCAAGCGCTGGCCCCAGCTGCGGCTCAGCAGCGTGAGCGCCCGCCGTCTCAGCCCCGCCGTGCTGGGCGGCAGCGGCGAGGGTGTGCTGGAGGGCCTGCTGTCGCCCCGTGCCAGCAGCCACGCTTTCGCCAGCTTCACGGCTGCCACGCAAGCGGCGCCTGTGGCTGGCACGCCGCACCCTTTTCACACCACCCTTCTGGACCAGCAGCAGCAGGCGGCGCACAAGGCCGCACCGCCGTCGCCACCGCCACCCGAGCAGCCAGAGGCAGGGCGCTTCAGCCGTGCAGCCGTGACTGGCGCCATCAATGCGGTCATTGCGCTGCCCATCATGGGAGCGTTTGCGTCAATCATCTTCCGGGTGAGTGCTGAAACTGCTTGAAGCGTGATGGATCCCTGCTGTGACCACTCACTCCACCCGCGCTGCTCCTGCTGTTCTCTGTGTCCTGTTGCAGGACCCATTCTTCCAGCCTATGCTTGGTTCCCTCGTCAAGCTGGTGTTTTTAAGCAGTGCAGTGCACCAGATGGTTTTTGCCGCAGGCAGCAGCATGCCTTTCGCCGTAGGTATATTCTTTTGGCGCTGCTTCTAGGAGCTGGCGTGAACAACTGGTTTGCTTTGCTTGTTTTGGGTCGGGCAACCACGACCTGTGTTTTTCTGGTGCTTGTGCAGGCCAGGTCCAGGACGTGGGCCTCATCTTCCTCTCCTCGCTGGCCTCCGCCATCGTTGCACAATGCAGCGAGGCGGGGTGGCCGGCAGCCGACACGCTGGCGACGGTGCTGGTCGCCCTGGTGGCTGCCACGGCCATTGTTGGCTTGCTTATTGTGGCCACAGGTTAGGCAGAAGCCGAGGGGGTGCACTGCCTGAGGGCTTCAGCAGTCGTGTGTGTGTTGATGCAGGTCGTGCCGTGTACTGTGTGCAGGTGCCCTGAAGCTGGCGAGCCTGGTGCAGTACGTCCCCCTCCCTGTTATTGGCGGCTACTTGTGAGCTGCGCGTGCTGCCTCCTTGTTGTTCAGTTCTAGCAGTCATGTAGGGCCGCGCACCGCCCACAGCCCACAGCGCCTGCTCCTGCATATGGGAGGGCCAACCCTTGCTGCTGCTGCTGCTGCATCCTTCCGCTGTTCACAGGTCCTTTGTTGGCTACTTCTGCCTGGCGGCAGGTGAGGGGCAGAGTGTGTGGCAACGCCTCCAAGCACAGCAAAATGATTTAAACGCACAATTGCTACGCACAGGTGCACCAACTGCACCAAGCCAGCCCTCCCATCCCTGGATACAGGTGTGAGCCTGGCCTCGGGGGCGCAGGTCAGCGGTCTGTCATCCTGGGCGCAGCTGGCCAGCGCCGATGCGCTGGTGAAGCTGGCACCGGCGCTGGCCATGGTGTTAGCCATCAACCTGGTGCTTCATCGATTCAGGCACGGGCGGGGGCTGGTGGTGACCACCGGCTTTTGTTCCACCAGCTGTTTGCTGCCGACATGGACCATTGTTTTTCCAGGATGCAAACTGAAAGCATCCGCGTGCTGTCCAGCCTGCAGGAGCCCCCTTGCGCTGCCAGCTCTGCTGGTGGTGGTGCCGGCACTCTTCTATGCGGTCCTGTATGCTGCCGGGTCCTCGCTGGAGGATGCGCGGGAGTCGGGCTGGGTCAGCAAGCCGCAGGTGACCTGCAGCGGTTGGGTTCTGGGCCTCTCTTCTGTTTGTGAGAGGTTGTTGCCATTTGAGTGCTTGGCGGGACGTCAGCGGACCGCTGCTTCACGCCTGCAGGAGGGCGACAGCGAGTGGCAGTTCTGGCGGGCGTGGTCGCTGTACAACATCCACGACTTTCCTCCCACCAACATCTACTGGCGTGCCATGCCCGGACAGGTACGGAGGTTGCTGCCCGATGTCCGCCTGGCTTGGCATAGAACGCATAGTGACTTCACCCGCCTGAGCCTCCCTGCTGCGCTGCTAGCGCTGCAGGCTGGCAAGCTGCTTGCCCTCTTTTTCGTGGTCGCCTTTGGCTCCTCCATGGACATTGCCGCCATCCAAGCCGACAGCCCTCGCGACCTGGACTACAACTCGGAGCTGGTGACGGTGGGGCTGTCCAACCTGGCCACCGCGGCGGCAGGCGTGGGCTTCACGGGCTCATACATCTTCAGCCAGACCCTGTTCAGCATGCGCATGGGGGTGGACACGCCGCTGATGGGAGCCATCGTCACGGGTGGGCCGGCGGGCTGTGGTCTGCGTGTGTCTTTCCTCTTGCATGCCTCGTGCCTGCTCATCTCCCCTGCTCCGTTTGCTGTTTCTTCCTCCCCTGCAGCCGCCGAGCTGGCCGTGTTTGCGGTGCCCTTCAACGTCATGGCCTTCCTGCCTAACTTCTACTTTGGAGGCCTCACAGCCTGGATCGGCCAGGACATCCTGAAAGACTGGCTGTTCATCGCCGCCAAGCGCATCTCCGCTGTGGAGTATGCCCTGCTGCTGGCCACCTTTGGGCTGGTGATGGCAGCGGGGCTGGAGGCGGGCATAGCGGCAGGCATAGTGCTGGCAGCCCTTCACTTTGCATACAGGTGGGGGTGGTCAGTGCATTCCTGGGGTGCACGGTCTACGTGTGTTTGCGTCCATGCAGATGCCTGTTCCTGTCCCCAACCTCTCCCTTCTGCCGCCCTGCAGCTACTCGCGGGTCACCATGACCGCCTTCACTGTGGTGCCCAGCCGCAGCGGCGCAGGCAAGTGTTGAGCTGTGCCAATGCCTGCTGCCGCTTACCCTCGGCAGCGCTGCTCGTGCTGACCGGCCCTTAACACCCACCCTGCAGTGCGCACCTTTGACCAGCGCACGGTGCTGGACATGTTTGCTGCACGCATCACCGCCGTCTCCCTCTCCGGCTACCTCTTCTTCGGCAGGTGGGCCTTATCCCTATCACCGACTGACATGGGAATCGCCCAGCTGGCCAGCTGTGCAGCAACCCGCTTCATAGTTGTGGGGAGGCTGCAGCACCGATTATCATTTACTCAAAGGCATCTGTCTTGCTGCTCGCTGCTGTGCTGCAGCTCAGTGACAGTTGTGGAGCGTGTGCTCAGCATTGCCAGCAGCACGCTGGATACCCAGCCGCACCTGCCTTTGGCCGAGCAGGCTCAAAATGCTGCGGCAGCCGTTGATGGAGACCAGTTGGTTGGGCGGCTAGCCAGCCTGCCCAGCAGCGCCACACTGTCCAGGACGTATGACAACGTCGCTGTGCTGGCAGACAGGCTGTCAGGTGCGTGAGGCTCCTGGCTTGTTGAGCCACAGTCCATATCGGCGTCAGGTTGCACTGTGTCTTGCCCCTGGGCGTGTTGCAGGCTCGAGTGCTGTGGCAGCTACCAGGCTGGCGTCAGCGCTGGCCGAGTCCCCGCGGTTTCTGATTCTTGACTTCAGGCACGAAGCCAGCTCCACCAGACGATCAACCTCTTTCATTGCACTACACAGCCCTACGAATTTGCCCGCATCACAGATTTAAGCATCTTTGCTGGCCATTCTGCCTCTGCCTGCAGGCGCGTCCAGGGCCTGGATGCCACCGCTGCCCGCTCCTTTGTCACCCTGCACAACAAGCTGCAGCGGATGGGCATCCAGGCGAGTGCCACTCGCTGCCTGCCTGCCACTGCTGATGTTGGCTTTCTCGAACAGTTGTCTCTTCCCTAGACTGTTGCAGCTCATCATCACTCACATTACGGCTCGCAACGCGCATGTGCGGCAGCTGCTGGCGGCTCAGGGCCTCATCCTGCGGCAGCCCACTTCTGCTGCTGATTCACAAGGCGACCCAGGTCCGTCTCTGCCCGCAGGCTCGCCCCAGTTCACCTCACTGCGTCTGATCTGACCCATCCCTACTGTTTTATCCCCCACCCTGCCTCCCGCAGGCCCCACGTGCTTCTGGTTCCCCACCATGGATGCCGGCTGCCACTACTGTGAGGAGCGCTTCCTGTCGGTGGCGGTGGCTCACGGCCTGCTGGCGCCGCCAGCCCGCTGCCTCAGCCTGGCCCAGGTATGCACAAATGCGGCTCGCGACTCTTGCCTGATGTGTGCGCTATGCAATGTGCCTGATGGCACTGCCTGTGTCGCATGCTTTCAGGTGCTGCATGCCCACCTGGAGCTGCCACGCTGCATCCTGGGGGAAGCTGCGGTGGACTACCGCGCCGCCGCCGCCATGCTTGCACGCTTCACCCGAAAGCAGGAGCTTCTGTGAGTCGCTGCCGAGTCAGCTCCGCTGTCCCATCGTGAGCATTTGTGGACATCGTGTCTGGAATTAGACGAGCTGGCAGCACACCATGCTTTGTCCTCTCTGCCTGCAGGGCTGGCGAGATACTCTTCTCGGTTGGCAGTCCGGCGGACGACATCTTTGTGATTGAGTGTGGCACAGGTGCTGTGCAGCGCTGACGCTGCCGGCTGGCTTTCTGTTCCCTCCGTGCATCTTGCTGGACATCCTCATCTGGCTCATGACCCCACTCGTCACCCCACTCTGCTGGCCTCTCTCCCTCCGTTTTGTTGCAGTGGCGTGCCAAGTGGACTTCATGTGCAGCACGGTGGCCAGCCGGGCGCAGATGCCCACGCTGCCCGCCGACACCCAGCCACACCACGCAGAGCGGCGCTTCCTGTACGGGCCCGGCAGCATCGTTGGCGAGCTGGACTTCTTCCTGCAGCGTCCCCGAAGGTGTGGTTTCACACCGGCAGCCCGTGCCATTTGTCCGGGGCGTCACAACCCTTGTTGCTGCCAGCTGAGCCCTCCTTTCTGCCCCACCAACCCTGCAGCTTTGCGGCGGTGGTGGAGGCGGACGGCAGCGCCTGGCGCATCTCCCGCCGATCCTTTGAGTCCATGGACCCCGGATCCCTCGTGCTGCTCCAGACCATCATCCTGCGCTCCACAATGTTGTCAGCAGCGCATGCATTGGAGGCCCTCGAGCGCAGCAGCGCCGACGACTGATGGTGGGAGGGCATGTGGGCAGGGAAGGCACGTCGGCTCCGAGGGCGGACGCGCAAGCAGGGGCAGCGGCAAGGGTTTCATCATTCAGGAATCATTGTCCAGTCAGGTGTTCAAAAGAATGGCCCTGTGTAAGATCCGTCAACCTGCAAATCCCAGGCAGAACGGCTGGCGGTGGTCAACCGGGGCGATACAGATGTACAAGGCCAAGAACCTCCAATAACGCACTGCTGCATTGCCGATCATCTGGGCAGCGATCTCATTGAGCGTCGGCCTGTGCAGTCTTCGCCATGTCGCAAATGCTCAGCTGTGGATTGCACCTCCATTGCAGTGCGTTTGAACATACCCAGATGCCCGGCAGAGGACTGCGCGGGGTGACGTCTCTGCCCTGTAGCTTGCGGCAAGCAGATGGGCGGCGCAGCACCCGGGCGGCGGCACGAGCGGCGGCACGAGTGGCGGCAGAGCAGAACCCGCGGCCAGACAGCGGCCAGCCTGCGAAGAAGGATAGCAACATCCGCGGCAACAAGGAGCACGCTTCACCGATCCTGCTGGGGCTGGCAATGGCGGCAGCAGCCGCCGATGCCATCATGCCTGTGGCGAGGGTGAGTGGGGTCCGCACCCTCGCGCACACCGACACATCTGGTGGAACTGCTGCACACCCACTTGGCCTGCGCAAGCTGGTAACCCTGGTGCAACTTTCGGCTGGCCTGGCTTTACAGGGCCTGGCGTCTGCAGTGGTCTCTGGCATGGCTGCCGGCAGCACAGTGGGTGGCACCGTCGTCATGCGCCGGGATGAAGGCAGCAGCACAGCCTCGCCTGCTCTGTCAGCACGGCAAGCAGGCACATGGCCGCCATCACCAGCAGCGGTGCAGGGCGCCCAGGTGCTGGCGGCATCGCGCCTTGGCGGCGCCGGCCGCCAGTTGCACGTCGCCACTGCCAGGGCCGGCACAGCAAGTGCGGCAGTCGGAAGCGCCAGCGAGCAGTCGGCCCTGCACCACACAGAGCCTGAGGCCGACCAGGCTGCAGCCAGCATCTCGCCAGCACCTGGCGCACCTGTGGCCCTGCCAGTCGTGCCTAGCCGCACCACACTCAGAGTGCTGTCTGGCGGCAGCGCTGCGCCGCCTGCTGCGGCAGCCGACGAGCCAGCGGCAGCAGCGCCCAGCAATGCAGCACCGAAAGCCACACCTAGCAGCGCGCCGGCTGCTGCCGCTCCCAGCACCACTCCCGCGGCCACAATGCCCGGCCGCACTCCCCTGGAGGTCGTGCCGACAGCGCCCAGCACCCTTCCTGATGTTCCGGCTCCAGAGGGGCCCACAAGCAGTATCACTGGCGGCAATGGTGGCATGCTTGAGGGTCTGCTGCAGACACTGGCAGCGGCAGCGGCAGATGCAAAGGCAAGCCAGCTGCACCCGCATGCTGCCAGGCGGCCTGTCCCTGCGCAGTCTCTCCCTTTGCGCCAAGCCAGAAGAGCTTGCAACCTGCGTCGCCCGCCTGCCTCCGCCTGCAGGGCGACGGCCGCTCTGACCCCGTGCGTGCCCTGCTGGCCGCCGCCCCTGCCTCTGGCGAGCCCCGCACCAATTTTGCTCGCAGCCTGGTGCGCGGCATGGAGGAGGCAGAGGAGGGGGACGGCAGCGACGTGTTTGTGCTGGCACGCACCCTGCTGGAGGTGGGTGGGCAAGTGGAAAGGTGGCGCATGGTGGACTGGCTGTGGCGGAAGGATGGCATGCTTCGGGGCAGGCGCACTTGTGGCTGCAGAGCGGCTGGTGCTCATCACCCCCTACCGTTGTGGATCGCTTGCTTGTGTGCAGAGGGCTCTTGAGGGCGGTCACCTGGCGCCAGCAGGAAGCAGCTTGCCTGCCACAGCGGCGGCCCCAGTGCCAGCAGCCGCCAGCAGCGTCCCCAGCACTGCCGGAGCCAGCGGCGGCGCAGCCACGGGCGGCAGCGGCGGCGGCAGCGGCAAGTATGATGAGTTGTTGAAGGCCCTGGCAGCCGCCGCCGCATCATCAGACCTTGAGGTGGGGATGGCGGGCCCAGCACGCCGTGTCTACCGCACCATGTCTCTACTCTGAGCGTGCCGTTGCATCTCCTGCCTGCAGCTGGACAGCCGGTTCGACCCTGTGCGCGCCCTGCTGGCCTCCGCCCCGGAGCGCGGGGAGCGGCGGGACAACTTTGCGCGGAGCCTGCTGCTGGGCATTGACGGGGTGCAGGGTGGCGACTACACCAGCCCCTTTGCCCTGGCCAAGATACTGCTGGAGGTGGGCGGGTGGGCAGCACAGTTTGGATGGTTGCCTGTGCATGGCCAGACCGTGGGAACGCCAGGAGTGCCTAACTGCGTTCGAGGCAGAGGTTTGAGCGTGTTACACGTTGCCACCGCCGCTGGGACCCTGGCCGCAGCGCGCACTGGAGAGCGGCAGCCTGGTCCCGGGTCGCACGAGCGCGCCGGCGGCAACGGCAGCGCCCAGTGCCGGCGCCGGCAGCAGCAAGTACGAGGCGCTATTGCAGGCGCTCACGGCGGCGGCTGCATCGCCAGAGCTGAAGGTTAGGCTGTATCCTGTCGTTGCTTGCAAGGTTGCCAAGTGCCAACCCTGCCCTCCCGAGCTGCCAGGTGTTTTTGAGCTGGCTTTACATCCTACACTTGCCTGCCTGCTTTTTGCTGCAGGGGGACGGCCGCTTTGACCCCGTGCGCGCGCTGCTGGCCGCCGCGCCTACCGCCGGCCAGCCCCGCGACAACTTTGCTCGCAATTTGGTGCGCGCCCACTGCTGCTGGCTTACCTGGGATGCCTTTCGTGCCTTCCTGAGTGCCATGTGCTGGGCAGGGCAGTGTTTGATGCGCCAGTAGCATGGTGCTGTACCGCCCCTCCTCCTTGCAGCTGCGTGGCATCGAGGAGTTGGAGGATGGGGACAGCACCAGCGTGTTTGCGCTGGCGCGCACCCTGCTGACGGTGGGTGGCTGCTGGCCGCCTGACGCTGGCTTGCGCTGGGCGCATGTCCTGCCTGTTTGCCTCTTGCATTGACAGCTCATGTTTCTCATGTTTGTGCCCGCCCGCCCTGGCCCTCTGCGTGCCTGCAGCGGGCACTCGATGGCGGTGGCCTGGTGCCCGCCGAGGCGGGCAACGAGTGAGCGGTGCTGCGGTGTTGATTGCCATCTCATGAGTGATGTTGTTTTTTCAGTGTGAGGGCCTCCGCCACAGACCACTCAGACACATGTGTGTACAGATCTCTACAGATTGGGTACCGGTGGGCGGCGCCAGGATTGATGGCGGCGCGCACTCCTTTGCTGCCGTTCTCAATCGTAGAGTGCTCTGGGCGTCGAACCTAGGGTGTACAGCGCAAATTTAACACAATCCAGGTACATAGCTGTTGTGGGGACGCCACAACAGGTCTCTCACAACACCTGGCGGCGGCGGCGGCGGCGGAGGCAGGCCGGAAGCTGGCCGGGGCACCCCGCGTCCCACCACCTGTCGCCCTGGAGAGGACCAGACTCGCTCGTGAGCGCGACAAGTGGCCCGGTGGGAGCTTTCAAGGGCGGACGGGCGCTGCACGCACAACTGTGCGAACTGTACCGAAAGTCTACTGCGTATTAAGGCTGCCTCGTTGCCATCGCCGCTGACAATCGCCCTACATCCCCATCCTCTACCTCTCCTGCCACCCTGCTTCGTTTGTGGGCGACGTCCACCTAGCCCAGATACAGGGGTCCTCATCGTCCCATCTTGGCAGGAGGCGCAGCTTTGCATCCCCGACACGACCAAACGGCGCTCACGGGTGCCAGAGATGGCGGTGGAGGCGGCGGCGGCGGCCAATTCGGCCCACATACGGCGGAAGAGCATCGGTGGGCGGCCCTTCAAGAGCTCCCCCGACCTCACGCTGCTGCTGGAGAACCTCTCCAAGGAGGCCAGGATAGAGCCTGCCAGGCTGAGGCTTTCTGGGCCGCTGGGCGAGGGCGCTTATGCCAGTGTGCGGCGGGCCGAGTTGCGGGCGGGCGCATCCCTCCCTGGCGGGGAGGCCGACACGCGGCAGGTGGCCGTCAAATTCCTCCACCAGCAGCTGCTGGAGGATGCGGAGCAGGTCCAGCTATTTGTGCAGGAGGTGGAGCTGCTGCGCACCCTGCGCCACAGGTGGGCCTCCGGGACCCGGGTTTGCAGGCGGTACTCGCTTGCACCGCTCAGGCAGTAGTGCGTCAGCATCGCTGCTACAAGTTTGGGGAATCCGCCGCTGCAAGTTTGGGAAATCCTGACGGCTGTGCACCACCCTGCCATTCTGCCTGCAGCAACATCGTGGAGTTCATAGGCTGCAGCTGGCAGCGTGCTGCCGCCAATGACGACTTTGCCAGGGCGGGGGCGCCGGGGCTGGCCAATGTCAGCCCGCCGCCAGCCAAGTACGGTCCCATCAAGGTCCACTACTATGTCCAGGAACTATGTGAGTCTGTGAGAGCATTGAGAGCCGCGGGAGTTGGCAGACGGATTGGTCCGCCCGCCACCCCCCCGCCATCCCGACGCTGGGCAGCTGGGCCCTGTTCCGGTGCCTCACGGCGCCCCCCCGCCGGCATCATGCGCCTGCCCTGCTGCAACAGAGCCGCCAGCTGACCTGGTGTGCATGTGGCCATGCACTGCAGGCGGCGGCGGCAGCTTGGGTGAGCTGGTGAGGCGGCAGATGGTCAAGCCGTACAAGCCTCTCTACAGGTGTGGGGCGTCGCTGGTTTCGTGCCGGCTTCAAGTGACTGTGCGAGCAGCTCAAGGGTTGCACTGCATGCTGTTCTCGCCTTCGGCACAGCCCACCCCATGGCACCCACATTGCCACCCCTCCCCTCCCACCCCGCCCCCTGCCCGTGCAGCGACATGGACGCGCTGCGCTGGAGCCTGCACACCGCGCGTGCGCTGCAGTACCTGCATGAGTCCCGCCCCGTCATCATGCACCGCGACCTGAAGCTGGACAACATCATGCTGAGCAGCGCTGACGTGGCACGGGCAGACGTCAAGCTGGCAGACTTTGGCCTGGCCCGCCACACGGCGCACGCCCCGCTCCCCAGCAAGGCCCCCGCGCCGCTCGTGGAGCTCACCTGCAACGCCTGCCCGCCGGCGCAGCCAGAGCCCGGGGCGTCCAGGAGGGGCGGCAGCACCCGGGGCGCCACGCCTCACCATGTTCCCGTGCTGACGGGGCGCACCGGCTCCCTGGGCTACATGGCCCCAGAGGTGCTGGCCTCGCGCCCCTACGGCCCCAGTGCAGACATCTTCTCCCTGGGCATGTGCATGTGAGTGGGTGGGGCCGGTGGAGGCAGCAGCGGAAGCCACCCGACGTCTACCTGGCAGGGGGCTGTGCGCATGCCGGGCAGCCCACACCATTGCGCCGCGTCCTCACCGCCGCCCTTGCAACGCCTGCGCTGCCCCTACTGCAGGTACAACCTCTTTGCGCGCCGCCTCCCCGGCTTTGAGCTCATGCTCAACTGCTCCGAGGGCAGCGGTGATCCCATGGAGGTGTTCGCAGCAAAGGTGAGCCCCAGCGCACCCTGCCTGCCTCCTGTCCTGCACATGCCCCGCCTCTAGCGCTGTTTGGGATCAAGCCCAGGGGAGGTGCTTTCATGAACCATGCACACACCTGGCTGTCGGGCATGTGGTGCAGGTGGCCGAGGGCTTCCGCCCGGCGCTGCCGCCGCGCGTGCCGCCTGCGGTGGCTGAGGTCATCCAGGCTTGCTGGAAGGGCGACGCTGAGCTGAGGCCCAGCGCCGGCTGGGTGGTGCAGATGCTGGAGCGCATTGGCGAGTCGGGTGAGCGCCTGGAGCCACGCCCTTGCCTTGTACCGCCCGCACCATGTTGCACCTGCCGCTGCCGCTGGGGTAGGCCCATGGGTTTTGACGGGCTGAGTTGCATGCTTCTCACCGGCCGTGTGCGTGCGTCTGCTCCCCTGTAAGAGCAGGCAGCGGGTCTAGTCGAAGTCTAGTAGCAGCCGGAGCCCGGCTGCGGCCAGTCAAGTCAAGTCAGTTACAAAGAAGAGAGAAAGGCCCCGGAATGACCCGCATTCCGGTTATATAGTCGCACAAAGGTAGTGCTGTAGTGCTGCCAGCCAGGCATGGCTGGTGACTAGTCGATCGATCAAGGCATGATAAGCGCAATCAATCATGCAGTTGTGAGTAGAATGAAGTAGCGAGAGTGTAAGACTCAGTTGCTGTCTCGCAGCTGGCACAGCAGGGTGCCGCCTGCTGCTGCCGCTGCTGCAATCCTCCCCCTCATCTGAAAGCTGTGCCCTCACAGCTTGAGCCCATGCCGCAGCTTCTGCCGCAGTCTCTGGGTGCTGCTAGTTGCCGCCTCAGGCCACGTCCTCCGTGGCGTCGGATGCGTCGCCGGTGGGCGCGCCGCTGCCGGTGTCGGAGGTGTCGGTGGTGAGGCGCTGCCGCTTGGAGGCAGATGCTGGTGCGGTGCTGCTCCGCAGGAACTCAAGCAGCACAATCCGCTCGCGCTGCTCAGCAATCACAGCCTCCTTAGCTGCAATGATGGCCGCGACCCATTTGTGTGACAAGAAGTCGATCAGACGTCATAGTCGCGACGCCACGCTGGCGTGCGCCGCTGGCGTGTGCTGGTCCGAGCAGCAGGTGCTCGCGCAGGCTGTTCGTGCTGTGTAGATGTTGGTGAAGTCATGTGGGTGTCTTTGTTGTCCGCCGTGCGCTGTGCAGGGGTGCTTGCTGCAGGCGCTGGCTTGGCCTGGTCTAGCTCTTGCTTCATTTTGCGAACATCGGAACCTAGAAAATGTTTGGCCGGCTCCCAAGTCGCCTCGCTGAGTGGGTAACCTTGCCAGAGGACTAAGTACTGCGCCAGCTGCCGCCCGCCCTCAGTGATGGTGCGCTTGCGTAGCAGCCTGTCTACCAGGTAGACATCATCATTGATAATTGGGGGCGGTCGCAGCTGAGTCTCTTGCCGCTCTGGTGTTGTCTCGTCGTGGAAGTACGGCTTGAGTAGTGATATGTGGAAGACAGGGTGGATTTTCATTGTGGCAGGCAGGTCGAGACGGTAAGCTACAGCCCCGACTCGCTCCAGGATGGTGAAGGGTCCTGTCCACTTGACATTGAACTTGGATGCAGGCCCGTCGCTGCGCAGCCGGAGGTTGGCAGTGGACAGAAGCACTCGGTCGCCCACGTCGAAGGCAGCGTCCTGCCGTTTGAGGTTGGCGTAGTGTGCTTGCCGCTGCTGTGCTGCTGCCAGTTGTTGCCTGGCTGCTTCTAGGTCAGTCTGCATGCGTTGGTAGAATTCTGTTGCCACCTGGTTGGTGCTGCCGTGTAGGCGATGCACTCCCAGTGTAGCAGGGGTGAGTGGGTGATAGCCGTAGTTGAGATAGAAGGGGGTCTGCTTGGTGCTTGAGTTCACCGCATTGTTGATAGCAAACTCCGCCGGTGCCAGCCTGGTGTCCCAGTCGTCGTGCCGATCAGACACGTAGGCTCGCAGTATTTCCTCCAGTGTGCGGTTGGTGCGCTCAGTTTGGCCATCCGTTTGGGGGTGGTACGCTGTAGATCGTTTGAGTTTGGTGCCGAAAAGCTCCATCAGAGCCTCCCAAAAGCGACTGGTGAACTTGCTGTCCCTGTCGCTCACAATGCTGCTCTGAAGGCCGTGCAGTCGGCTGATGTTGTTGAAGTACAACTCTGCAGTACTAGGTGCAGTTGCAGTAGTGTGAGTGGCCGTCAGATGTACCATTTTTGTCAGCTTGTCCACCACCACCATAATTGCGTCGTAGCCTCGGGGTGTCTTGGGAAGTTGTGTAATAAAATCCATTGTGGTCTGCTCCCATTTGCGCTCGGGAATTGGCAGTGGCTGGAGAAGCCCCAAAGGCTTGCGATTTCGGCTTTTGCTAATCTGGCAGCAAGGGCAGGTCTGGACATGCCGCCTAACATCTGATCTAAGTGTGGGCCACCAGTAATTGCGCTCCAGGCAATCGATGGTCTTATCCATGCCCAAATGTCCAGCAATTGGAGTGTCGTGGTGCTCGGAGATCAAATGCCGCCTAAGTTCTTCCGCTGCTGGCGGAATGTACAGCTGGGTCTTATCGCCATCCGTGCGGATGATCAGCCCGTGTTGCAATCGGCAATTGGGCTCTTGCTGCTGCTGAATGCGTTGCTTGAGAGCTCTGCTCTCATCATCCCCCCCATAGCGGCTTGGAAGGTTCGCCAGGAAGTCTGTTGATGTGCTGATAATGCTATTCAGGAGGTCCGGCCGTCTGCTGAGCGCGTCGGCCACCACGTTGGTTTTGCCGGGCAGGTAGTCAATATACACATCGTACTCTTGCAGTGTGGCCATCCATCGTGTTTGTCTGGGGCTCAGGTGCGGCTGGGTAGCGAAATGCCGCAGTGCCTGGTGGTCCGTGTAGGCTCGGCTGCGTGCCGCTCCCATCAGGTAGTGCCGCCAGTGTTTCAGAGAAGCAATCAGAGCTAGCATTTCCCTGTCATGTGTCGGGTAGTTGCGTTCTGCGGGGGTGAGCTTGCGAGAGTAGAATGCTATTGGCTGCAGGCCCTTGCCGTGGTCTTGACTGATGACGCCGCCCAGTGCCCTGCCGGACGCGTCAGTGGTGAGCACAAAGGGCTTCTCGGGGTCAGGGTAGGCCAGCACAGGTGTGGTTGTGATACTATGCTTCAGTTTCTTGAATGCAGCTTCTTGGTCTGGTCCCCATGTCCAGGGAACAGTCTTGGACAGTAGAGTCGTTAGGGGGTCAGCAATGTGGGAGAAGTGGTGAACAAAGTGCCGGTAGTAACCTGCCAGTCCCAGGAATGCAGACACCTCCGTCGCATTCGTAGGGGCAGGCCAGTTCAGGATAGCCTGAACCTTGCCGTCATCTAAGCTCTTGCCCTCTGCATTGATAACATGTCCCAAGAACTTCACTTCTGGCTGGAACCAGTCACATTTGCTATCCTTAATGTAGAGCTGGTTGTCTTGTAGTTTCTTGAGCACTATCTCCACATGCCGAGCATGCTCCTCTACGCTATTGCTGTATATCAGTATATCATCTAGAAAACACACCATCCACTGATCAAGGTACTCTCGAAACACGTCGTTGATCAGGGTCTGGAAGGTAGCTGGTGCGTTGCACAGCCCGAAGGGCAGGACTGTGTACTCGAAGAGGTCCCCATCTAGTTTTAAAGGCAGTCATTGGTATGCTGTCCTCTTTCATTCTGATCTGGTTGTAGCCGGCTCGCAGGTCTATAGATGTAAAGATGCTGCCCTTGATCTGGTCCAATAACTCATCGATGCGAGGTAGGGCGGTCCGGTTCTTGACGGTCAAAGCATTAACAGCCCTGAAATCGATGCACATTCTCATAGTGCCATCCTTCTTCTTCACAAACAGGACTGGACTGCCCCAGGGTGAAGTGCTGGGTCTAATGAATCCTTTCTTGAGTCCATCTTCAATCTGTCGGTGGCATTCAGCCTGTTCCTCGTAAGACAGACGGTAATATTTCTGGTTTGGGGGCTGGGCATCTGGAGTGAGCTGTATTTTGTGGTCATGTCTACCCCTAGATGGTGGCAGATGGTCAGGAAGCTCATCAGGCATGACGGCTGCGTACTTGCTCTTCAGCCGTTTCACATGCTGGTCAATCAGCTCTTGTTCTTGAGGAGAAGATGTGCTTGGGGTACGGTCGGTACCGTCCGGAAAATCTGGTGCCGCTGTCGGGTAAGACTCATTGGTGTCGTCCCCTTCAGAGATATCTGGTGGCTCCTCTTCTGGTTGTGCCCGTACCACAGCAAGAAACAGCTTAGCGCCGCGTTGCATGCCGTGGCATACTTGTAGTGCCGTGAGGTACTTAGTCTGGTGCAGTTTCGGTGGGTCTTGAGGCCGTAGGGTGATCAGCTGCCCATTTTGGCTAAGGGTAATGTGCCTGTTTCTCCAATCAATGGTAGGGTTGTGTGCATGTAGCCAGGGTGCTCCCAGGATCACGTCGTTGCCTTCCAGTGGTAACACGTAGGCCTCTATTTTGGTCAGGAAGGCCCCAATGCGCAGGCTGGTGTGGATGGTCTCTTGAATGGGGTACGGAGTGCCATCAGCCAGCTGCACAGTAGGCCCATGTATCTGGTAGGTAGTCATCTTGTTTTTCTGGACAAACTTGCTAGAAATGAAGTTGTAAGATGCTCCAGAGTCGATCAGCAGGGTGGCGTCGCATCTCCCGACTTTGGAACGGAAGTGCAAAAGTCCTGCCGCCGTCTTGCTATTATCGATGGTGACTGCTAGTTGAGGAGGCAGTGGTTCTCCTGTCTGTTCCCTGTTCGCCACAAAGCTGCGAATAGCAGCCAGTGAGGGAACTGCCTGTGTCTTCACCGCCGGGCTGGGTTGCCCTGCTGCCGCCGCTCCGGACACTGCAGTGCCATGTGGCCGGTCTTGCGGCAGTAGAAGCACTTGCCCTCTCGCAGCAGCTGCTGTCTGAGCCCTGGTGTCAACTTGGGCCGATCTGGCTGTCTCCTGTTGCCTGGAGAGAAGCTGGATTGCTGCTGCCTGTCCCAGCGGTTGCCGCTTGCAGGGTTGTGCCGGTTGTGCATGACCGCCCCCAGTTCCATTGGCTGTGGCCCGGGGGTCTGCCCAAAAGGTTTGGACTGCCTGTAGCGATCATACATCAGGGCATCAAACCGCTCTGCCATCTCGACTGCAGCCTCGAAAGTGGCTGGTGCACGCATCCGGACATCCTGCTGGGTCCTCTGCTTCAGGCCGCGAATGAAGCGATCCTTGATCTCAGCATCTTGTATGCCAGGAATGAGCAATGCCGTGTTGCGTATGGCCGTGACATAGCTCCGGACACTTCCGGTCTGCTGCAGAATTGCCAGCCGGTCGCGTGCAGTCTCAGCCGGATTGATGGGCTGGAACATTAGCCGCATTTGTTGACAGAACAAATTCCACGTTGCGGGTACATTGTTTGGGATAAGACTGCGCCACCAAGCCAAAGCCGCCTCTCGTAGGTAGGGTATAGTCTTTTCAATCCGCTGCACATCGTCGATCACGCCGCATGAGTTGAGATAACTGTGTACTATGAACAGCCATTGATCTACGTCTTCTTTGTCTCTGTGGCCGTTGAACAGTGGAGGGACGGGTGTCTTGGCCCGCGGTAGTGCCGCCGCCGCCGGAGCAGGTGGTGGCTGCGCCGCAAATGCCGCCGCCACTTGGTTGTTGATCATGTCCCACATCACTTGTGCCAGCGCCGGGTCAATGCCGCCTGGGCCGCCGCCGCCGCCGCCAGGTTGTGCGCCGGGTGGTGCGCCGTTCATCGCCGCCGCCGCCGCTTGCGCCGCCGCCGCTTGCGCCGCCGCCGCTTGTGCCGCCGCCGCCGCTTGCGCCGCCGCCGCCGCTTGCGCCGGGTCCATGTTCTCTGGTGTGTGGGTTCTTGTGACTGTGTTGCGCTGTGTGGGCTTGCTCACTCAACAATGAGGCAGGCAGGAGCAGGCACAGCAGTTAGTGACCGGTCAAGTGTCGTAACTGTCCTTTGACCGAGCTCGAGGTGGTCGAGGTCGGTTTCTGATCAAGCGCAAGCACAGCCCCACTGCGGGCACCAGTTTGTAAGAGCAGGCAGCGGGTCTAGTCGAAGTCTAGTAGCAGCCGGAGCCCGGCTGCGGCCAGTCAAGTCAAGTCAGTTACAAAGAAGAGAGAAAGGCCCCGGAATGACCCGCATTCCGGTTATATAGTCGCACAAAGGTAGTGCTGTAGTGCTGCCAGCCAGGCATGGCTGGTGACTAGTCGATCGATCAAGGCATGATAAGCGCAATCAATCATGCAGTTGTGAGTAGAATGAAGTAGCGAGAGTGTAAGACTCAGTTGCTGTCTCGCAGCTGGCACAGCAGGGTGCCGCCTGCTGCTGCCGCTGCTGCATCCCCCTTCCCCGACTGCAGGCGAGCTTGGCGGTAGCGCTGCCGACACCCCCGTGCAAGGGTGTGCCTGCACCATCATGTAGACGGTGGATTGATGTTGAGGACCTGGTGTGTGCCACGCCCGTTGGCGACGCCCAGCTAGCTTCTGGCTTTGTTGTGTGTTCGTTCACAACAGAAGAGCATCGAGTGCACGCTGCGCAACATTTTTGGTTCATCCTGCCTGCCTGTTTCGATTCATTCATACTGCCGCGCGGCGCAATGATTGCAGCACGAGCCCTTCCTTCCCTCTCAGAACTCTGAACTCAATCAAGCTTTCATGCATGCATCCGGGAGGCCAGCCTCCTTAAACGGCTCCTCTCCCGCTACTAACATGTAGAATCATCCTGTATTGATGTTATTCCCCTCCCTTGAGCGCCTTCTGTGTCTCCCTTGAGCGCTGCTGTTCTCTTGCCCTTTGTACCGCTCCCCTGCATGTGGCGCAGCACATGCTGTTGTGCACGTTTGCCTAGCGCCCCTGCCAGAGACACTTGCCTCGGAACTTCCGAGAGAGGCCATGTACAGATGTACAGATGTGCAGATGGCCCCGCCCATGTAACGCATGCACAATCGGCAATGATGATGAAGTTGTGCTGACCAATGGTCCTGTGCATTCAGCTGCCTCTTCAGCTTCTCCACCACTGGTTGGTTTGTCATCATATGTTCATTTTATCAGCGGGATGTCTCTGCTTTCCGTGTGTCAGGTACATCCTGTGATTCCTCTTGTGCCTGTGCAGCAACGAGTTGTTGCAAACCGACCTTTACAGGCGGGACGCGGTGTCGTGCAAGGCACGCAGGCGAACATCCAGCTGTGGGCGGCATCAAAGCTGCCCATTGAGTGCGCCGGCCTAGACACCATCACCTTGCGCAATGAGTCGTGCAGGAGGCAGCTGTGGTTGCAGAGCAGAGACCTGTCTCGTGAAAAATCTCTCTCTCGTGCGACTCCTACCAGGGCCGCTCCCGCCGCCAGCTGGCAGGCGACGTCAGCTCCGCCGCTGCATGCCAACCCTCCAGCACCGCCCGCTGGCGCATCCACTCTATCCCGGCGCTGCCCACGGCCTGCACAACGGCACCCGTTTGTCGGTCTTTGACTGGGCGTTTCGTTGCCTCAGCAGTTGCCCCCGCCTTTACTTGCCCGCTCTCCCTCACAGCTCAGCAGCCCCCCGGCAGCCCAGCAGCGGAAGCCCAGCAGTTCGGTAGCAGGCGGTGCGGGCAGCAGAGGCGCAGGATGGGGTCCAGGAGACAAGACTACGACTACCTGATCAAACTGTTGCTTATAGGGGACAGCGGTGAGCGGCGGGAGTCGTGGCCGGCACCAGCGAGGCCTACGCGGAGTGTGTCGCCCTTATTAACGCTCTCCTTTGGTGCAGGCGTGGGCAAGAGCTGCCTGTTGCTGCGCTTCGCCGAGGACAGCTTCACCTCGAGCTTCATCACCACCATCGGGTGCGGCGACGGTAGGCGCCTGCGACGCAGGCGCTGTGCCGGCAGTGTGCCGCGCTGCTTCCTTGCCTCCAATGCCCACGCTTCACAGATTTTGTGCGTTGCAGCATCGACTTCAAGATAAAGAAGGTGCTGATCGATGGCAAGTGGGTCAAGCTGCAGATATGGGACACGGCGGGGCAGGAGCGCTTCCGCACAATCACCAGCGGTGCGTGCCCAGGCGGGGTGGGCCAGGCGTCTGCTGCCTTGCTGTTCTTTGTCCCTAACAGTTCGGGGGGTCTTTCAGACAAGCCTAAGCGGCATCGGACCTGCTGCTGCCTGCCAGCTGGACCAAGCAGCGATGCTGCATGAATGGTTAAGATGCCGTTGCCCTGGTCGCCCAATGCCGCGGCTCCTCACCTGCCGCCCCGCCCCACCGCGTGCAGCCTACTACCGCGGAGCCATGGGCATCCTGCTGGTGTATGACGTCACCGACGAGGCCTCCTTCACCAACATCCGCAACTGGATGAAGAACATCGAGCAGCACGCCTCGGACAACGTCATCAAGGCAAGCCAGCAGCCCGGAGGCGCAGCGGAGGGCACGGCATCCTGGGCCTGGCCAGGCAGCGGTGGGGCAGGAGGCGGCGGCAGCGGATGGGATGGCATGCTGCAGTCCGGCGGCTGGTGGCCAGCACCTTGCCAGCTGCGCGTGGCGCCCCAGGGCTGGCGGTTGACGTCGCCCTGCGTCGCTTCCCTCGCCCACACCTCCCCCGCCCGCAGGTGCTGGTGGGCAACAAGAGCGACATGGACGAGAGCAAGCGCGCGGTGGCGTACAGCCGGGGCCAGGCGCTGGCCGACGAGTTCCGCATGCAGTTCTTCGAGACCAGCGCCAAGAACAACACCAACGTGGACGAGGTGTTCCAGGTGGGCGCGCGTGGCGAGGGTGTTCTCTGTAGGTGGAGCAATCTTGTTGTGCCAGTTTTGGCCGCCATGGATGGGTGTTCCTGCCCATGCATGGGTCGGGCCCGGGCGTTGCCGCTGCCTGGCAGTGCCCGGCTGGCTGGCCTGCCGCCAACTAGCCCCTGGCTGCTCTGCCGGGTGCAGTCGGTGGCGCGGGACATCATGCTGCGGCTCAAGGACACGCAGCCAGATGCAGGCAGCGGCGCAGGCAGCGGTCCCAGCCTGCGGGTGGGCGCCGGGCAGCGCAAGGCAGTAGCCAGCAGCAAGGGCGGCTGCTGTTGAGCGTGGAGTAGGGATCAGTGTGAGCCTCGGCTTGCCGACCCCCACGGATGTCTCGCCTCGCAGAGCTGCTGTTCCTTCTTTTTCTGTGTCACCCGCTACTCGTTTCGGGGTGCCTGTAATCTCTTGTGCCTCCTGCTTGCTCTCCTTGATTCTTTCTGGGCTCTTGTGCCTACGGCAGCCTGGCACTGTTCTCCTCAGCTCTTCCGAATGTAACCACGACGCTACATGCAGGCTCTCACAAGGCAAGGTTTTGCAGGCAAAGAACATAGCAGATGAATTCACAGTTCAGAGGGGTGGTAGCCTTCTGCTCGAATGATGGGTCCTATCGCTCAGCGCTGGGGAGCCAGCCGCTGAGACGCCAGCGCACGCTGCGCTGCCACCGGCAGGAAGAACACGGCCTGGCCCGCCGCCAGGCCGCCGTTCAGCTGGGCGGCGGCCTCCTTGAGGATGAGGGCATCGCTGGGGGCCAGCCCACTGCCAGCGCTGCCGCCCGCCTGTGCAGCGCTGTCGGCGGCGTAGCTCACCCAGCCCATCACCGAGCCCCACAAGGGCAGCAGGGCGTCGGCGCTGGCCTCGGCAGGCAGCAGCAGGCCGGTCGCCTGCAGGGTGCCCAGCGAACCGGCCACGCTGACCACATCCTGCAGCAGCCAGGCGGGCAGGGCGCCGCCCCGCCCCTGCCTGGCCAGTGCCGCCGACAGCGCGGGCAGCAGCGCAGAGAGGAGGGGCGGGTGGCTGAGCTGGAGGGTGGCCAGCTCCCACAGCACCTGGGCCAGTGTGCTGAACGGCACCGCTTGCTGCTCCGAGTCTGGCGCCTGCTGCCGCTGCTGCTCCTGCTGGCGGTGCAGGATGGCGGCCAGGCGCCCGCACGCCGCCTCCGCCGTCTCGGGCGACGGCTGCAGGCCTCTCGCCGCGAACAGGTGCAGGCAGGCGGTCAGGCTGCCGGCAGAGTAGTAGGCGGCTGCCTGGCGGATGTGCAGCTCCAGCTCCCGCAGGGTGACCTCCCTGCATGTGGCGGAAGGGTGGCCTGTAGCTTGGGTGAGAACTCCAAACACAAACCATGTTCTGGCGAGCTGCACACATCTGTTGGGAGCTGCACACTTCATGCATCACACTGGCCCCCATTCGAGCGCATGCGTGCATGCGTGTGTGCAGAGAGCGGGGCAGCCGGCTGGCGCGCTCACGTCAGCGCCGCGCCCGGCATGGCCGCCAGGCGCCCCATCTCCCCGCAGATGCTGCCCACGTGGTACGGCGTCAGCACCACCTCCGCCTGCACCCTTCGCGCCCGCAGGCCCAGCGCCATGGCGTTTGCTATGGCCAGGCGCGCCCCAAGCACCGTATCCAGAGAGTCGAAGAAAGCGGTGAGGAGGCAGGGCAGCGGGCCGCCCTCGCGGCCCTGGATGCTGCCGCCCAGGATGCGCCGCAGGGAGCAGAGCTGCGGCCGGGGGGCAGGCATGTGGGAGCAGGAGGTGGGATGGGTGGTAACAGCAGTCATGGACAGGCGCCAAAGGTTTGAAGCTGCCTGCGCACCACAGCGCCTCTCCCCGCTCACCAGGTCTGCCAGCTGCTGGGAGCTGAACCCCTGCAGCACCCGCCCTGCGGAGCCGGCGCCAGCCTCCCCCTCCTCCTCGCTGCTGCCGCAGCGGGAGGTGGCGGGGCCCGGCGATGCGTCCGAGCTGCCCGCACCCAGGTGCGAGAGCAGCGCTGCGAGCACAGCGGTTGGTGGGGCGTACTCCAGCATGCCCAAGCCTTGCACAAGGTTGACCACGTCCTGCAAGCAGCCGCGAAGCAGGCGGGCAGCTGGGCTGAGTGATGGGCAGGCGGCGAGCAGCACGCCGAGGGGGCTGCGCTGCTGTGGAGGCGGTGCAGGAGCTTGCCTGTGGCTGGGCTGCCCGCAGGCGAGATGCCAGAGCATCGCCAAGGTCGTCAAGCACATGGGCGTGGATGCCGCGGTCCGGGCACCAGTAGCAGCGGGGCAGGAAGCCCAGGCGCCCAAAGGCCGCGGCCAGCAGGCCGACCGCCTGCGGCGTCGGCTGCTCTACCCTGCTGCGCATCCTGCAAGCCCACGTGGGTGCATGGAAGTGATGCTTTGAAGCTTAGGTTGCACATTTTGGATGGACCAGACGCTTGCCTTGATTCACGACCCTGGGGGCTGGAGGCCCACCACCCACCCACCATGCAGACAAGCCCCACACCCCCACCACCACCACCCCCATCCACACCCCCACCTGCGCGAGGCAGCGGTGGCCACAGCATGAAGCAGCGCCTCGTCACGGTAGGGCTGTGGGCTGATCTTGGTGCACGCATGCAGCACCTGCATGCGTACACCAGCGGTGCCATGGGCAAAGGCCATCAGCCGCTGTGCCCTCCCAGCTTCCTGCTGAATGGAGTGCAACCAGCGCAAGACAGGCAGGCAGGCAGGCAGGCAGGCAGGCAGGCGCATCCCGTCACCTCAGAGAGCCCCTGGAAGGTCATGCCGCCGGCCTCTGCCGTGGCCGCCTGCGCTGGGCGGTGCAGCAGCCCGGATGCCTCCGCCTCCAGGTGCAGCTCCTGCGGGGAGCACCGGCTGCTGGCCTCGCCCAGCGCCCACCAGGCGGTGGCGACGGCCTGCACGCAGCAGAGGGAGAAGGGGCACGTGGGGCCCGAGGCAAAAACCTTCCCCACAATAGCCCACAGCCCCAGGTCGCCGGCCCTGCCCGCGACCCTTGCAAGTTCAAACTGCGTGCAGGCCCTGGCACTGACCCTGGCATCCAAGGACGGCGCCGCCGCCCACAGCGCGTCAAACAGCTGCGGCTTGAGCGCCAGCAGCAGCGGGCGCAGGCTGTCGTCCTTGCCCAGGCACCACAGCAGCTGGGTCAGGCCGCGGCTGCCGAAGCGGGGGCCGCCGGCGCCGTTGTGGGCGCTGCGCGCGCAGCTTTGCAGCGCGCGGCGCAGCGGGGCGTGCAGGGCGTGCAGGAGCGGCGGCGACAGCGCGTCCAGCTTGCACAGCGCGGCCAGCACGTTGGCGGTGCACTGCTCCCCAAATTCCGGCGCCTCTGCCGCAGCCGGCACCTGGTCCAGCAGCCAGCACCAGGCGGGGGCGCCCAGCAGCGCGCGGTCGCGGAAGGCCGCCACGCCGCCGGGAGCCGCCTCGCCCAGCTGCGCCAGGCGGTGGAAGGAGGCGGCCAGGTTGATGCAGTCCAGGGCCTGCCAGCCCTCGCACAGGGTGGCAAACAGGTCCTGTGGCGGCAAGGGAGGGGGGAGGGCATGGGGAGCTCGGCTTCGGCTGCAATCGGGTGCACAGTCCCTGCAACCTCGGCATGGCGGCAGCGCGCGGCTACCTGTATGGTAGGTCCACTGCTTGCTGCCCTTTCAATCAGGGCAAAGGGATGCTGAGCTCCGCACCTCGACGCTCGCTGCGCCACAGATGCGGTTGTTCAGCAGGCGGCAGGCGGCCACAGCGGCGGCCGCCGCGTCGCGCGGCTGTGGTTTGTGCCCCGCCCTTCCCCTCTGCATGTTGCCTTGCTGTGGAGGGCTGCGGCTCCGGTTGCTGCTGACCAGCAAGCCAGGCGGGTGGCCGCCGTCTGCGCGGGCGAGCGCTTCACTGGGCGGCAGCGGCAGGCGTGGCGGCGGCGGCCAAGGGTGCGCCTGGCGAGGCAGGGCCGCTGCTCGCTCTGGTGGCGCCCAGCCCTGACATTGGGCTTGCCAGCCGTGAGGGGGAGGGCCCTGCAGCTGGGGCGGCTGCCTATCCCACCGGCCAGGCCCTGCTCCAGCCTGCTGCTGCTCCCAGGGCCGGCTCATGGTGTGCTCCAAAACTCTGACAGCGGCAGGGGAGCCACAGCCAAGAGCTCTGGAGAGCAGGCAGAGGAACAAGAAGTTCCTCTGCGTTCCGGTCCAAACAAGAAGTTTAAACCGAGAAAGCACTCCTTCTAATATGATTGAAGAGCCCGTCGCCACTGGGGGCCTTTGCTCAGCAGGCTGTCCTTGCCGGGGCACGACTCAACTGCGCACTGAGCGTTCCCTGCAAGTCCAGTACACTTGCGTGGCTGAGTCTTGCAGGTGGCACCGCAAATTGTCGAGTTGCAGGAGCGGTCTGCAGGTCGCCAAGGGTGGATCATCCGGCGGATGGCGGCGCTCATGTGGGCCTGCCGCCCACACGTCCCGCATTATGGTGACGGCTATTCTGATTGCACGATCACTCACATACCATTGCGGTCTGAGCTTTTGACGGACTGAGGTGCCTGCCGAACGAGAACTCATCCCAGCGACCCACCGCTTTTGCGCCCTCGGCTCAATTTCAGCGGATTCAGCTAGCCCTGCTGCACGTTGCGCTGGCCAGCAGGTGGGGAGCCCGCGGCCGAGTGCCGCCGCCACGCCGCCCCCGCCTCTGCTGCCGCTCCCGCCCGTGCCCTCTCACACCCGCGCTCCTGCTGGCCCTGCAGATCCCTAGCTATGCTCAGCTACCCCGCTGCTGCAGCACTCACCGCGGCCGTGGTGGTGCTCTGTGCCACCTGGCTCCACCGCAGCGCGTGCGCATCCAGCCGCGGCAGCCCCGCCGCCACAGCTGTTGCTGTCTCGCTGCTCATGAACTTGGCGGTCGTCCTGCTCTACGACGGGGCCACCGCCTACGTCACCAGAGGCATGCTGGCCTTCTTGCTGACCTGGCTGGCAAGCAGCAAGGCGGTAGCGTTTCTTTGTTGCCGCGGGCCGCTTGCAGCCCAGCGGTGGACGCGGGCCCAGTTTGTGGTGCTGTATGCGCTGCCCCTCCTGCCAGCCGACCCGCAAGCAGCACGTGAAGCCAGCGGAGACGGCGGCAGCCTGCTGGCACGCTCCGCAGCCAAGATGGCCCTCACCGCGGTGGCGCTGTTTGGGCTGGCGTGCGGCCCGCCGCAGGTTGTCAGGGAGGTGCTTTACGTCACGGCCATGTACGGCTGGCTGGGTGAGCTGGGCTGCACAGCGTCGTGCTGCAGCGGGGTGGTTTGGGCCGCCTCCAGGATTGACCCTGTGCCCAGCGCTTTTCCCCTCCTTTCCCACCCTCCCTGTGCATGGCTCTGTCGCTGACTGTATCAGCGCCTCCCCTGCCTGCAGGGTTTGCCATGGATGGGCTGGGCAGCCTAGCGCTCACCTGGCTGGGACTCCACCTGGAGCCCCACTTCCGCCCGCCCTGGCAGGCGCGGTCGTTGTCGGCCCTCTGGGGCCGCCACTGGAATTTGGCGGCCAGCGACGCGGTGCGCCGCGCCGTCTACGAGCCCATTCTGGAGGGCGCTTGGGTGCGCCAGCGGCGGCCCGGCGGCATGGGCCCCGCAGCGGCGCCTGCGGAAGTGGCAGAGAAGGCTGCCGCTGCGCAGCGGAGGGGGCAGCGGGGCACTGGCGGGCGACCGCCCAGGGCGGCGATGGCGCTGTGCGCCGCCTGCCTGACCAGCGGCCTGGTGCACGAGGCGATCGTGTGGTACATCAGCGGCACGACCACGCAGGGCGCGTGGCTGGCCTTTTTTGCGCTCCAGGTGTGCACAGGCCTGGCGGTGGCGCTGGTGCCGCTCCACCGATGCTGGGCTGCAGGCTTTGCGTGCTTCCCTATCAGCGCATTCTCCTGTCTTGACGCGCCCTGACTTCCCCGTGGCGCTCGCAGGGCCCGCTCATCCTGGCAGAGCGGCAGGCGCTGAACTGGTTGGGAGAGGCGGGACTCAAGCCGCCCGCGCCGCTGCGGGTGGCGCTGACGCTGAGCACGCTCCTGCTGGTGGCGCATTTCCTGTTCTTCGTGCCCGTCGAGCGCATCCCTCTGATTCACCAGTTTGTGGCACGCATGAACCAGAACTTTGCCTCGGTGCAGGCTTGGCTGGCGCCTCGGTAGCAGCTGGAAAACGCAGCGGGCGGGCAGAGCGGGTTTGCAACGGTTTGCACTGGTTGTCCCGGGCATCGTACGCCTTACGCACATGGTGTGGGGCAGTCACATCCATTTCAAGCCTGCTGATTCCACCCTGATCGATTCGTGGCTTGTAAAAGCATCCTTGGATGGTTGCAAGGGGGGCAGGACACTTGGCGAGGTGGAAAGTTTGCATGACCTATTGAAGTCGAACTCCCCCGCTTTCACTCGTGCTGGAGCTGCTCAGGATGGAGAAGAAGCAGCCAGCTACGATGAGCTCAAGCCTGCACAACGTGCGCGACCAGCCTGGCTTCCATCGCTTGGCTGCTGTGCCGTGGTTACACCCAGCGCTGCAGCTGCTGCCCCCTGCGTGCGCTGCAGACTGGACTGGCGGCCACTGGCAGCAGGGTGGCGGCCGGCGGCACGCCCAAGCGCCGTGTGCTGCTGCCCATCCAGCAGGAGCCTCGCTCTGCCTGGGCGCCGGCGGAGCAGAAGGCGCAGGTGCCTTCAGTAGAGCCTGAGGATGACAGCCCCCTGAGCAAGTTCAAGGTCAGAGCGCGGGAGGATTGGTCAACTCTGTTCCAAGAGCCGTGCGTTGACCACCATCCAGGTTGACCACCAGTCGAGGCACTGAGCTCCATGGGCCCTGCTGCAGGACTGGAAAGCTGTCGAGGCGCTGGCTGGGCGCCAGCCCACACCCTCGGGTCCTGCGGCACCGCCACAGCAGCATCCGCTGGTCACCCCCGCCAAGCCGGCACCTGGAAGAGGGCGGGTTCAGCACACCGTCACCGTTGCGGCAGACGTGTCCCTGCTGGTGCAGAACCTGGCGGGACAGGCGGGTGCAGCTGTCAGCAGCATCGGCAAAGCAGGCGCCGGCGCACAGCAGGCGGCCACAGCACCCGCCAGCAACCGCCTGGCCGACCTGCTGCACACCCTGGCCGACTCGGCAGTGCTGGCGCTGGCCACAGACACAGTGCTGGCCGAGCTGCTGGGAGGCCTGCAGCCGCTGCTGCGCTACCGCGCTGTCGAGCACGCGTGGGCGGTTGCGGGAATCGCCGGCATCCTAGTGCCCCTGCAGCTGGCGTGCCAGGCAAGCGCAGTCAGCCAGTCTGCCAGTGCATCATCTGGCGACACATTGATGGCGCTGCCGCCCATCCCCTACAGGAGCGCCTGTGTCGCACCTCTCTGGCCTGTGATGCCGGCCTGGCAGCAGCCGCCTCCCGCTTCTTTACGCGCGTGATCCGGGAGGCTGGCGACGGAGCGGTGCACGACAGCCTGCTGGCCGCGACGGCCGCCTATGGGCACGGCAACACCAGGCTGCTGAGCGGAGTGGTGGGTGCTGCCGCTTCACACCCATGCGTGCATGCCAATGCATTGTGCTGGCTGCTGCATGGGCTGAGCCTGCTCATGCGAGTTGTTGCACCGCCATGGAGTTGCGGGTGCTGCAGCGGGCGCGACAAAGTCCCAGTGCCACCCGTCCTGCAGGCCCTGGCCAGCCTGCTGACCCTGCTGGTGACTGCACGATTCCAGCCGCCCACGCCCCTGGCTTTTGGCAGCCGCTGCGTGGAGCGCCTGATGCGCCTGAGCCACAGCAAAGCAGGGTTGAAGCTGCAGCACTTTGCCGAGGCGGTGAGCCTGCCTGCAATGTGGTGCACACTAAATTTACAGTGCTGCAAGCGCCTTCACCTAGGATAGCGCGCAGCAGGAGGAAAACCTGCAATCAATTCCTGCCCAAGTGCCTGGGAGAGATGGATTTCACCGCCTCTCTTGCTCACCCTTTGCTTGCAGATCGAGTCGCTGAGCCAGCTGCGGTGCATTGATGGGCCGTCTGCGGCTCCCGTGGTCGCCCTGGCCGCCTCCACTGCGAGGGAGGTGGAGGGCGATGCTCGCCAGCTGGATGTCTCGCAGCTCATGCAGCTGGCCAGGTGAGGACACGCGGGGAGTGTGGGAGAGCAGCAGGCACCTGCCTGGGTGCGCATCCTTGATCTGACAACATCCTCTGGGCACCTGCAGGGTGATGAACTCTGTCGCTGTGATCGCAGGTGGGCGCTGCGGGAGGGTCAAGCGCTAGCCTGCACTGTTGCAAGGCCGCCCTGGCAGCTTGCACTTCTGATCGTTTTATGCCCCTCGACCCCTGCCCCGCAGCCACCACCACAGTGCAGAGCGGCTCCCTGCTGGCCACCACCGCTGCCTGGCACTTGATGACCGTCCGCGCCTCCGCCCTGGCTGGCAGCACGGCTGGGGTGGGGCCGGCGCTGTCGCACATGTGGCTGGCCAGCCGCCTGCTGATGGCAGTTTCCCAGGCCCAAGCCAGCGATGCGCCCAACTTTCAGCTGCCCGACCACCTGGGGTGAGACCACACCTGCAGGGCAGAGGAGTCGGGCTGTGAAGCAGCACCAAGCTGCCTTGTCAACGCTGGTAAAGCCCCAGTCCCCACCACAGTGTGCACGTGCCATGCCCACAGGCTGATGAGCCAGGCGGCCTGGCTGGAGCACGAGCAGCGGGTGGTGGCGGGGCTCACCTCGGCGCAGAGAAGGGTGCTGAACTCGCTCGGCGTGCTCAAGGTGCGGCTTGCTGGGCCTTGTGGCATGCTGCTGCCGCTCGGGCTTCTCCAACCCACACGGAAGCCGCTCGACCCACTTGACCCGCCAGCGACTCGCGCCTGCTCATGCTGCGCCACGCTGTGGTCTGCGTGCCCGGCAGGTGCCCGCCACCCGCGTCACCGTCAACGCCTCCTTCCTCGACTTCTTCCAGATCAGCATCGCGGTGAGCGGTACAGCTGTCGCACCATACTACTTCACTGCCTGCAGTGCACTTGCCTTCAGTATGCTAGTGCTGATTGGGTGAACCAGATCAAAGTAAGCCAGAGCCACAGCGGAGTGCAGCCAGCACCCACAACCTAAGCCTCCTGGCTGTCCCTGCTGCCACACAGGCGCAGCTCCCCCTGAAGGGCAGCGACGAGAAGCGGCAGCTGGCCATCCTGATCCGCGACCCGCACACGCAGCTGCTGCGCAACAGCAGCCGGGGCGAGCCGCTGGGCGCAGAGGCGGCGCACGAGCGCATCCTGCAGGTGTGTGCGTGTGGGCAACGCCTTCTGTGTGGGCACAACGCAGGTGGCTGTTCGCCGCCCCTGCGCACCTGACTAAGCACTTGCTCCCCTGCCTGTTCTCCTGCCCTGCCCTGCCCTGCCCCCTGTAGAGTGCTGGCTGGCATGTGGTGCGCCTGGACTCCCAGACCTGCCTGCAGCTGCCCGTCAAAATCCTGTCTGAGGAGCTGGCAGCAATGATGGTGGGGGAGGAGCGGGGCAGCCTCCGCTTTGTTGCTTGAGCGCTTGCACGGTGGGGAAGCCGGCACAAGCCAAGGGGACCAGAACAGCGAGCAACAGCGGGCGCTAATCGCCGTTCCACCAGCCCAGATCGCTGCTGCCGCCGTCGCGCTGCTGCTGCTGCCCAGGACGCTGCTGCTGCTGGGCGCCGCGGCCGCCACGCCCACCTCCTGTGCGCCCCCCACGGCCTCCCCTGCCGCCTGCGCCTCCTCGCCCACTGCGACCACTGCTGCTGCGGCCAGCCCCTTCATACCGCCCCTCCTCCCGCCGTCCCTCAACCTGCGCATCGCCCTTTCTCCGCTGCTGCGGGGCAGGCTGTCGCTTGCTGGTGCTGGCCTCCCGCGGGTCTTGGCCAGGCATGTAGCGCAGGGAGGCTGCACACAGCAAGAAAACTAACAGGCATTAGTTAGGTAGATGGTTCCAAGTGATAGCTAGCTCCCTGCCGGTAGGACACTTAAACGTGTAACAAGCAAACCAATGGCCAGGGCACAAACTGCATGTCCCGCCTCGCTCCCTACCTTGCTTGGGTGCGGCCCCGGGCGCCGGCTTTGCCGCTGCCGCCGACATGATGTCTGGCAGCACTGCCGCCGTCGCCGCGAGGAGCGGCTTGAAGAGGCCCGCGTCCCGCTGGTCGCAAGCGGCGAGGCTCAGGAACACACGCATGAGGTCCTGCAGGGAAGGCATGCGGGGCAGGCCAGGCGGTGGACCGCGGCACGCTGCACACCACCACCGCCAGGTGTCTGCCAGCTGCCAGCGCCGGTGTGCAGCAACGGATTGGGGTGCAGGTGAGGCGGCAGGGCGCTGCCAGCCCTGGCTCAGTCCCCGGCATCCACACCGGCACCTGGAACTCGGCGGGACCGCCATCGGCGGGCCCCAGGTCTCTTCCATCCACGATGCTGGCCTGCAGGCGGCGGTGCGCGTTCTTGGTCTGCACGGGACAGAGCATGACGGGCGTAGTTGGTGGGGCGAAGTAGGGCGGGCACCACAGCCCGCAGCACCTGGCTGGGGAGCAGGCAGCCCGCCATGCCCGACCTGCGCTTGCACTGCTGCTGCCTGCCTCCACAATTGTTGGCCTGGGTCATCTGCCCCACCGCCCCTCACCTTGCGGTCATCCACGGGGAACCCGGCCAGGACCAGGGCACGCAGCTTGACAGGGTCCAGCGCCCGCAGAATGTCGCTGCGCTGCCGCGCCAGGCTCAGCACGGCGCGCTTCATCACGCCTGCAGGCAGCCGCGGGGAGCGGCACCACCACAGGTGTCAGCCACCGGCTGCAGCAGCAACCGCGGGCGGTGGTGGCCGCAGCAGCAGCCGGCACCGGAGGCGCCTGGGCAGGTCCGCACCTGGGTTGCTGTCGAGCGCCGCCTCAGAGACCTCGGGGTCAGCCGCATAGTGGCCCAGCTGGTATGCCTGGCGCAGGAAGGATGCCCACAGCTGGCGCCATTCCTCGTATGAAGGAATGGCGTTGGAGCTGCTAGTTGTCGCAGGCGCGCTGCTGGGTCCGGGTGTGAAGCTGCCGCCTGCTGCCGCCGCCGCCGCCGTCGGGCTGTCGCCGCCGCCGCTGCTGGCTGCTGACCGGGGCACGGCGGCGCCATGTGCTAGTTTTCTGCTGCTGCTCGATAACTTGGAGACCAGGGGCGGGCAGGTGTGTGGCTGCCCCACATGCTGGCTCTGCATGCTGGCCAGCAGGCGTCGAGGTATCGTGACCAGCTGCCGCAGCATCATGCACAATGAACCCTGATGAAGCCGGATGCAAGAAGACAAGGCTTCAATGCTGCGGTGTTCCACAGCAGGGACAGCTGGCTGGTGGCTGTCTTGAACGTCCTTCTTTTGCTAGCCTCGGTCTGGTAGTTGCCACCGATCGTGGACGATGGATGCACAGCAGCACCAAACGATCGCAGACTCGCTTGCTGTTCCGGTTGAAGTGGCTCTGGCGCTGGCCCAGACGCAGGAGCAGGTCTGACGATGCATGCAAAGACAGCCAGTAGCTTGGCGGCGCCGCTGCAGCCTGCCCAAGGCCATCCCGCCCACCACCGCCTCGATTGTTGCCGCCGGCCGCCTCGCCTTCAGCATATCAGCCACCTGCCTGTGTTTGGTGCCCCCGTGCCCACAATGCAGGCTGTGACGCTGCTGGAGGCAGCAGCATGGGGCCCGCGGCTGCAGCAGCTGGCAGACCTGCAGGCGGCACACGCCTCTGCCGCCGCCGCCCTGCCGCCGCTCCAGGCACTCTGCGCCGAGGCCCTCTCGCAGCGTAGCCCAGGTGCAGCGGGCTTTGGGGTTGCGCACAAGAGTTTCGGAGGCGTGATGCAGAGCAAAAGAGGAATAGCGTGCCCAAGTCAGTAGCCAGGCTTCTCTAACGACGATTTCTGCCGCCGCCTGCTTTCCAATGCCCCACAGTGTTGGCGCCAGCTGTTCCGCTCATCACTCAGTCGCTGGCGGCGTACCGGCGGGCCGAGGCGGCGCTGGCGGCGCAGCAGGCAGAGTCGGTGGCGGCGCTGGCAGAGCTGGGGCGCAGGCTGGCGCAACAGGGGGAGGAGAGTGGCGCGGAGGCGCGGCGTCTGGCCCGGCAGCCGCAGGGGCTGGAGCTGGTGAGCATTCAGCGGGCGGGGTGGGCGGGCGGGTGGGTGGTGCTTGCGGGTCCCCCTGGGGGCAGCATTCTTCTGCTTCTGTCAGCGCTGGGCTGCTGGGGTGCAGGCCAGGCGGAGAGCCTGCTGCAGGTCGCCGATCGCCTTGCCTCCCTCCCCGCGTTGACCTTGCTGCAGGCGATTGAGCGGCAGCTGCTGTGCAGCATCCAATGCGAGGTGGCGCAGCGCTTGCAGCACATTGCCGCCGCCGGGGGGCAGCCCGCCAGCCTACCGTCCTTCGCAGCCGCTCTCGCCCAGCTGAAAGCCGAGGCGGCTGCCGCGCTGCAGCAACTGGAGCAGCGGCGGCAAGAGCAGCAGCAGCAGCAGCAGCAGGATCTGCGAGCTCGTCGCGGCGCTGCAGATGCGGCGGATGTGGCACCAGATCCTGCGCAGCCTGCTCTGCCGCCGCCTGCTGTGCTGTCGTCTCCCCCAGTGCCCCAGCCGGTGCAGCCGCAGAGACAGCAGCAGCCACGGCAGGAAAGCCAGGCCTTGCTGCAGCCGCAGGATGTGCGCCTGCTGGCGTCCAGCATGGATCAGCTGTCTGGCCAGCTGCAGCAGCTGCAGGGGCTGCTCCTCAGCCAGCAGCAGCTGCAGGCGCCGCTGCTGCACTTCCTGCACCAGCTGCTGCCGGCGCTGTTGCCGGCAGCAGCCCAAGCGCCGCCAGCAGCTGCCACACTGCTTGAGTGGCAGCAGCAGCAGCAGCAGGCTTCGCCCTCGCCAGCCCAGCAGCAGGCCGCCGCCCCTCCTGCAGCAGGCAACCCTGCGTCAGCCGCAGCAGATTTCCAGGAACTGTCGCCAGTGCAGCAGCAGCGGCAGCCAGCGCCTCCGGACCGCGCATCAGGATCAGCGGCCGTTGCTGCGGCGGCAGCGGCAGCAGCCGCTGAGGCCGAAGCCGCAGCTGCAGCGACCTTCCCGCCTGGAGCCGGGAGAGGCGCTGCTGCAAGCACAGCGGCACCTGAGGACAACGCCGCCGTGGCTGCAGCATCGGGCCCGCTGCCCAACCAGACGCCGCCAGCAGTGCAGGTGGTAGCAGCACCCAGAGACCCCCTGTCAGCCGCACCAGCAGCCGCCCTCCCCCTGTTCACTCCTGTGGAACCGCGACCCAGCGACGCCGTCGCGGCAGGCATGGCGGCAGCCGCTGCTGTTGTGGCGGCCGTGGATAGCAGCAGGGCGGTGCACGCCGCCCTCAGAGGCGATGCCGCCCCCAGCAGCAGCAGCAGCGAGGGCCGGGCCGCTGCTGCGGCTGTGGCAGCGGCGCTGGCTGTGGGGTTGGTGGGCAGCCCGCAGCAGACCACGGCGGCAGCAGCATCAGGGGAGGCAGGGGCCCACGATGCGGCTGCCGGTGCATTGTCTCAGGGTGCTGTGCAGCAGCCTGAGGAGCAGCCCCCACCTCAGGAGCAGTGGCAGGCTGCAGGCGACGGCGGCGGCGGCTCGTGCCAGCCGCCGTTTGCCTTCCCGCAGCTGCAGGCACCTGCTTCCCAGCAGCAAGGCACCGCATCCACCCCGCCCTTGCCCTCCGACCAGCCGCCACGGCCAGGCGCCAGGGCTGTGCAAGTCGGCGGCAGCGCAGGTGGTACCAGCAGTGCTGCCAGGCCCGATGAGGTGGCTGCAGCTGCCGCCCCAGCAGGGAGTTTGCCGCCAGGCAAGGAAAACTTGACCAGCAGCCAGAGCAACAGCCAGGAGCAGCTGCTGCCTGGCTCGGCCCCATCCTGCGGAGGTGTCGGCGGCGCGCCGGATGCCGCACCCGGCGCTGGTAGCAGCAAGCTGGCAGCAGATGCCAAGCCAGCATCGCTTGCGGCTAGCCCTGCGGTGCCGGATTCTGAGGAGCAGACGCTGCCAGGCACCCAGCAGCTGGCATCCCAGCCGCACCTGCCGGCGCCTGCGCCAGGCTTGGCCGAGCAGGCGCAGGAGCCGTCGCAGCAGCGGTCCTCGCAGCGTGGGCTGGCGGCGGCGGCGGTCGCGGCGGCTGCAGCGGCGGCAGTGCAGGAGGTGCCAGGCGCAGGCGCGGCTGCTCCGCAGGGCACGCAAGGTGAGGGGCCGGGGTGGAGGCTGCAGGCAATGCTTGTGTCCCGGTCTTGCTTCTGGCCTGAGCACTTGGGGTAGAGGAATCAGGGCAGCCACCTCCTCCCTGCGTGCAGGCACACCGGTGCCCTCCCTCGCCGCCCTGCTGGACAGCCAGCGTGACTCCACCTCGCCAAAAGGCCGCCCGCCCGGCAGCGCCAGCAGGCCGCCCAGCGCGACGCGCGCGGCGGCAGGAACGGGCGGCCACAGCGCGGCCGCGCCCGCTGGTGCCAGCCCTTCAGCGCCTGCTGTGGGCGCGGCAGCGGCGGCACCCACCTTGGCCGCGAGCCCGGCGGTGCCAGCAGCTCAGCAGAATCCTGATTCCGGGGGCAAGGCACGCGGTAGCAGCGGCAGCGGGAGCGAGGCACCAGCGGCGGCTACTTCGGCTGATGCAGCGGCCGAGATGGGGCCTCCAGCGCAGGTGCCGCCAGCCGCTGCCCTCCTGCAGCTGCAGGAAGCTGCTGCGGCTGCTGCTCTGGCCCCTCCTGCGGATGGCGCAGCAGCACCCCCGCAGCAGCAGCAGCAGCAGCAGCAGCAGCAGCAGCGCAAGCGGTCGGCCTCCCAGGAGGCCGACCGGTGGCAGCAGAAGCGCAGCCGGTTTGCCCGCGAGTCGCAGGAGCAGCAGCAGGGGCAGCAGCAGCCCAGCCAGGGAGGCGGGGAGCAGGCGGGGGCAGCAGGGCAGGGCGGGGATGGGGACCTGCACCTGTTGACGCAGGGCCCGCAACAGCGGGAGCCGCAGCAGCTGGCAGAGGGCTCCGACGACCCCTGGAGCAGCAGCGGCATCGTGTGCAGCCAGCCAAGCGGCGGCGGCAGCGGCGGCGACCACCCGCTTGGCGCGCTGCAGTCAGCTGCGGCCGCGGCGGCAGCGCAGCACCAGCCTTCCGCGCCCCTGGCCGCGCTCAGGCAGCTTTGGCAGCAGCAGGGCGCCACGTCGCCGCTGCTGGCGCTGGTGGGCACACCTCGCGCCCAGTTCACGCCTGGTGGAGCACAGCCAGGGGCAAACCAGGCCAGCCAGCAGCAGGCAGGCGGGGCTGCTGGCGGCTCGCCCAGCCCCTGGCTCTTGGCCAGCTGGCAGCCGGCCCCGGTGGCGGGCGCAGCCAAGGGCGCCACCCCCCGCTTTGTGAGCCCCAGCACCGGCGGCGCTGGCGGCGCCAGCTGCAGCCTCACCCCAGCCCCAGCGGCAGCAGCAGCAACTGCTGGGACCAGCCCCTTCCAGCCGCTGCTGGGCAACCATCCGTGCCTGGCTCCCGCCCCTGGCGATGGCGCCCAGCGGGGGCCGATCCCAGACGCAGGAGCCGTGGCCGGCCAGCAGCAACACCACCGGCTTGCTCGGAGGAGCCCGCTGCAGCAGGCCGCTGAAGAGGGCGGAGTCGGTGGAGGCGGCAGCTAGAGGTGCAGCCCGTTGTGAACGTGTCTGTTGGTGCCTAAGCTGGTCTGAACATGTGTGAAATCCTCAGTGACGGTCAAGGGGCCAAGGAAGAGGGAGCCAGGGCACTTGTAATGCCTTGGACGCTGACTGACTGAGATTACAGAGAACCGGGCCCTTTAAAGGGCTGGGGACACACAAGCCGTGCCCACTAGCTCTGGACAATATAAGTATGAAACCAACCAACAGACAGGGCGGCGGAGCGCGGGGCTGCGAGGAGCCGATCGGGCACAGCGGGCGGCAGGGAAAGCGGAGGGTGCGTGGGAGCCAGCCCAGTGACTGTCAGAGAGTTGTGAGGAGGGGAAACGGGGGGCAAAAGACAGGGGAAAGAGGGGGATCAAGGGCCAGGACCGCCAGCAGGCGGCGCAAGCGGCTCAGAGACGCCACCCACCCCGGCACAGAAGCTGGGGGAGCGGCCAGGCGGGCGGGCGGGGACCGCCTCAGAGGGCAGGCGACACAGGGGGTTCAGGCTCAGGTCAGATCACACGGGAGAAGGGGGCAGCCAGCTGCCAACGAGGAGAGGGGAGAAAGGGGGACGCCAGAGAAAGCACACCGAGCGGCAGCGCGGCAGGCACAACAGCGCACGAGCAGGCACAGGCGCACAGGCACTGCAGCACACCGCCGGCGGGTCCCCGATGGCGTGACTGCGGAAAAGCGCAACCACCTCCACTGGTTCCTAGCACACCTCGCACGGCGCAATAGCCAGCCAAGGGGCACCACAGCCAGGCAGCAGCCGACAGCGCACGGGCAACCAAATGCAAGCCGGCACAGCAGGCGAGCAGCGCGGCAGCAAGGCGGCGGGCACAGGGCGAGCAGGCAGGCAGAAGATGGGCAAGAGGGAAGACGGACACGAGAAAAGGGGTGAGGAGGGCAGGCACAGTCAGGAGAAAGGCGGGGAAGGGCCAGCGGAGCTGACTGACGATCAAGCAGGGGGAGGAACAGGAGGGGGGCGGAGCCGAACGCGGCCGCTGGTAGAGAAGAAAAAGGGGTGGGCAGGGCCAAGGCTGTCAACCCAAGAGGCGGGGGCACAGCCCAGGGCCTCAAAATCAGCGAGAAGGGACCAGAAGGACTGGAGAGCCGCGCGGCGGGCAGCCTCCAGCGGCGTGGCTGCGGGTTGCGGTGCTGCGGGGCCAGGCGCGGCCGGCTCCAGCGGCGGGGGCGGCGGGTCCTGAGTGCCGCCGCCGGAGGAGGCTGCGCCGGCAGCAGGCCGCGAGGCCGGCTGGTGCAGGAAGCCGTCGAGGGTGAGCTGGGTGAAGCGCGGTCCGGCGGGCTGCGCTGGCGGGGCGCCACGGCGGCGCAGCACCTCGGCCGCCAGGCTGCGGCGGCCCCGGTCCATGGCCTCCACAGCGGCCAGGCACACCACACCCCAGGCGCCAGCGCGCACGCCAGGCGGGAGGCGGGCAAGCCAGATGTCGGCGGGGACAAGGGGAGGGGGAGGGGCATCAGCTGGGGCAGCGGCAATCAGGGCCGCATGGACAGCGGCAACAACAGCGCAGGCCACAGGGCAGGCCCAGAAGTGGTGGTGGCGGTCAGGGCGGGGGCCAGAGGCACCACACAGGCAGGGCTCATCCCGGTGCATGCGGGCCGCCGTGGGCAAGGCATCGTATACCAGCCTCCAGAACACCTCCTTCCTGCCATTCTCCCAAGGCAGGCGCCACAGCCGGGCCAAGGCCGACTGCAACTCGGCCAGGGGGCCAGCGGCGGGGGAGGGAGCAGCCGCGGCGGCGGCGGCAAAGGGGGCAAGGCGGGTGGCGGCGCGGTGCTCAACCGCAGGGGCAGCCAGGAGGGCCGTTGCGGCGCGCACGGTCAGAGCCGCAAGGGGGACAGGGCGGCCATCAGAGCGGCGCCAGCCCAGGCGCGGCAAGAGGGTGCCGGCAAGAACAGCCCGGGGACACAGCGACTGCCCCAGGCCAGCGGCGGCAGCGGAGGCAGCGGCGCGCGCCGCCGCCACCCAGGGCAGGGGCAGGGCAGCTAGCAGCTGTGCCACCCGCTCCAGCGCCACATGCCGCTCGACGAAGGCGTAGGAGGAGCGGAGGAGGGGGCCGCGCACGTCGGCGGTGTAGGCCGCCTGGGTCGGCGCCGCCAGCGCGGCTCGCTCCACCTCAAGCAAGCGGCGCAGGCAGTGCACCCCTGCATCCAGAAAGTCAGCAAAGGAGGAATCCAGGCCGGCAGGGTGCGAGGGGGAGAGGAGCAGCGGGTTGCCCCAGAGCGGGAGGGAGAGGCACCACGGCCCAGGCGCAAGCGGCTCCGCAGCCACGTCAGTGGGCACGGGCAGCGAGGCGAGGGCGGCGCGGAGGCGAAGGAGGGGAGGGGGAAGAGGGGCAAGGGAGCCAGGCACGGGCTGGTCAAGGGGCCAGAAGAGGAGCCCAGCGGGGGGCAGGCCACCAAGAAGCTCACATGCAATGGCAACCCAGGGAGGCGCCGGCAGGGCGGCAGGCGAGGGGGCAGGTGGGGGTGGGGCGGCGGCCAAAGAGGGTGGCAGGGGGCCAGGAAGGAGGGCGGCCTGCCGGCGGCGGCTTTGGGGCCTTGCCTTGGCTGCTGCACATCTCTGCCCGCCATGCTCGCTGGGCGGCGCGCCTCCTCACCTCCGCATGGGCCCCTCTGGCCTCCTCCTCCTCTGCAGGGCCGCTGACTGACTGAGATTACAGAGAACCGGGCCCTTTAAAGGGCTGGGGACACACAAGCCGTGCCCACTAGCTCTGGACAATACAAGTATGAAACCAACCAACAGACAGGGCCGCTCTGATCTGTGATCTGTGATGTTACAGAGGCAATGCCCATTAATGGGCTGGGGGCACACAAGCCGTGCCCACTAGCTCTGGACTGTATGAAAGCATGCAACACCGCCCGGGCGGCGAACGGCGGGCTCAGGGAGCGGTCGGGCGCAAAGGGCGGGGAGGGAGGCGAGGGGCGCCTGATGGCCAGCCCAAGGGCGGCAAGCATACCAGCGGGGGGGAGGGGCAGGTCGAGGACCCGCACACCACCACCACCAGAAAGCGGGCCCACCCACCCCGGCACAGTAGCTGGGAGAGCGGCCACGCGGGCGGGCAAAGGTGAAGGCGGCACGCGGGAAGACCGGGCAAGGGGAGGACGGGGCAAGCGCAAAAGCGCAAGCATCTGCGGGTTACGGGGGGGAGAGTAGGGGCGTGACGACCAGAACGGCAGGCACGGAGTGAGCGAAAAGAGGGGGGGACGGCGGGCCGCCCGGCACGCGGCGGCAGCAGCAGCAGCTGCCTGCCCGAACGCAAATCGCTCGGCGGCAACAGGCTCCTCCGCCAAGCCACGCCACCCCACGTCTCAATTCGCTGAAGGGAAAGCACCAGGGCTTGGGGCCGCGACACACGGAAGCGGGAATTGGGGGGAGGGGCTGGCGCGCACAAAACGCGTCGTAGGGGGCGAACAAGTCGCAGAGGGGGTGGCCGGGCACCAACGGGGCACACGGGGGCTCATACAACGGGCCGGGAGCCGGCACCGGCCCGAGGGGGTGTTCGCCGGACTAGCCGAGCCGCGGGCGCCGCAGGGCCCGGGGCACCCCTCCACGCACCATCAGGAGGCCATCTCGAGTGCGGGCAGTTGCAGAATGGGCGGCTGGCGGGCCAAGCGAGCCGGCGATGCTGCGGTCGCCCTCGTCCTGCGTCCCCAAGGCAGGGTGTTGCTCAAGAAGGGCCCCAGAGGAGCGGGAGGGGGGCGCGGGGCCCGGCCGCGCCGGGGGACTCGAGCAAGGAACGATGAACGACGTGTGTGTGTGTGTTTTACAGGGATTGGGCACATTAATGTGCTGGGGCCGAACCCGCTAACCCTGCCGGCTGTCCAGAGCGAGGAAAATCTGGCCGCCGATGGCATCCCGGGGAGGCTCCGTCTTGCAAGCGCCATGCCGGTCTGCCGGGCAGCCGTCCGCCGCCCAGATGCCGCCACGAAGGTGCCGTGAGGCAAAGTCCCAGCTAGTGTCCCGGCTGGGGTTCGAACTCGTGCCTGTGGTATCACCCACCGGCACTCATCCAGCTCCTTATTTAACGTCGCGGCCAACGACGGAACGAGGAACGACTGTGATCTGTGATCTGTGATGTTACAGAGGCAATGCCCAACGACGGGGGGAGCGAATTTTTGAAATTTAGATGATGCTGTCAAACGGCAAATTGAAGAAATGCACCATGCTCCTGCCGCATTAGGAGACAGCTCAAGGTCGTGGGTTCGATCCCCACCGGGTTCGACGAATGCAATGGGTTACTGCATCCCCAATCTGGACCCGTAGCGCAGTGGATAGCGCGTGTGCTTCCTAAGTTTTGCCTGTTTTGCCAAGTGAGAGGGCTGGAACAGGCGCCCCACTCATCATCATCACCGATGGGAGGGGCAGGCGTTTTTATGATGGGCAAATGGGCCGGCACACTCTGCTAGAGATGGGCATGCAGGAGTACAAGAGTTCAGCACGAAGTGGTGGCCACCATCCAACCGATGCCGCGGTGAATGTCCTGCTGCGGTGAATGTCCTGCCAATGTTTCTTGTGGCCAGAGATCCATCGTTGCTAGTGCAGCAGCTCACATTTGACACAACAACTGGATGAACATGCCGAGGGCGCCTCCACGCAGGCCTGGGCAGGGTTACACCCTGCCTACTCATTTAAAAAACAACATTTATAGCCTATTTGTAGCCTACAGGCTAGCCAACAGTAGCCCACTCGTCCGCTCACATCCGTGACGATCACAGAGAGCCATCGCGCCGGCCTCGCGCCGATCACCCCCACACCCTCACCCTTCGCACTCACCCACCCACCCTTCAGCATGTCAAGCAGCGAGGGAGCCAGCAGGGGGCAGCGCAGCCAACAGCCGATCAGCAACCCATCTGACTGGTGCAAACTTGTGTGGCGGCGGCGGCCTGGGACACACCAGCGACCCTCCCGCCCTCAAACCTGCAAATCGTTTTCGCTCGTTTTTTTATTTATCATCAATGGACTCTCCTCGTCACTGCCGCACCCCGGTTCTGCACCCTTAGCACCCGCTCCGACATGCTGCCGCCATGCTGCCGCCACGCTGTCGCCGCCCCTTGATCTGCATTGCCTCCTGCTTTTCCGCCAGTTAATCTGCTGCAGCCATGCACCACCAGCCGCCCCCAGGGGGCAGTAGGACGCTGTGCGAGCTCCAGTGCCAGCTCTGTAAGCCCCCTCGCTTGTTTGCAGCCGCATCACCATCACCAGGAAACTGATCCCGCCTTTGATGTGCTGCAGTGACCGTGCCGGCTGGCGGGCGGGGCGCGCTGGTGAGGTTTTCGATTGATCAGCTCGTCCCGCTCTGCGTTTCCATCCATCACGCTGCTCAACTGATTGCATTCGCCTGTTGCAACGAACCCTTGCAGCCCGGGCCCGCCTGCCCTGATGCCGACCTGAGCGCCGCCGCCGCACCGCCGCTGGGCGTGGGCGGCTACGCCCCCGTCGTCAAGTGCCCCAGCGGGCAGTGGCCGCCCGCGTACGCATCCGACGACGGCTCCTGGGACAGCGCCGACGGCGACAGCCCCGCCGCCGGCCTGTGCCCGCTGCTGCAGCAGCTGCTGCGCCGGCTGCCGTCTGCCGCCGCCACCAGCCGGCTCGAGGCATTGCTGGGGCTGCAGGCCGGGGCCGCGCCCGGCAAGCCGCTGGCCTGGCACGCCCACCAGCCGCTGCTTGCGGCCGTGGATGGCGGCGACCGGGTGCAGATCTTCGACTATGCGGGGCAGCTGCCGCTGCTGGGGCAGGGGGCGGCAGGGGCTGCACCGCCCCCGTTGCAGCCCACGCTGCTGCTTCGGCACGAGTTCCAGCAGCAGGCCTCCGCTGCTGCGTGGCGGCCCTACGGCGGCAGGTGCCTGGCGGTGGGTGCGGCGCACGGCGTCTGCCTCTGGCACCTCGCCCGCCCGCCTGCCGGCAGCGGCTCCAGGTGAGCGGCTGGTGCTGCGGGCTGGGGTGGTGGTGGGGTGGGGTGGGGTGGGGCGTGTATGCCCGTTTGACGGGGCAGCTCCTGGCTGCTCAGGTGCGGTAGCCCTTGCCGCAGCACCGTGACCCGTGGGACATCGGCGCCGTGCTTGACACTCCTCTGGTGGCTGCCCTGGCTGCACCCCTTGCCTGCACAGCATGCACGAGGGGCCTGCTGGCTGCCCCACCCCGCCCCTGGCTCCTCCCCCACCTGCCATGCAGGCCCGACAGCAGCGCCTGGATGACCTGGCTCAAGGCGCCGGCAGCGGGCCCCGTGGCCACCCTGGCCTGGCACCCTCAGGCGCGCAGCGCAGGGGCAGGGCGGGAGGCCGCAGCGCAGGCGGGATGGCAGCCTCTCAGCGGGGTCGACTGCCAGCACAGCCCAGCCCCAGCCGCCGATCGCCGCCCCCGCCCTCGCCCCCTGGCCACCGCAGCTGAGCGCCCAGGCCGCTACCCTTTCGCTAATTGCTGCATGCTGTAGCTGCCACTCCACTCATGCTGTGCCCGCTTGCCGGCGCCCCTGCAGGGCCACCTGCTGGCGGCGGCCAGCCCGCAGGCGTCTGCCGGCTTCCACGTGTGGGATGTGGCCACAGGCACCGCCACACCCATCTCTGTGAGCGGCGCCTGCTGGCGGCAGCGCCCTGGCGACACCCACGCCCGCCGCATGCCTGCCCCAGGGCAGCCTGGCCCCCGCTCTCGTGGCCCCAGAGCTCTGCCGAGCCCCCGGCCACCCCCTGCCGGCCCATGCATGCTGCGCCTTGGCCCGCCATCGCCACCACCGCACCCGCCCGCCCCCCCTGCTGGCACCCGCAGGCGGGCCCCGAGGCGGTCACCCTGCTGCGCTGGTCGCCCTGCGGCTCCTATCTGCTGGCCGCCCACCCCGGCGGCGACTTCCGCATCTGGCAGACCCGCACCTGGTGGTCGCAGCGCTGGGCGGCGGCGGCGCCGGGCGGCGGCGGCGCCGGCGAGCTGGCGGAGGCGTGCTGGGGCCCCGACTGCCGCTCCCTGCTGCTGGCCTACGCCCGCTCCCCGCACCTCGTCTGCCTGCACTTCACCGCGGAGCCGCCCTCCCTGCAGGCGCAGCTGCTGCCGCTGCCGCTGGTGGAGCTGGGCGACAGAGGCAAGCGGGAGGGGAAGGGGCAGAGGGAGGGAAGCCGTCCCGCTGCTTGTCGCTGCGGCGGGAGCGGAGCTGGCAGTTTTGCGCCCGTCGTCCTGAGCTGCTCCCCAGCGCGTCACGGCTCGTGCGCCGCGCCCGCCGCCTGCAGGCTCCGGCGCCGGCTGCCTCATCCAGGCCGTGGCCTGGGACGCCAGGGCGCAGCGCCTGGCGGTGGCGGTGGGCGGCAGCCACCCCGCCGCGGGCTGCGTGGCGCTGTACGACACGCGCTGCGACCCCATCCTGTCCGCCCGCTTCATCGGCTTCATGCGGCTGGGGCCCCTGCAGCCAAAGGCAGGCCCCTCGGCCGCAGCTGGGCGTAGGGCGGCGGCGGAGCCTGGCTGGGAGGAGATTCAGCCAGAGGAGGTGGCGGAGGCGGCGGGCGCCATGGGTGGCGCTGCCTTGGGCGGGCCTGGCGGGAGGGGCAGCGCTGCGGCGGCCGGCCCGGCCGGCGACGCCGGCGACGGCGAGCGGCCGCAGCTGGCCTTCCTGCCCGGCTTTGCGCAGGGCGCGGTGCTGGCGGCGCGGCGCGGCGACCACATTGCCGCCGTGCCGCTGTACTTTGCTGCGTGAGGTGGGGCCTGGTCCCTCAAGTGTTGTGTGCGCACAGCGGCAGGCTGGTACGCCCTGCTGGCATAGATGCTTGCTGACATGCTGACATGTCCTGTGTTTCGAGACCTGCTGCCCAGATGTGTCGCTGTAAGCACCTGCCTCTTCCACAGTGCCAGTGCTTAGTGACAAATGCGAGATGGCGAGTGCGTCACCAGCAGCGTGTTGCTGGCCAGTGAATAGCGCCCAAGAGGCAGCGGGCGCCCAGCGACGCAGCGCGCAGTGCGGGGGCAGGGCCGTGAGGTGTAGTGTTGTGCTGTGAGTTCAGGGAGCTTTGGGCCCTAGCGGGCGGATAGCAGGGGCAAGGGTCAAAACGGGGACAGTGCCAAGGGGCAGACGAGAGGGGACACACACCGAAGGGTCGCAAGAGCAGCTGCCTACAGATAAAGAGATGCTAGCGAGAGAAGTGGTGGGGAGGCAGGCAGCGAGAGGCAAGCAGGCGGAGGGCACAGGGAGGAGCAGAGCCCGGCCCAAGTGTTGCAGGGCCAAGGGACTCAGGGCGCGCCCCGGTGGCACACGCGCCTCCCGCCAGACAGCGGGCCGCAGGGCGGACTTGCTGTGCAGGCGGGGCAAAGAGGAGCAGACAGACGCACGCGGGGCGTGCAGCGCAAACAGGCAGACGCTGGTGCGTGTGCAGCGGAGGCAGCGGGTGGGCCGGCGCGAGGTGGCCTGTGGCGACGGGGAGGGGCCGCGGCCTGGAGCCGCCAGCCACCCAGCCCCAGGCGCCCCGCCTGTGCAGGCCCCTCACTCCACCAGCTCCTCATCCATCAGGTCTCCATCCATGTAGTCCTCCTCGTTGAAGTCCCGCACCACGGGCTGCGGGCACAACAGGCAGGCAGGAGGGGAGCGGGGACAGCAGCCGCGAGCGGTAGGAGGGGAGGAGACGCACTCAACACGAGGGCAAGCAGACCCTCCCAAGGAGACGGGAGACAGGGCAGAGCGAGGGGGCTGCCACCGATGTCACCGAGGCAGCCAGCGGCGGCAGGGGGGGCTTCACCCAGGGGCCGGGGCGCGCCACGCTGGCGTGTGGCCGCACCTGCGGCGCCTGCGCCTTGGTGCGCGCGCTGTTCACGATGGCGCGGATGTCGTCCACCGTCTGCTCGGGCATGGGGGTGGCCTCCTTCATGGCAATGCCGCCGTCCTGCGGGCCGGGGGGGGGGGGGGGGGTC